ACAATACATATCATAACCACATTTTCAGATATAAGGCCTCAAACATGCCTCTTTTAGGGACTATTTGCTAAAAACAGAAAAAGGGTCGCTTTTCGAGGTACAAAAATTGATGTAACTTTTGAACCGCTCAACCGATTTCCAAAATTTTTGCACCAAAATTCCTCTTTCTTTGAGTTTTGTCCAAAAAACATGTTTTAAAATGTTTTCTAGGTGGTTCATTTTTTGAGCTGACCTCCCTAATCATAGATGTTTACAAGGTCATTAGGCAATACCGAGTTCACATATTCACAAACATTAAAATATCTCATTGAATTGTACGTCTATATATTTCTTTATTCTTGCTCTGTGATCGAGTCCTGATGTACTTACTTTCAGAGACCTAGCAAGGCTGTTAGCAGCCCTTGTTGACAACATTGCTGCCGGTACACTTGCCTGCTCCTACCAAGATGGCCGAAGAAAGGTCACGTGGTATTTAGACTCCCTAACACTTGTTCTATACCAATGACAAAAGATAATACACATAAAAGCAGACAATATTGCAACAAATTTCTGATGTGTAAAAAAATTTAATAAGCCATGCGAAACGCCAGCAAAATGTCATGTATTGACACATGTTGTATCATAATACGGTGACATTGTACATGCAGTCTACAATCACGTATACCTCCCTTGCGTTCGGAATGTATCTAAGTCCTGCCTACTCATTGCAAATAAAGGTCTAGAGGTGTCTCCAAAATAACAATATGGAGGGAGATTTCGAAGAAAAATTATTGCTGGAAAAAATAGCTTTTGTTTTGAACGATTTAGTGTCTCATCAAAATACTAACAGAGACGATACTTGTTTCCAAAAGTTCTCTGATCTTCTACACTCGAGACGTGAGTCACCGTTTATGAGAGGATCTATTGAAGTATTTAATAGCAATTTAATGGACGCATGCTAAGGCTGCATTCGCGTAACCCAGTTGAAACGGTTCAGGTGGTCTGATGTTGGAACTGATTTATGTAAAGTTAAAAATGTACAGTTTCGGAATTTCCTGTTAACCTATAATCAATTGACTAAAATTTACGATACCATCCATTTCACTCGTACTTTATAGCACAATGCTCCCGGAAACGCCAACCCCTTGGAAACACCGACCCTACTTTTAAACTGAAGTTCTGAAAACTAATGATATTCAGCAAATTAATTTCGGACAGGTACGGCTGGACTCCGCAAACTGCACGTGCCAAATATTCTGCATCTGTACCTGTCGTTTTTCTTACAGATTCAACCATTTCAACTGCTTACGCGAAAGTGCCCTAAAAGTATTAATGACTTGGCTTATGAAATGGACATGTCACATTAATCAAAGGTCATACATGATATTCTTGAATGAAATGATCATCCAAGAGATCATCCAACTGTTATCTAATTTTAGTTAGTTACATGTTTTGCCCCAAAGTTGTTTCAGACCATTACTTTTGCACCCACTTCAGACGACTCGCCCAAGTAGGAAAATTTACAAATGATGTTGCGCCCCAATGAATAATGTTAGTTTCAGATATGGAGAAAAATTCGTGTTTGTCCTGAGTTGTTCTATTAAATAGTTACAGGTGTGTCAGAAATTCTGATACGGCAGCCAGGGAGGTCATTTGTTAACATGATTGTGCAATCATAGTTTTCCTGTGCAACACCTTCTTCTCAAGTTTCACCAGTTGGATTGAGCTCCAACTTTACTGTCAAAAAATAGTAACACTTGTTACAATTACCTTCTCCTCACCAAAACTACATCTGCATAATGGAAAATAGCTTCTTTGTAAGATTTCATTCAAAGTAGAAAAAATACACGTTCTCCCTGCTGAAAGTTTTTGTTGTCTAATGACTATTAAGGCCCATGGGCCTCTGGTTGAAAGTTCCCTTTGGTTTTATCAAATTTCCAAAGTCTAAATACTTTTGTGATACCATCAAATATATCTGATGGTAGTTTGTATGCATCCAGCATTGCCTTAATCTCCTTCCCATCCTCCTTTATTTTTGCTCACTTCTTTCTTTGCTCCTTAATTCCACAAACCCGAATATTTGTTTCTCTCCTTTTCCTGTGCTTTAGTTCTATTAGAACCTGTTGTATAGCAATGCAAGGTTTCGTGTGCTGTGTCGCAATGGACATCATTTCTAATGTGTCTGATGAGTGGGCCATCTCTTTTCTAATTATCTTCCTGACAGTACCTTCATTTCATTTCTTCTGAAGTTCATCCTCCATTTGTTAGATCCTGATTTGATATTCTTTCAAAAGTTGTTGCATTTTTGGTTGACTTTGAGTTCAGCGAGGAGATTTTTTTCAACCTGTGACCTTACATGACCACAAAACTACATTGAGTCTGATCTGGACAGGATCACATACTTTGTGCCATATTTATTGAGATATTTTGTACAGTAGTGCCTAGGGAAATAACATGAAGACAGTAACAGAGGACATCAAATTTGTTTAGAGACAGACATTACTAGTAACAGACTTAGATATATTTATGTCTGTTCTGTAGCTTTGTCATTTTTATCAAATATTTTTCAGATCCCCAATATAATACAAAGACTCTGATATCTTCCAGAGTTTATTCCTTTCGTTCTCCAGTCTTGACTCTGCCTAAATGCAGACCACTGTAGTCTCATATTCACATTACCTGGTAACTGAAATAGCAACACATTCTCTGTTCTCTGTGAATTTAACAAATAAAAATCAATTTTTCATGCAATGTTACATAACTTTTAAACACAATCTCTATTTATGTGTAAGGTATCCTCCACACTGATAAGAGAGAACACATTATGACATATTTATACATTTCATGTATCAATATATGTGTACTCTGTCATTATCGAGACAGGTAGCATGCCTAAACGTTGCTTTCTGGCATAGTGACAAGAAAGTGGACTGGGCTAAAGGTACAACAACAGCTACATTAGCTGCATAGATCATCATTTGCCATATGTTACATGAAACAAACATTAACATTATCCCTGATTCAATGAACAAGCGGACCTGTCTCATGAGAATTATTACAAAGATCAAGTCATTAAGATATTTGAGTTAAGGATTTATAAAAATGATAATGAATTCAATTTCTTTGTCATAGGTTAGTCAAATCAATAAGCTACTAGTATACTATTGTAAAACCATCTATTAAAGCTCATATGTATTCTTTTTGTTTTAGTGAAATCATCCAAGCATGCTGAACAATGTGGCATCATTCCTTTCTTGACATCTGCATTAAAAGAGACAAATATTGAAACCTCCTTACTGGTGTTTTCTGTAAACCTTGCTGGTATCCTTGGACAAATTCCTGATCTTGACTCACAACAAAGAGATTTTGTTGAAACTTTCATGGACATGGTTTTAAGAGAACAAGATTTAAACAATCCATCAATTGGAACTGAGTACTTTGAAACCCTACGGAAATTGATAACATTTAGGACTACGAATGGGAACTGTGTGTATAAATGCAAGAATGGAAGAGGTATTTATATCCAAAAGTAATCACATATTAAGGTATACCATTCAATATAGCACACAGGCCTTTTTGGCATTCAGTTGACTGTCCATCCCGGTGAATAAGGCTTTAGATTCTGTCAGCTGACTGAGACATACTGATATCAGACAAGAGTCTTTAAAAATTATGTAGTTACTACTCCCTGGTTGTAAGCTTAGTGCTGTGGAGGTGTTAACAACTTTTTTTATTGTAAGTATAATGTGATCAGGTGTTATACCCTCCTGGATGCCTTCATCAGTATGCATAATATTATCATGTATTTCAGTGTGGTAACATTTTAAAGTTGGCTTCAGTTCCGTACTGTCACAAGGAGGCACATCAACATTTTGTATCTTTTGAAAACATGCACTCAACCCATGCACTCACTCTGCATACATTTGGACTGGTATAGTCTGTATTCCAAATTATCCAGTAGTGAGTGCATAGCTAATGGTATCTGAGTAATGCACTCACAAGTTAACCTTAAACTTCAAATAGGTCTTGTTCTCAAGTACCTGGATAATTACATGGCACAAACAAAATTGGGTCTCTCACCTTACTGAGTTTTATGTCCCCTTTTCTAACACAAAAAATGACCCGTAGTTGAGGGACTATGATTTTTTGCACTTTGCAGTATTATATATTTGATCTGCTATCTGGTGATGTGTCAATATATATTTGTATTCACAGAACTGATGCTGAAGTGTTGGCAGATACTTACTGACCGAAGAAGTCTGTTCCTGACATCAGCTGTCCTTCGGTTCCTCAAGGATTACTTAGGTCAAGATGATCTTCATGTAGAAGAAAGCAACTTTACAACAATTTTTCAGAAAGTTGTCAGTCACATCTGTCAAGTTCATATGTGTACAATCAATTTTGACCCACTTCATCTGCCTTCTATTCTGCCCTCGGTCTTACAGCTGTTTCAAGACATACCACGTGTGTTGATTGAGACACTGGATAGGACTATCGTAATGAAATCATTGAAATGTCTGGGATTCATAGTATGCAACATGAACAAGGAGACATGCCTCTGTGCTCTGGAAGCATTGTTATCATTACAAAGGTAAATGGTTAAACTTATTTATTCCATTTTTTCACACATTTATTAATACCAGGTAATTGCAAAAAGTAGAGCAGTTTGTCAATGAGTTGATTTCTTTTATAATTTTCCTTTTTGGAAAAATATTGAATTATTTCCCACAATTATCACAAAACTGCCGATATTAGGAGTAAGATATTATTTTGATTGAAAAAGGAATGCAATCGAAGTCATTGATTTTAATTTCAATTCCAGCAAACTTGATGTACATGGGCAAGGAGAATTTGAGAGTTTATTGAAGCAGTTGCCACATGATTTAGTAGAAAAGGACATTCTGCGGAGTCAGGAAGTTTGCATCAAAATGTTGAAAAATGGGTATGTATGTATACTTACATCTATAACGTGCTTGGTTTGATTGTCTCACCTATGTACATACGTTTACTAAAATTCCTAAAGTTTGTGGCATTTCTATATATCTGTAGAGGATCTTTTGTGACTATGTAACTGGTACTTGTCCAACTGTACTTGCAACAAATAGTAAAAATGGAGTGACATATTACAACTTTGTGACAAACTGTTCGATGATAAACAATATCATCTCTACATTGTTTTATAATTAAATTTAAGCCTATACTTAGAGGTCAGGTTTGACACCAATTAATAATGACTGTCTCAGTAATAGCAGCACACTAATACAAAACTGTAGTGAAGAACCTAATGTGACTTTTATTTTCTATTTTAAGGCTTCATGAAGAAATGGTGAAAGATTTACTTCTGTGTCCACTGTATGTAATAACAGGGTGGTCACATCTCGTTCAAACTTCAGAATTGCACACCAATCAGATCCTTATACACATGGATTCTAAATCTACATCCATCCAAACCATTTTGAACTCCTTGGAGGTTTACAGATTAACTGATGTTGTAAGTATGTCAGCAAATACTTCCACTTTTATCCAGCTTCATAAATGAATTAACCTTTTTTTGTATCCCAGAAATGTAGTCATGAACCCTCAGCATCATCCCAATCCAAACCCTTGCACCCTTTCTCTTTCTTCTTTCTCTGCACATGTAATACATATCTAATACATGAAATATTGTTGGTATTGTTACATTGCTGTAAGGAGACAGATTAAATATATATTCTGTGTACTTGTTTCTGAATCCTTTTGTGTATAACAAATGTATCACTATAACATACAATAGTAAATTACCTTTTTTATGGGAGTTAGGTCACAATGAAGAAATAGACGAATTTGTTGTTTTGTTTATGATGATATATTGTAATAAGGTGATATTGATATTTAAAGTATGTGGAGTAACCGTTTACCACCAGACAGTGATGTCCATTATCAAATTGTGTTTTCACAGTATAAGATATATGTGTATAACAACATCACATTCATCTATCTCTTTTGTAGTACACAGTCTTTCTTATACTTATACATGTCAGTGAAATAGAAGTGTATTTCTTCATTTTTTTTATGATATTAGGTTAACAATGCTTCTGTTAGCCACAGGATGTGATGGAAGCTATTATAGAACTGTTTGCCTTGACACATGATGGAGGAAGGAGTAAGACTCATGTGACCTGTCATCTCTTCCACTCTACAAGAATCCAACAAAGATGCTTAGAATTATTTGTGACAAGTAAGTCTCTTCCTTCATCAAACCTTATAAATCCTCTACGAAGAAGTCAAGCCTCATAAATCCCCATTCTGGTAACTCCAGACATATATAGTCTTTTGCCTTGGTAAATTAGCCTTACAAGTCTTTCGGCCTCATGATTCGTTTCCCCAGTTTGTTGATGCCTCATGTTTAATGATGAAGTTGATTTATGGTAACACAATAATCATGTCCTTTCTTTGGTACTTAACCTTCACATGTTTTTTCTCATACACTAAATCAACTTTCCTGCTATCTAAATGGCAAAGGGGTACCATTATCTCTTTATGGAAACCTTTGCACCATTTTTAAGTTTTCAGAAAAATTTTAGAATCATAGTTGTTGCTTTGTTATACTTAGACACATTGCAGTGTACCAAACTCATGGCCCCACAGCCCCTGAATCACAGAGGTATTGTCCTTTGTTAAAATTGTGTGTCTGGAGCATAACTATGCTTGCATTTCTGCTAGGATGATGAAACTTTGTATATACGTTGGTCATATGAAGACATTGTGCAGTGTACCAACTTACAGTGTCATTACCCTTTATTAAAATTGTGTGTTCAATAAAGCTGTTTCTCAGGAAGCATTCATCAGTGTCTCTAATACTCTTGTTTCATTTCTAAAGGCAGATCATATCATGTCATTGTTGACAATAACATGATTTGATAGATATTTACATAGAATTAAAGGTATGATTATTGTTGTAGATCAGAGCAGACTGAGTTGTGGGAGGCAACTTTGTGGGTCTGTCCTGGATGTCATGAAAACAGAATCATTAGACCATGTGGTATGTTTATTTTAACTTATTTACAATCTTTCATTTCTCTTGAAATATTGTTGAATATAAGTACCGTGCTTAGAAATGCTTTACAGAACTAAAATTGTTGAACTTGGAAATTAAAAATTGGAACATCAATATTTACTGTGTTAGTAACATGTTACAATGAGCTAGGTGGTAAAAATATTTTTATTTATAAATAAAACCAAGCAAAGATAGTCTAAAGAGATAAAATATGAACTGAAAAGGAAATATACAACAGTACGAGATGAATTGGTCTATGTTTAGCATTACGAAATGACTACATTTATTTCTCACAATTTTCATTTTGTTTTATGTTAACATGTATTTGTAACAAAGAAAATATTTCTCATTTTTCAGTAACTATTGATATCAGGGCAGATAAAAAGTTCTTGCTTTTTTATACATTGTGTGTATTTGAAAAATATTCTGAAAGTGATAAACATGATGTTACGCTGTAGAAAATACACTGTTGAAAAAATTAACCTTTGAAATATTAAGTAGAATTTGTTGTGCTCTGTAATCAGCCTTCAATAACCTGCAGGGGAAAACACATTATCTCTGACTCTTATTGACTCGTAGGTTTATTACAGGTAATAGAACAGTATATGTTGCAATTCTGTAGGACTGAAATAGATACAGTTGGGAACCAGGCATTGGCAGGTCTTTTGTGTAATAGATGTGATATGTAAAGGGGTAAACTAGTGAAGGGCACTTTAAAAGTACCTGTCACACTGGTTAAGAAACAAAATTTAAGTTTAGGAATAAATCAAAAGACATTTATATGATTATGGGCACTAGTACATGAATTATGATCTTTTAGATGACAAATGTGCATCTAAGTTTTATATTTTTACAGACCTTCAGCAAATGTTTAGATGTGCTGTGTGTGTTAACACCAGAGATGCTGCTTGCTACTGATTCAATGTTTAAAGATGGTGAAGCATTTGACCAATGCCTCACCAACACTCTGCAGTTCAGTCTTTGCTGCATTGATTGGGAACGAAGAGACACTACTCTTGTGTTCCTGACTAAACTCCTGTCAAGTTGTCAAGGTAAACAAAAAAGATTCCTGACAAAATATGCATGAATTGGTAGATAAATCTGCAGATTAGATTAATTTATGCCTGTGTGTTTACAGATATGATTTTGGAACATCTACCTTCAGTTATTGAAAAGTCTGAAACAGAACCATGAATGAGAGGATTTAACTTGCTAGATGTTTGATATAATTTTGTATCCTTTTATTATAGATCGCAGTGAGGTGACTGCATGGTTGAAGGATAGCCGTTTGTGTCTGTATATATACCAAACTTTGGATGACTCCAACAGTTATGTAAGAGCTACCGCCTTAACCTCTCTACAGAGAGTCCTGGAGTCCAGCAAGCTCACTACATACCTCCTGCAGCAATGTGACATTACCATGGTACTTATTACTAATACCATGCTAATTTTTTATGTTCCCCCAAAGGGACAGCATATAGTCAACACTTTGTCCATTAATGTGTCCATTTGTCCATTCATCATATTTTTGTCTGGAGCATAACAGGTATCAACATAAAACTTCAAAGATAGATAGATCTCAACAAGGAGAAGTGCAGTGCACCAGAACCATCACTCTCTTTTTGCATAATTTAGGTGTTATTTCCCTTCGTTATTTTTACTGAAATTTTGTCTGGAGCCTTACACTTAAACTGCAATAGGTATAACAATGAAACATCATAGGTGGACAGATCATAACAAGGAAAAGTGCATCATCAGATGGTGGGCTATTCAAATCTCTCTGTGTCCGTGGTCCGTACATCCGTCCGTCTGTCTGTTTGTAAACAATTTTTTTTATCACTATTTCATGAGAAGTACTGGAAGGATCTTTTCTCAAATTGCATATGACAGGCAGCCATCTTAGATTTTTTCTATGAAGTTTGTTATCACTATCCCTGAAAAGTAAGATATATATCTCTCTCATATTTCATACGTAGGTTCCCCTTGGTCCCTAGTTGTGCTCATTTGATTTTGGGTCTGATCAACAAAATGGCTGACAGGCAGCATCTTGGATTTTGACTTTGCAAATTGTTATCGTTACTTCTTGAGAACTACTGTATAGATCTTTCTTAAATTTCATATATAGCTGGCTTTTGTTCCCTAGTTTTACCCATCTTATTTTGGTACTGATCAGAAATACAAAATGGCCGACAGGTGACCATCTTGGATTTTTTATTTTTAAAGTATGTTATCACTATTTCTTGAGAAGTATTTGATGGATCTTTCTTAAATTTCATATGTAGGTTCTCCTTGGTCCCTTGTTGTGCCCATTCAATTTTGTGTCTGATCAGAAAAATTAAATGGCCAAAAGGTGGCCATCTTGGATTTTTGCTTCGAAAAATTGTTATCACTATTTCTTGAGAACCACTCTATATGTCACTCCCAAATTTCATGTAAAGGTCTCTTTAGGTCCCTAGTTGTGCATGTTTGAGTTGACAGGCAGCCATCTTGTATTTTGACTTTGAAAGTTTGTTATTGCTTTTTCTTAAGAAGTACTGAATGGATGTCTCTCAAATTTCATACGTATGTTCCCTTTGGTCTCTCCTTGTGGTGGTTTGATTTTGGGACAGATCAGAATAAACAAATTGGCTTCCAGGCAGCCATTTAGAATTTTGCAGGTAAAGAATATCATAGCTCTTTCCACAAAGGAATGTTTAAATGAAGAGAAGAGAAAAGAAGGGGAAAGATCCAACCTTCAAAGAGCATATAAAGGTCAAAAAATGATGGGTGCCAAGATCCCTCTGGGATTTCTTGTTCACAATTAAGTTTAGTCTGAATCATTACATTAAAACTAAAAGAGGTATCAACATGAAACTTAATAGGTAGATAGATCTCATTAGAAAGAGAGCAGTTAACGAGAATCATAACTCTCTTATTGCCCTTTGTTATTTTTCATACTTAAATTTTGTCCCACTTAGGGATAACCCGTCTCTGAGGGCCTTTGTCTTGTTTTTTTGGCAAATTCAAGATATTTGCTTCCAATTTCCTAATGTGTGATCAATGATACAAAAGGAGTGTTTATAAACTCTTGAACTTGTGCCTTTTTCAAACCTTTGTATTAAAACCTATATTATCATCTTGACAATAATACACAACTCAACTTGTCTGGTACCTAGTACACTAATTCACATCACAACGTTCTTACTGCTCCAGTATTGTAAAGTCACTTGGCATAAAATATTGTTATATATTGAACTTACCTGAAAACCTTACTGATATCTTTTGTTTCCCCTCAAGGATGATATCATCAGGAAGGTCCTGACAGTCCTGCAGGATGACACAGAAGCATTTGCTAGAAGAGAGTGCATTAGTTTTGTAACCAGGATGTGGAGTTCTGTACATGGTGATTTGAAAGTAAACACTTTACAAATTTTGGTAGAAAGAACAAGTAACGACTTTGACTGGGAGGTTAAAGCGAAATTAGTGGATTTCTGGGAGATGCTGATAGAGGAAGGTTTGACAGGATCAGATGTCCAGTTACCATCGTATGTAGATAGTTTACTACCGAGTGAAAAACACCAAAACTTTGAACAAACTAAAGGAGCATTTGAAAGCATTGAAGAACTTGTCAAGACTGGTTGCTTTGATTCTTTGTTGAAACTTCTTTATGACTATGATCAGAGTGTCTGTGAAAAAGCCTGCACACTTCTCCTAAGAGTAATGAAGCATTTGTCTGTACATTTTGAACAGCACAATTCTGTGCAGTCAGACTCTGCTATCCCTGCTAAAAGGATGAAGACAAGTGACTCAGAAACAAACATTGAGTCCATCTATCACAAGTTGAAATGTCTAAACTTGACAGCTAGACTATTAGAGGTCTCCACAACATGTGATGAATATGATAAGAATCCTATGTCACTTTTAGAAGATATGTTGTCATATTCCAACAAGGCAGACCAGGAAGATGAGAACAATGCTGTAGACTGCTATTAATGAAATAGATACAACCATATTGATTGTTATCTACATGTATAAGTAACACTGATTATGTGGATTATAGAACATTTTTAAAATACATTTTAAATATTCATATTTTCCAATACAGTATATATAGGATAGACTTTTCTCTGGTCAGTGTTGTGAAAGGTAGTCACATAGGAGTGATTATTGACTGATGGTAAATGTCTGTCTCATGTGAAGTTTTCTTTTTTTTTTTAATTCATAATTTTTTCAATTTTTCGATGATTCTTCAAAACATAAATATTTCACTCACACCCATGCCAATGCCACACTCACACGTGGACGGAGTACCCACACACGCCTTCACACACACCAATACACAGACACACCACAATATTTAAGGGCCTAATATCATTTTCACTCTAGTCACATTTTAATAATCATCATCATTATAAATAATATATATATAAATTGTATGCAACATATCATCATCATCAAACATCATCTTTCACAATGCATTATCAACAGACATCAATCATCATCATAAACATCAAATCATCATCACCACCATCATCATCACCACCATCATCACCACCATCATCATCACCATCATCATCATCACCATCATCATCAAACATCAAATCATCATCATCATTTCATTATCATTCTCAATCATCATCATCACATCATCATCAAACATCAAATCATCATCATCATCGTCAATAATCCTCCTCCTCCTCCTCCTCAAATATCATCATCAATTATCATTGTAATCATCAAACATAAACTAGAAAATTGACAAACTCCGAACCAGCATATAGAGGTGGCTATGAAATTTGGCCCAGCCTATACATGCTATGGAATGAGTACCCACACACACACACACCTTCACACTCATACACACCCTCCCTCACACATACACACACACGATCACACAGACATACATATAAATATGATAGATGGGAAAGGATGGGGCAGAAGAGAAGGGAGAGAAAAGGCAATGGATTAAAGAGGGAGAAAAGAGGAAGAAACAAGATGGAGGGCTATATCAGATACTGCCTATTTCTACATTTATAGTTAATTTATAGGTCAAAATGAAAAAAAATTGAAATGATAACCGAAATTGTGGTGATGTCAACGTCAATGGAGAAAGCAGCTCAAAATGTAGTTAATAATTCCATAATAGGTTTCCATTTTTTCCAGTTCTCAAAATTCCTTTTTATGCGACAATTTTTAGAAGAAACAATGTATTTTTGTACTCGGAAGTGATCTTTTATTGTGTTTATGAGACCATTTAAACTTAGAGATTTGGTCTCATGTGAAATTTTACTTGTACTGCTAAAAAAGATGAACCACATACAAAAGCAACCGAAGTACTAGCAGTTAGTGGATGAGTTCAACAGCAGGGACAGAGAACTTGATGTCTGCATGTGAAGGTCATATTGGAGACCCTTATGACTGCTAAATGTCATAGGAGCAGACTGGAAGAAACTGGTAGGGACAGCCAGCATACAGTTTCTAGCTGGATATTTAGGAACAGGGAAGAAAGGTTTTGCAGTCACCAGGCACAGTGCTAGGCACAAATTGACAGGAAATAAGTAGACATCATGGCCCGTAGCGATGCAGCAGGATGTGTAAATATGTGTGGCAAGAAAGTCTCCCACCTCAGGCAGTGACAAGTATGTGCAGCTGTGAGAATCAATCAGTCCCTGGTTGTGCCTCATCAGCCCAGCTCTGGAGGACGTCATGGAAAGTGCTAAACATCTTCATGATCCTCTTGATGATAATTCCAGTGTATTCCAGATGTCACATATAAAAGATATATTTATGAAGGTAACTCAAAAGAGTAATGAAATAAGTAAATGTGCAATTGTAGACACATTATCAAGATTGACTCTCATGTCCAGTGAGTTTTGTTCATAAAGAGACAAATATATTCATACTATAATGACTGTGTTTAAGTTTTATTTGTTTACATAGGTTTTTTTTTTGGAGGGGTGGGGGGCAGCTGTGAACAGTCAGGGTCATTTTGAGATGGCAACCTCACCGAGCAATATATTGAAGTCTTGTCACATACTGTCCAGAACATTTGGGTAAAGTGTCTTACCCTAGTACACAATAAAGACAACACTGACCAGTCTGTTTCTTTTCAGCTTCCTGAGGAAGTCACTTCAGGTATAGACTGTCAAACTACACATCTCAGATCTTTAGTGTCTGCTTGTGTCTGAAGATTCAGTCCTTCAGTCTTAACATAAAACAGTTAAATATCCACATCATACCCATGGACAAGAAATTTCTTTGTACTCAGAACACGAGTAACGCTCCATATGAAAGTGATGGACATGTAAATTTGAGCTTACCTGGTGTCTGTCAACTTTCCTAAGATTTTAGCCAAATTTAGTCAGAAGCATCCTTGGGGAAGTGAAATATATTGTTTTTGTAAATAATGGGTCTAGGCCCTGAGGAGCATGAAGGGTGGGACCCAAATGGAAAAAAATTAAATCCTACTTCTCCTGTAGGAATAATTCGATTTTGCCCAAATTTGATTTGAAGCATGCTTTTGGAAAGCAGAACAAATTTTGTGGGTCTCACCCTAAGGGGAGGGCCAGATAGGGGCAATAGAGAATATTATTTAAAATGCTAGTCCCCCTGCAGAAATGATTGGATTTTGCTCAACTTTAGTCAGAGGAGTGCTTGTTTGTGTAAACCATAAATGTGATCCCTATGGGGCATAGGGGCAAGGCCTAATAAGGGAAATAGATATATCTTAGATAACTAAACCAGGTGGGTGATACAGGCCTTGAAGACCTCTTGTTTATTTGCCCCATGTGTAAGACAACAGCTATTTGTTATTACACTTAAAAGAGACAGAGCTGTTTTTTGGTGTTTGCCTTGCATATGTCAAATATTTGTGGATGGATAAATGAGTTAAAAACATCTTCCTGGTAATTACACATCTTTGCTGTGAAAATGATGACAAAGTGACGAGATACATGCTGGTGAATCTTATTGGTGTCAAGTATCAATATCCTATAAGTCACTGCAGGTCAACATGAAAGGAAACACTTCCACTGAAACACTGCAGTGTTCAGGAAATACAGGATCACTTAACAACTGTTACACATGCTTTCATAATTTGATCAGGAGGGCCGTTCTTACTTGGATGTCAGAATGTATGTATTGAACAATTAAGCATATTTTGTCAGCATGGAAAGAAAGAAATTATCCTTTTGTCATTCATGTATTACCATATAAGGAGTGATCAAAACAAAATTAAGTTGTTTCATAGAGATCTGATGATACAATCAGGGTAACAGAAAAAAAATTAAGTACATTTTATTCATATCCATTTAATATCTATGTTTTGTATGTTACATGTACATGCTGAAACTATGGTAATGGTTTTAGTTCATCTACGTGTAAACATTGGTGCATGAAATGAAATTGTTTTAGATTCATTTTGAAATGAAATGCAACATTATTTGAGATCTGAATTATGACATTCTTACATAACAAACTTACTGGCTTATTTCCTGTGTCAAAATCCCAAGAAAGACCATTATGGATTTGTTGTCAATTTTCAAATTAGATTCACATTGTCCAGTTTTTATCCTCATTTGGTTAGCTTTTCCAATTTTGGATCATAATAGACATACTGCAAACCTCAGGTGGAACTAAAGTGTTGATTGCCAGAGATGAAGCTTAATGAAGAAGTTAAGATTGAACTGAGAAAATTATCAGTGAGCTAGTTATGGAATAGGTTTTAATCAACATCCCACTATCATAAGATGGTACAAGGTTGGCTATTCCAATTGCCCTTCATCTCTCGATCATCTGTCCTAAAACAATCTTTGTTGTTCCTGTTTCTAGGGAAGCACTAAGTGGATCATTCACAGATTTTATTTGTTAGTCTTGGTCTCTAGTTGTATCCTTTATTATTTTGGGACTGATTTGAAAGATAAAGTGGCAAACAGGTGACAATTTTTTATTTGACAGGTAAAGATTGTTATCAAAATTTAGAGGAATGATTACATATTTAATATAGTTAAGAACAAAAATAAAGGACGGATGAGGAAAGATCCAACATTTTAAGCACAAATAATGATCAAATCTTGGATCCCAGCTATGGGATCTTTTGTTAGATGGTTTCCAATCCACGTTCAACAATAAGAATGATGTTGCCACAATTCATTCAGCTGTCGGTACAAAAAATGATAAACTCAGTTGAAAAACAATCAATATTAATATAGTTGAATTCATTCTATAAATACTCAATTAAATTTGACTGATGAGTTTTCTGAAATTGATGTCATTTACTAAAAGTTGACCAGGTAATTGAAGAAAAGAGGTACACGGTGTTTCTTTCAATTATAGGTCTTTCCTTATCATGTGACTAGTCACGTGATCTGATAAAGATTAACCTCGTGGACAAAATGGCGGACGTGTTGTTGGTGGCCGCAGCTACATTAGCGGTGGTGGTATTTAGTTTGCTCTGGTATCAACAGAAGAAGAAGACACTTTCCGATTTCTACACAATCCCAGGACCACCGACATTGCCCTTTCTGGGAAACGCTCATCAGCTTAGCACCGATGCAAAGAGCAAGTATTTTTATGAACTGTCAACTTTGTACTGGACATAAACACTTCCGTTGCTAAACAAATACTTAAACACCCCTACGTGATACACCTTTGAAAACTTGTAATTTATCGACACTTGTGAGTAAACGTGTTTCATACGATGGCCTATACACGTAGCAGCCATGTCAAAATACGCACAAGCAAATCTTTTTTGTCAGAGGTTTCTGTATGTAGTCTGAGCAAAAACAGTTGGATTTTGTCAAGTTTGTGACAAAATATTTAGTCACGTTCTACTTTCCTTTCACTTTCTTTTCTTTTTTGTCAAAGTGATGTTAACCCATATCTGCCTTGACATATTTTGAATTTTAATTTTGCACACAATATCTACTGTTTCTTTCGATAACACCTGACTGATTGATGGGAACACTGTGTAGGAAGGAAAGCTCACATTTCCTTTAAATATCACTGGCAGATTTATTTCAGTGCCTCCAATATCTTAAATACGCATTAGATTTGCATATAGATGGCTGTAAAATAATTGATATTTCTGAAATGATATACTTAAATTTTAGATACTGGTAACATGCACACTATTAATGTCTTCTGTAAAAATGTCGAATTGCTGAAATATCATGCTTATTTTCAAAGGTGAAATTCCTCTTGCATTAAAGAATTTACTTGAATCAAATGAGATTTTATCAATACTTGAGAAAGAGAAACAATTAAAGGTCAAAGGAAGGAGGGGACCACTTGTATTTCATCTGGCAGAGTCTAGTGTTAATCAAGAGTAATGGTAATTGATAAAGCAAAGCTGAAAAGTGATATGGACCAACACTCCATTATGAGAAAACATCTGAAAGCAAAACAGAATTTGACCAAGAAGAATTGTCACTTACTCCAGAATATTCAGCTGCTTTTGTAGTTGCTGACAATGAATTTCATGTACTAAAATCTCTTGACAAAACCAGGTTGCTTAAGTGTATTTTGACATGGCTGATATGGGTCATCATAGTTTCATGATTGTGTTACAATTTGGTAGTGTCACAGGTGGTAGTTAAAGGAATTATAGCTTTTGATCATGCACAAATTTCCTACAAAACTTATGGAAAATTAAAAACCAATTAAGTATGCTAATTCATATAGCAATGTGTGAAGATTGACTTAATAAGCACTAGTAAAGCTATATAAAAATTTACATGTATGGAGAATGATGAAGGAACAATAAAGAGATTTGATGAAACATTAAAAAAATATATAAATAATATGTAAATTGAAGAATTACTTTTGAAATGAATGAGTGAGAAATTGAAATGAAACTTAATTGATTTAGTCATGGAATAGTACCAAATAATAGCAGGAGTTGAGAACAAATACAGGGACTTAAATCTAAACTCCCATTAAAGGGAAGACATTTTTTGACATCGAAATGATTTCAGATGTGTAATGTTGACATATTCAAAATAGAGATAGAGGATAATATTTGTTTTTTTCACTTGAATGATAAAATATCATAATATTAGATCCATGTTTTCCTGCAGAGTTTTATACCCAACTGCTTGAGTATAGTGCTGAATGGGCAAATACTGGAATATTCAAGATATTGCTTGGAAATAAACCAATCATAGCAGTTTATAGAGCCGAGTACATTGAGGTAAACTTATGTGTTAAGTAGTGTAGCTAGAATGTGCACTGTATGTAATGTATATAGCTTTGTGATGTTTGTTATATGTGTAGCTAAGGGCTATCATTGAAGGACTGGCAAAATTACTCTATTGTTTTATCTAAACATGTTATATTTTGTGAGTTATTCGACGACAAATGTAGGGAAAGTAATCTTAGAAATAATTTCAAAATTAATTTCAGTACTGTTTGATTTTTGTCATATGAAGATTGTAAACTTCAAATTGGTTCCAAACTGATATTTAATAGAACTTTTGGGGTAAATACTGTAGAGCCAAACAACGTATTAAAGGTAACCAGCAACAACATTTTGCAAGTCTATCTTTTGACATACCTAGGTAGTGCCCTGAATCAAAATTCACCTTTTGATAATTTAGAAGTGGAAGTCTCGTATGATATGGTAGCTTTTGTCTTTCTTCACCCTTGCCAAAATAAAGCTTATATTTTAAGACGTTAACAATGTATTCTATTCATCTTTTAAAACTGATTGCGAAAAAGGCAATCAAAACTTCAATCTTTGTTTTTACGCCAAAATAATTTCTCCATGCAGGAATATAGTTTCAACTTTCAACAAATATGGCAGTGATTTAATGAATTTTTGTAAATAAAATTGTTCATAACAACATATAAAATCACTTATTTCAACAGTTATGTTTATTCTTCAATTTAATTTTTAAGTAATTTCTGAAAGTTATTCTGTTGAAATAAGGCACATGGTAAAATACACCTGTTTTCCATTACTACCAAATACAACAAAAATATATATGGTAGGTGTATTCCTACAATGATAGTGCCAGTTGTAGGATAAAAGGTCCTGTTCATTTGTATCTTTTGTACAGTCTTAGTTGTAAATGTGCTGTAACTGTCAGCTTTGTTATAACTGCACTGTAGCTGTTAGCTTTGTTAAAACTGCACTGTAGCTGTTAGCTTTGTTATAACTGCACTGTAGCTGTTAGCTTTGTTATAACTGTAGTGTAGCTGTAAGCTTTGTTATAACTGTAGTGTAGCTGTTAGCTTTGTTATAACTGTAGTGTAGCTGTAAGCTTTGTTATAACTGTAGTGTAGCTGTAAACTTTGTTATAACTGTAGTGTAGCTGTAAACTTTGTTATAACTGTAGTGTAGCTGTAAGCTTTGTTATAACTGTAGTGTAGCTGTAAGCTTTGTTATAACTGTAGTGTAGCTGTAAGCTTTGTTATAACTGCACTGTAGCTGTTAGCTTTGTTATAACTGCAGTGTAGCTGTAAGCTTTGTTATAACCATAGTGTAGCTGTTAGCATTGTTATAACTGTAGTGTAGCTGTAAGCTTTGTTATAACTGTAGTGTAGCTGTTAGCTTTGTTATAACTGTAGTGTAGCTGTAAGCTTTGTTATAACTGTAGTGTAGCTGTAAACTTTGTTATAACTGTAGTGTAGCTGTAAACTTTGTTATAACTGTAGTGTAGCTGTAAACTTTGTTATAACCGTAGTGTAGCTGTAAGCTTTGTTATAACTGTAGTGTAGCTGTAAGCTTTGTTATAACTGTAGTGTAGCTGTTAGCTTTGTTATAACTGTAGTGTAGCTGTAAACTTTGTTATAACTGTAGTGTAGCTGTAAACTTTGTTATAACTGCACTGTAGCTGTAAGCTTTGTTATAACTGCACTGTAGCTGTAAACTTTGTTATAACTGTAGTGTAGCTGTAAACTTTGTTAAGACTGTGTTGTAGCTGTAAGCTTTGTTAAGACCGTGTTGTAGCTGTAAGCTTTGTTAAGACTGTGTTGTAGCTGTAAGCTTTGTTAAGACTGTGTTGTAACTGTAAGCTTTGTTAAGACTGTGTTGTAACTGTAAGCTTTGTTAAGAATGTGTTGTAGCTGTAAGCTTTGTTAAGACCGTGTTGTAGCTGTAAGCTTTGTTAAGACCGTGTTGTAGCTGTAAACTTTGTTAAGACCGTGTTGTAGCTGTAAGCTTTGTTAAGACCGTGTTGTAGCTGTAAGCTTTGTTAAGACCGTGTTGTAGCTGTAAGCTTTGTTAGCTGTAAGCTTTGTTAAGACCGTGTTGTAGCTGTAAGCTTTGTTAAGACTGTGTTGTAGCTGTAAGCTTTGTTAAGACTGTGTTGTAGCTGTAAGCTTTGTTAAGACCGTGTTGTAGCTGTAAGCTTTGTTAAGACTGTGTTGCAGCTGTAAGCTTTGTTAAGACCGTGTTGTAGCTGTAAGCTTTGTTAAGACCGTGTTGTAGCTGTAAGCTTTATTAAGAGCTACAACTTTGTTAAGACTGTGTTGTAGCTGTAAGCTTTGTTAAGACTGTGTTGTAGCTGTAAGCTTTGTTAAGACTGTGTTGTAGCTGTAAACTTTGTTAAGACTGTGTCATAGCTGTAAGCTTTGTCATTATTGTGCTGTAGCTTGCTTGTAAAGTGGTCAGTGTTTTTATGACATCTCACTTGTTCAATGTGCCCAAAGTGTAGTTGAAGTGAGCTTCTGTTGTAACACAACCTCCATTCTTTAAAATAACTTATTCATGTATCATACAGGAATTCATCCTTGATACTCCAAGGGTTACGATCACTACATCTTACATCCTCGATACTCCAGTGGTTATGATCACTACATCTTACATCCTCAATACTCCAGTAGTTATGATCACTTCATCCTCGATACTCCAGTGGTTATGATCACTTTATCCTTGATACTCCAGGGATCAACCTTTCCATGTCATGGTGTTTGGCTGATGGGTTGCTGGGATGAAGCCCAACAATGTTTGCGAAAAGAAATGACTTTGACTCCTTATTCAAGGTCACAGAAGTGAAATTAACCAAATAACCAACATTCCAAATGTCATATTTGGCTGATGGGTTGCTAGGATGAGGTCGACAAAGTTTGCGAAAAATGAACGACCTTCAACCATATTAAAGGTGACAGGGGTCAAATTGTTAGGCCACCTGAAACAATGTCTCATGATGACTCATCGTGATCGGTTTTTGTCAAGCACTGTATATTTTTTACTTTTTCTCAAAAACCCTTGAACTGATTTTGCTGAAACCTTCCCTGACCAAAGAGTGAATAATACTTGAGTATCTTGGTAACAATTGATTTCATACTTTTAAGAATTTTCTAATCATACTGAAGGTGAACTGAACACTTTGATATCAATTGCTTTATACTTATTTACTGTACATTTCATCATGGAAACATACATTGATATATAACTCCAGAACTTGTGGATGTTTTCACATAGAGATTTTGTATTGTTGATGTACACAAACTAATCTTATAGTAATGTGTTTTTGTTGGTAGGTTTTTATTGCCAGCTTGTTGGGTTTTGTAATGAATATGCTGATGCAGGGTTGTTTAGACTGCTGCTGAGCAGCCAGCCATGTGTTTGTGTGTACAGGGCAGACTATGTAGAGGTAACATTTATCATTGGGAAAATATTTGAGTTAAAAAAAGGAAAATTTGCACTTCTTTTTCCTACATGTAAGCACATTACATGATTGATGTCTCAATGTGAATCTGCAACTTTGAAACTTGCATGTTGAATTCTTAAGTATGTATCTATATCGCTGATACTTCCAATGTAATCTTTTTTCTCTTCTGTATTGATTCTTTGATTCAGTATTGAGATAACAAAATCTACAGTCATTCTCTATCACCTATTGCAAACAGGAAATGGAAATGAATCCTTGGGTCATATGCGGTATAGTTGGTCAGTGTTAATTTCAAAGTCATATCTGCTGCTAGTTGTTGGGGAGTAGGGGCAGGGGATGATAGATGTCAATTCTAAGCCATGAAAAAGTGGAAGTCTACGTCATAATTCACTTTTCCTAAATAGACACAAAAGGATTGAGGGTCAATTGATGTCAGTTAGATCAAGCTCGAAATTGTTGGAGAGGAGAGCAGGTTTTAACCACAATTCAGATCATATGCTTTTTAGCTCACCTGTAGGAATAATTGGATTTTGCCCGAATTTGGTCTAAAGTGTCTTTGGGTAAAGGGGAATCAATTTGTATAAACAGTCGGTCTCCACCCCCTGGGGCTCAGGGGCAGGACCCAATAGGGGAAATAGAGCAAATTCTTTAAAATCCTACTGCTCCTGTAGGAATGAATTTATTTTGTCAAAATGTTGTGTGAAGGATGTTTGGGTAAAGGGAAATCAGTTTTGTATAAAAGGATGGATATTGGCCCAAAAGGGCTATAGAGGAGGGGCTGAAGGGCTCAGGAAATGTGTTACATCTTTTAAAATGGTTGAGATCTGCATCCCATAAGCATATATAGCATTGCTAGACATCAAAAGATAAACACAATCATGATGTAAGATTGGCCCTGGGGTGTGCCCCACTCCTAGGGACTTAGTTTCTGGGTAATTTGTTATGTTAGAATTGACCCGTGGTTGTGGCACACCTCTAGGGACATCATTTCTGGGTCATATTTTTGATGTAGCTGGGATACTAAATGGATGACCATATAAACTCTTACCTGGCATCAAAAGAGCAAGACAGTCATGGTACAAGTATAAACCCATTGGTCTCTCCCCATCAAAGAGGTAGACAGCTTTAATTTGGAAATATTTGAAATACCCAACCTATATACATGTGTACCATCGCTGGGCATTAAGATCCAGGTGAGCGATAGAGGCCCGATGGACCTCTTGTTTATGAATCAAAATGATAATGTAGAATCATGTATTTCTAAGTTACTATATTACATCATATCTTTAAATGTATGCACCACATCATTGTTCATATACCTTCATTTTTTAATCCAGTTTGAATACAATTGCTGTTTTTTTGTTTGTTTGTTTGTTTGTTTGTTTTTGTTTTGGCATGCTTTTTGATTTCTCGCTCCTTCCAATTAAGTGCTATACACGTGTATCAATGCGAATACCGTGACCAGCCAATCAGCTGACCTGAAAATATTTCACAATGAAGAATGCAGCTCAGACCTGTGCCAGAAGTGTATAATGACAGATGGGACAAGTACCTGTGCTGTAAACCCAGGATAGGTTATGTTTCACTCAACAAGTAGATTTCATTCTTAGGTTTGATTGACCATATCTGTCTTGACCTTTCAAGGAAAAGGTCATTTAAGTTCTGGTATAGCCTAATTCCTAGGTCAGCTAAATGACCTAGCCTAAATGGAAACCATTCATTGTCCATTTTGAATTTGTGTTCTCACTCAGACACTGAATTAAATTATATCGTACCATGTATATCTGTTTCCTTTGTTCTTATATTACCAGAGAGTCTAGTATACTATTCTATAGATCAATTGCTGTCAAAGTATCTGTATATACATTCTTTTAGAAAAGAAGTCATTTTGAAACTTTCTTTTAATAATACAAAACATCACAGGAGAATCTAATATTCCAACATTTGTTACATGTTCTTATTTGCATAATTTCATATAATTTAAAACACTTTAATGAACTGAATTGCAAGCTATATAAACTTTTTGTTTAGCTGTGAAAATGTGTTTCAATGTCTTTTTATTATAGAATTCTGTCATTGGTTAGAGAAGAAAACCTGTATTCCTGATCAACATTATATATATAAGCATTCAAGCTGGATCAGTTAAAAGCAAAATGTATGATTAAAGATTGAAATTCAATTCTTCTTAAAACAGGTCCTCCTCAACAGCAGTAAGCACATGGACAAGTCTGATGAATACAGATTCCTCCATCCCTGGCTTGGTACAGGACTACTGACAAGGTAACATGCACATCACCTGAAAGATCTTGTCATGCCTGTCCAATGTTAATTTTTTCATTGAAGCTTCTTCTTTAGAACATTGAGGTCAAGAGTTATGATATTTCTTCTGAATAACTTATCCAACTTAAAATATATCAGAAATTCAAACAACTTCTGTTATTTGTCCATGAGCTCTAAAGTTAAATATCTTATCTAAAGTTTGCATGGGAAGCAATCGATCACTGTTGTTTGGTTACTGGTCAGATGTGTTGAAAAAATGTGATGTGCAACAGGAAGGTAGTTAATATGGATTGCATAAATCTTAAAATTTTTGAATTTACATTTTTTTTCTGTCAATTTCATGTTAGATGTACAGTACTTTCAATGTTAGACATGTTTATAACAAATAGCACTCATTTTTACAAAAAATAAGTACAACTAAAGACAATTTTTAAATTGAATTGGAGATGTGATGAGAAACTTGTCTGTACCTATTGTGTAATGAGTTGTCTGACAATGTTATCCACTCACAGCACTGGAGACAAATGGAAAATTCGGAGGAAGATGTTGACCCCTACTTTCCATTTCAAGATTCTCCATGACTTTATTGGTGTGTTCAATGATCAGTCCAATGTGATGGTGAAGAAACTACAAAAGGTCGCTGATAAAGGACCCTTCGATGTCTTTCCCTACATCACCCTGTGTGCTCTTGATATCATTTGTGGTGAGATGTCTTGTTCACTTGTTTGAGTTGTCTGGTTATGGAATTTTATATAACTTTTATCTGAGGCAGTGTTGGATTGGCTTCTCAAAAGCATAATAAAGAGAATAATAAAGCAACACAAGCACCTAGTCTGAATTATTCTGACATTATTCCATCAACATTTTTATATTGATTTGGAGTTGACACCAGACTGATATGATAAAGTTAATAGGCCATTGAATTAATAACTAAAGCATTGTCTTGTTATAAGACTACCCCTCTATGTAGAGTTGGAGGTCATTTGTAAGCTTCTGGGACTTACAGCAGGATATATGTAGTACGACTGTAAGTAATATTAGTGGTATGATTTCTGTAGAGACTGCCATGGGAAGACATGTGAATGCCCAGGGGAACAGCGACTCTGATTATGTTCGAGCCATCAACAAGTAAGAATATTTTATGTTTAAATATATCAGTGCAGTATTTTATAAGAGGAAAAATTGTAATAAGAAACCTTATGAAAATTCCTCCAATTCCTTAGAGGGACTGAGATACCCCTAACATCGTGTAGTACAGTATCCTCACCCTTCCTAAACTCTTGTAAGAGAGGATTTAAACTGTTATTAAACAACAGACAATAAGGAGGGGATCATATACAGCATTGTTAAACTGTAGTATTTATCATTTCCAATCATATTGAAGACAATGAAATGAAGCAGGCCTATTTTACCTTGTTTAGGATCACAGTCTTGATACTGCTGCGAATGCGTCGCCCATGGTACTGGCCTAACATTCTCTTCAATCTACTGGGGCCAGGCAGAGAACATGACAAGTGTCTGAAGACTCTCCACTCCTTCACATCAAAGGTAGTTAACAAATTAAAAAGCAAGTCACTGTCTCTGATGAGCCCTTACCTGCAACAGAGTGCTGCGAAAATTACAGAGCATGATCACCCTTCAGAAGCTTCAAAAGTATAACAGGCTAAGTATACTGCCATCATTTTCACCGTGAAAATTTGTTGATGTTTGGTGATACATGTATATCAAACGTAAAGTAGATAATGATTTTGAATGAAAGTGTCATACATTTATGAATTAGTCGTTCCGAGATTTGTGGTATGCTGCAACAGGTATGGTTGATCAGAAAAAAGAAGTTACAGGTACATTTAAATACCTACAAAAGACTCTACATTGTTATTATGTTGAATAAAGATTGTGGCAGTAATCTTTTGATGTTTAAACTGCATTATTCAGGTGATCATAGAGCGTAGCGATGAGTTTAGACAGAAGAGGTCAGAGGAGACAACTATGGAAGAAATAATGAAAAGTCGTGGAGATGATGACACCATATACTTGGAGAAGGGTAAGCGTCTAGCCTTCCTGGACATGCTGTTGTGTGCCTCAGCTGATGGTCATCACCTTTCATTTGAGGACATCCGAGAGGAAGTGGACACATTCATGTTTGAGGTGAGGGTTCACTCCACATGTCAGAATAAGTTTAGTTTTGTTGTTTTTTGATTGAAAAATGTTTGATTTTCAGTTGAGAAATTTTCTCTCCTGAGCTGTTGGGAATTGCTATTTTATTTACTGATGTTTTAATAAATTGCTTGAGTATTTTCTTTCTTTCTTAAGCAATTTATGATGAAAGGGGAAATGTTTGTCTTGTCATATTTTGAAAGACATCAGTGGATTTTTGGAAATTAACATAAACAATAAATTAATAAATAGCATAATACCTATGTAGCTTAATACGATAATCTGAGCCATGCCAATGTTTGTAATTATACACACAGCCATACAGTGTAATGATCCATTTGATTAGAAAGGTTATGAAACTAATTGTATTGATTATATGATATCGCCAGTTTGTGACTTCAGCATAGTTTAATATGATCTGATTATTGTCTGATGATAGACTTCAATTTCATGGACTGTGCCACTAATTTACAAAAGATTGTTCAATTAATTATGATATTGTTAATGTTGTGGAGTGTTGTGGAGGATACTCACTCAACTTTGGTTTTAATTAGGGTCATGATACAACAGCCGCAGCCATTACCTGGTGTACACACCTGATCGGGGAACACCCACACGTCCAGGATAAGTTACATGAGGAAATGGACAGCATCTTTGGTGGGTTCTGCATAATATTTATCTTCATGTGTTGTGATCCCCCTACCATTTTATGTGGGGTATATAGTGTTACCTGTTATATCACAATGTGTTGTGTCACATTCAGGATCAATTTCATATCTAAAGAATCCCTCAACACAGTATGCTAATTTTAACCAATAGCATCATAACATCAAGTTATACACCATATATTAAGATGGTGATCAGTCAAGGTTCAAGGGTCATGGGTCACATATAACACCTTCTGCAAATTCATCAAACAGTGATACTTACATGCATGGGAGTTCAGTTGTTACATATATATTCTAGGTTTATTGATATAATGCTCTATCGCTTGTCATACTTTAGTCTGGGACTTGTAATATGACCTTATGATGTCATAAAATGAAATGACATCGCACACCTTGATTGTTGTATGAACTTACAGGACCTTATAAGGATGACATGAAAATCATGTTCTCTCTAGTATTTAATCCTTGAGCCCAGATTTAAGATCGAAAGGGGTCTTACTGTGGGAGAAAACCTCCATCTGGTCTGACAGATGACCCATGCTTTTTCACCTCGACTCAAGGAATCAAACACAGAACTTTTTGGTGAAAAGCAAGTGTGTTATCTCTGTGCCACCAGACACCCAGCATTTGTCCAAGAAGAATTGATAGGATGATAATGTGATAAAAAAATTCAAAGAATATTTCTGTTTCATAGATCATACATATATGTTAACAATGTCATTGACTTCCCAGAAGGAAAAGGTTTTCTAATCACCTCAACATTTAAGTTACAATTTCTTTAATTAGAGTAATTGATATCCATCAGCAAGGATATTATCTTGTGAATTCCTTCTTGGTTACCATGGTTTCAGGAGACAGTGACCGACCAGCCACCATGAAGGACCTGAAGGACATGAAGTACTTGGAATGTACAATTAAGGTAGGTAAAAGGTCAATTTATTTTGTTTTATCCTTCAATATGTTTATAATAAACCTGTAAAGTATATTTGATTAAACTTATTATCAAAAGTTTCTCAGTTGTAATTTATATTTGAATATAGGAGCTATTTTTATCCTTGTGAGTTGATGAGTCAATTTCTATTTTTTTTTCGTAGGAAGCTCTACGACTTTACCCTTCAGTACCTTTCTTTGGAAGGAGTGTTACAGAGGACGTCACCATAGGTAAGTGAATCATTTGTTGGAACTCGTCAATACACATAATATACCAATACAGCAATATAGCTGTCAGAAAACATTAAGTAAGTTTTTCCATTGTACTTTGTTTCTTTGTATCAAACATTGAAAAAAATGACAGTATTATTGCATTAATAAAATTAATTTGTAATTTGAAGAGGCCTGTAAATTCTATGGAAAAACATATACTTGGGATTGGGGATGGGTTTTTTTTTTTTTTTTTTTTGGTGTAGATGGCGACACATCTGTATTCACACAGGAATAACTTCAAATATTTATGATAAGTTTTACACTGTATCTTTGATTTTTGTTTATATCTGACTGGAGAAAATGAAGTATTTGAAATCAAAAATGCAGAAAGGGCACTTTTGTTTAACTTTCAGGAAACCAGTACAAACTGAAGAAGGGCACTACTGCTGTAATTGTCCCTGTTGCACTTCATCTGGATGAGCGCTACTTTCCTGATCCAAACAAATTTGACCCACACCGTTTCATGCCGCAAAATTCAACTCGTCATCCATTCAGCTATGTCCCCTTCTCAGCTGGACCCCGCAACTGCATTGGTCAGTATTTCAGGACATTTCCTCCAGGTTGATAAGGTGGTCCTATTGCATTGGTCAGTGTTTATTGGAAACTGTTCAATGGTTACCATAGCGAGGTCTTTTGTTTGATTGAAACAATATATTGATCTCTTATACAAAAACTGTATGTCTTAAGGGGGAAAAAATATCATCTTTTATTTGTTCGTGATCATGTGAGTGGTCAGAAATCTGTGGTGGAGTATTAAAAGTGAATTTCATGATGTAATTTCTGCAACAAGTTTATCAGATTACTTTCACAATTATGCTAATGTACCAAAATCATGCGTGCAAAACTCAGCAGCAGTACAGAATTTATTTGTAACACTGAAACATTAGAAGTAGAGCTATGATGGTGAAACTAAGGGTATTGCTTGTTTATTTGCCACATTTTCATCTAGTTACACCACATGAGGATGTCTCTCTGTCCATTCACATTTTCATCTAGTTACACCACATGAGGATGTCTCTCTGTCCATTCACATTTTCATCTAGTTACATCACATGGGGATGTCTCTCTGTCCATTCACATTTTCATCTAGTTACACCACATGGGGATGTCTCTCTGTCCATTCACATTTTCATCTAGTTACACCACATGGAGATGTCTCTCTGTCCATTCACATTTTCATCTAGTTACACCAAATGGGGATGTCTCTGTCCATTCACATTTTCATCTAGTTACACCACATGGGGATGTCTCTCTGTCCATTCACATTTTCATCTAGTTACACGACATGGGGATTTCTTTCTGTCCATTCACATTTTCATCTAGTTACACCACATGGGGATGTCTCTCTGTCCATTCACATTCTCTCTAGTTACACCACATGGGGATGTCTCTGTCCATTCACATTTCTCTCTAGTTACACCACATGGAGATGTCTCTCTGTCCATTCACATTTTCTTCTAGTTACACCACATGAGGATGTCTCTCTGTCCATTCACATTTTCATCTAGTTACACCACATGGGGATGTCTCTCTGTCCATTCACATTTTCTTCTAGTTACACCACATGGGGATGTCTCTCTGTCCATTCACATTTTCATCTAGTTACACGACATGGGGATTTCTTTCTGTCCATTCACATTTTCATCTAGTTACACCACATGGGGATGTCTCTCTGTCCATTCACATTCTCTCTAGTTACACCACATGGGGATGTCTCTCTGTCCATTCACATTTCTCTCTAGTTACACCACATGGGGATGTCTCTCTGTCCATTCACATTTTCTTCTAGTTACACCACATGGGGATGTCTCTCTGTCCATTCACATTTTCATCTAGTTACACCACATGGGGATGTGTGTCCATTTACATTTTACAGAAAAGTTGTAAATAGTAGTACTTGGTATGCACTCGTATAAATTTTATAAAATTTGATGTACATGACTTAGAACCTTAAGTAGTTCTGCGCTTAGGATTTATTTTTTATTTTGATAATTGCCTTAAGTGATGAGCCTCTTTAATCTTTTTTTAGAGAGAGAAATATTCTTCAAATGCACGGGGAAAAAACTGTCAATTCTTTTCCTGTTGTAGCTTGGTGGTTTTTCAGCAATAATAAATAGACAGTGTCTTTTTACACTTTTCAAAACAGCCATTGTGATTCCATGGCCTGATCGCACAAGAAATGTTCACATTTATTCTCCTTCTACACTCCATTAATATTCTTGGTCTGATGTATATATATTTCTCAACTCGATGTTTTTAAGTACTCGAGCTCCCACTTTTGAGGACTATACAGATCACTTTGTTTTCCAGGCCAGAGATTTGCGCTGATGGAAGAAAAGGTGATGATCTCGTCCATACTGAGGAATTTTCACATCATTGCTACACAGAAGAGAGAGGACCTCAGTCCGGTCGGTGAACTTATCCTGCGACCAGAATTTGGAGTGGATATCAAGTTAAAGAATAGAAAGTAGAATCAAGCAGACAAATATGGTTTCTTTTAATTAGATCCAGAAAACAGATAAGCTGTTTTAACACTGCTAGTAATAGAGATAGTGATATGTTAATTTGGATACTATTTTAGAGATCATGATATTGCTGTCTACAAGGAACAGTTGTTGTAGCTGTTATTTTCACCATGTACCCAGTGTAACGAGAATTCGTCCTGATTGAGAATATTTGGATATCAATTATTATTAAAAGTATTTCCAACATTAATCAAAGCAAAATAGAATAAGTCTTTATTTTAGTGAAGGACTATATATCAAGGAATGATTCATCATGTGAAGCATATGTCCATACATTAATTTGTCATAGTATTGAAACATTAGTCATTTGACAGCAAAAATTGTTCCTAAAGAGCTTCATCTAAACTGAAGATGACTTACATTACCAAATGATGCCACAGCGTTCTTTTATTGTTATCAAAGAGGTAATAGGTAGATATTTATGTATTCCAAATGTGTAGAGAAGACAGTTAAATCAAGAACAAGACTCTTGGATTTTAAACATGTTGTCTTTACTCTCAAAACAATGAGAAATTAAGAAAGAAACTGATTATGTGAGATGTGAAATCTTAATACCATTTCTTTGATAAATTAGGACAAACAATACAAAATTTGAGATTTGCCTTAGTCTTGCCTAGCTGTAGCAAAAACTTAGGCATTCATAACATTGAATATTATTATTAGTATTATTAGTATTAGAGTAGAAGTTTGTACTTGAAGTTATAAATATTTTAAAATTGTGTATCTAGTGCCGGATGAGAATGATATTGGTGAATTTCTATTTTATACAAATTCAAGGTCATGACAACCAGAGTGAAGTGAAATCCTCTTTGATATACTCAATGTATAATTTATCAAAATTGAATAAAATATTGGATTGTTAATACCTAAATACTTTTTATATGAGATCATATGCAATGCAATCTATAATAACTCCCACTAAAGATATGGTAAGTAGGGGGTGTTCCCGGAACGCCTACATGTCCATGACAATAGGTAGAAACATCAAAGGGAGGGTAATTATAATCTGTTTCATATAGGTACTGCATTTACCTGAGATATTTTACCTGTGGATCTACCTGTAATTTTTAGATATTACAGATGTATCATTATAAATCAACAATTAATTATTGATATTTTGTCTCTTAATACTTCAGTATTGCAGACAGAAAGTACATGTATACATGCACATGTCCTTCTAAAAATTGAATCAACTTCTTTCTCTGTCATATTGATAAATAATAAATCTACGCATAGTCATTTACATAATCATTTACCTTTCTCTGCGAGAAGACCCAATTCTGTATAAATGACCGTTACATGCTAAGTTGTTATCCCCTTTTCTATTCTGGATGAACTTAAAATCTAACTGAGCATTAGCCATGATTGATTTCTAACAATGTCAGTTAAGTGTCAGAACCTTTTAATGAATGATGGAATTGGGGATTAATTTTGAATCTTATATAGATAAATATATATTTTTTTATCAATATAGATAAATATATAGCTTGGATAATCACCTCAAGGTGTCACATCAGATGTAGCTTGGTCAACGTTAGCACAGTATTAATAGAGTTTATCATGGTTTAACAGATTGAACTAAGACAAGTAAACAGTTTTCATATTAAAACATTTCACTGGAAAAATATCATCTGAACCCAAAAATATTATAATCAAAAATTATATAGTGGAAATGATATCACAATAGTTTATATTATTTTGGAATATACAACAAAAATAATATAACGTCATTAAAAATTGCATAATAATTACATGTACATTATGTCATCATACACGGCATAATAATTACATGTACATTATGTCACCATACACGACATAATAACTACATGTACATTATGTCACCATACACAACATAATAACTACATGTACATTATGTCACCATACACGACATAATAATTACATGTACATTATGTCACCATACACGGCATAATAATTACATGTACATTATGTCACCATACACGACATAATAACTACATGTACATTATGTCACCATACACGACATAATAACTACATGTACATTATGTCACCATACACGACATAATAATTACATGTACATTATGTCACCATACACGACATAATAATTACATGTACATTATGTCACCATACACGACATAATAATTACATGTACATTATGTCACCATATATATTTTATTATATTATGTCTTTAATTATTTTTATTTTATTTCCTTTTTTGGCTGAGTTTTTTTTTATACATGTACAGGTGAGAACCACAGGTAAAAATACAGGTAAACCTAACTAACATTAATGATATAGACTATCATCACTGTAAAAACAAAGTTCCCGGTAGATGTTTATAATATGTATGTGTTCCGGGATACAGCCATAAGTACAACGTCTGATTTCTGGTAAACACAGCACCTTTGCCATCCTGTTGTAATCTGTGCCTTTTTTGGGGATATTTGGAGGTCAGTTATGTGTCATATTTTTATCTACCTCATTTTTATGCACAATTTCCAAAGTACGGCCATTTATTCTCAAGAATTTGAATACCCATTGGTAAATTTTCCTGCCAGAATAAGACAAAGACCCACCTTCCCACTCCCAGGATAGATAAAAATTTTTAAAGAGTAACTATTTTTATTGAAATGTAATTTAAAACATATTGGTCAATATGGCACTTTCATGATATTGAAGGTTTTATTCCAGAACACTGGAATCCCTTGGTACCTTGCAATACCTATATGATCAGAAACCATGACAACCTGAATAACCAAATTACTGAGTTCAGTATATCATACTTTAGCTGTATATCTGAAGATCATTTATCATGAGAACATGGCACAGTCCAACAATACATATTGATTGTTAGGTTTCATATGTCAAGTCCTACAGTTATTGTACAAATCAATTTCAATTACTTATCAAACTGTTGTTTAATAACTCATCAAAATCATCATTAATCAAAAGTAATGAAATATTTACTAAAACAGATTTAACCTTCCCCTTAATGTGTTATAATAAGCTATTCATTGTCAGTTCATTTGATGATCAATCTGCTATAATTTGTTGATACTGTTGTTATTTACTTTTGTAATCAAACTTCAAAACAAAGTAAATGATATATTGTTGATTATATAATGTTCTTAATAAATAGCTGCATGATTTTATGTTTTTGTGTGATTTTATGATCAGCCATGAATTGAGGGTCAAAAGGTAACAAGCTGTTGATAGATTTTGTTGTGATTAAACAGTAAGTAATGTACATTTGCCTTGTGTTTATCAACCATAGTGTTTGACTTCGTATCGTTAAGTAATCAGATTAGTTAGACAGGGCTGACACAACTCTTTTATCAGATATCACTGCTGATAATGAAATGAAAGAAATTTTAAAATACGTGATGATTTGCATTCTTTTCCTAATTCCAAAAGCTCACATGAAAACAAAACAAAGCCAAAATAGGGAAGTTAGTACAGGTATGAACAAATCTTTTCTATGTTCTAACAAAGAAGATAATAGTGTTGATGAAATGCCGTTTGAGGTTGTACTCACACCATGCCTAACAGACACATTTATCTTAATTTTCTGTTTTGGATTACCATAAGACCTATATCTTGAATTATGATTTGAATTCTTTTTTGAGCAGTATTTAAAAAAACAGTTTCCTTTACTTGCATCAGTTTTCTTGACTGATTTCAGCAAGGAAAGTTTATTTTTTATAGCAGCTTCAACTGAATTCTGTCCTCCGAGTATTTAAAAATGATAATCCTACTGTGCACTTCAGCATGTTCAGTTATTTTTTTAAGGAAAACATGAACATTTATCATCATATCACATTATAATGTAGCTCTCTCTACAAACAGGACCTCTGTCTAGCTGCAGACTGATGTAAATAATGGATACGTTGCATACACAGTCATAAATTCCACTTAGTGTGGTCATAATGTACTGACATGTTATTTGATTTCCATTTAGGGATTCAGATTTCAATCTATCTTTTTTTTGGTTTTTATACAAAAGACATTATTGGATAAACCCAATCTGAAGATGAACCCAATTTTGTATGTTTTCATTTTGCACTGTCTGACATGGTTTTCTACAGAAATCGACAATATCTTGAATTTCATTTTCCAAATGATAAGAATTTTGAAACATTTTCTTCAGGTTGCTCCACATTGGTCATTTGTCTGAAGGTGATCAAAATTGCACACTCAAATCTTTCGCTGGTTGTGTTATAAGAACTTCAATTCCAGTCACATTCAAAGAGCTGTTTTATTGGAGCCTTGAGAACTTTTTTAAATTAAACATCAACTATCTATTTTGTAGTAAAATGAAAACAAAGCAAAAAAATTTTCAAGTTTTTTATTGAAAACAATTATTTGAAAAAAAACTATTGATATCAAACATATGAACAAGGAAAATGAGGACATCACTATATATGTGTAATTATTCTTGTCTTAAAACACAATCATGCAGCAGCCCTTCTCCCTATCTATCTATAGGTCACCACAGCTGTCAGAAAAATTCACAATCTTAACAATGTAAACGGATTTAAATATAAAATACCTATAACAAAAGTAAGCAATTGGTATAATCCATTATGCAAAAATGATCAGTAGCAGCGAAATAATGAGACATCCATTCAATAAATGAAATAAACTGACACATTTAATTCATTTCTTATGTATATATGAAAATCATATGAAAATATGAAAAAAGTGCAGAAACGCCTTTCATTCTCAAATTTGAACAATCCCATTAAAAAAATGTGAAACTGTATAACAGTACTCGAATCTCCATCCTTGAAATCCAAGTAATCAATCCGTCACTATCCTGTTATTTTCTCATCCATGGAATATGTACCCTGGTAATTGAAAACTCATTCTCATAGTCAGCCACTCATACGTTTACAAAGATGCAACATCTCTTTATTCAAGATTATATATGTATGTGTGTGTGGGTGTTTGTGTGGGAGGTTGTGTGTGTGTGTGGATGGGAGGTGGTGTGTGTGTGTGAGTTGGTGTGTGGGAGGTGGTGGGTGTGCGTGTGGGAGAGGGTGTGTGTGTGGGTGTGTGTGTGGGTGTGCGTGTGGGAGGTGGTGTGGGTGTGCGTGTGGGAGGTGGTGTGTGTGTGTGAGTTGGTGTGTGGGAGGTGGTGGGTGTGCGTGTGGGAGAGGGTGTGTGTGTGGGTGTGTGTGTGGGTGTGCGTGTGGGAGGTGGTGTGGGTGTGCGTGTGGGAGGTGGTGTGTGTGTGTGTGAGTTGGTGTGTGGGAGGTGGTGGGTGTGCGTGTGGGAGAGGGTGTGTGTGTGGGTGTGTGTGTGGGTGTGTGTGTGGGTGTGCGTGTGGGAGGTGGTGTGGGTGTGCGTGTGGGAGGTGGTGTGTTTGGGTGTGGGATTCTGTTTCTCTTTATATTAACAATAACACATGTAGGCAAGATTCCAGGACAATTCTCACACCAACTTACTCATACAAAGTTGTAGGATGTATGGAAACTTCTCGTTACTATAGTGCATACCCAAAGGCGCAGAAATCATAGATATAAGCTGGTAGAAAGTTCGAGCCTTGCACTAAAACATTGTATTTTTTTTCCTTTTGCAAAACGTCTATAGCTAAAGCATGATACCTAATTTTGTCGTTCTATATAGTGTATTAAGATTAGTAGTTTATCAAATACGTCAAAATTTTACAGATCAAAAAAGTTAATGGCAGACAATAAATATGCAGTATTAGTACCTTTTACACAGAGGTGGAAATGGTACTATCTATCTTACTACATACAGTTAACAAATCGTAAAACTGCAAAATACCCGATCACTTTTTGTTAATAGCTTATTATTTGTAAAAATAAGATTCATATCAACACCGTATGTTTGAGGATCTCATTCTCTTATTTCTTTAACAAGGTTACACCATGTCTAAAACAGGGGGTTTATTCTGCGAATGAAACATAACTCCTATTTCAGACCGACCTGGCGTCACAATCAAAGTTATCCAATTAACGCGTGGATGAATATCGTCATTATCAATAGTGAATATTGATGTCTGACTAATGTAATGGTGTATAGAAACAAATACCTTTTGACAACAAAAATGTTTAGTCTGCACATGTAATGATAACTTTTATCTGCCACTCTGTCTCATGAATTATCACATAACTGTTTGGAGGAAAACTTCTCTATGTCATTGATAATCAAAATAAAAGATTGACATCAAATATTGCGTAAGTAAGTACCTGAGAGTAGATGTTAACGAGTAGCACACTATAAAAAACTGCGATAACAAAATTTTATAAACAACTATAAAGATTCTACTAAAAGTGGAAATCTCCGGCACCTAATCCTACACTAATGTACACAACTAAAAAGCAATCATGTGGGTCTTAGTGTAGACTGTTTCTTACAGAAAACAGCAATTAAAGATTAAATCGTTCTTGACATCTTTTTCCAACAAATAGACTGCCTAAATTCTTTGTTACCATATTTCATCCAACACTGGAACATGTCCACTGATACCCATGGTGGTCTGTGTTGTAACTGTATATGGCGCCCTCCATCAACAGAACATGGAGAAATACAGAAACTGTAAATAAAAACAAGTTGTCTTCACAAACAGCACTGTTGATAAGTATTGTTAGTGTAATGACTTAATCATATCTTCTATAAACAAAGATAGATTCACAATATATACTTCATATTTATCATAAATATCTAGTAACAAACTCATATAAAAACAAAGATAGATTCACAATATATACTTCATATTTAGTTCATAAATATGGTTTCTTAGTAACAAACTCATATCTTCTATAAACAAAGATAGATTCACAATATATCCTACCGAATGGTTCTATATATAGTGTATAACTATAATTACTAAAGGAAGTTGACGGCCACTTTATCGGTTTCTAGATACAAAATGAAATTTCCTTGAATTCATACCTCATTCATACTGATCTTGGCTGTATTTGCCCCTCCCGACTGTTCCTGGTATAGGCCTGAGATTGGAACGAAAAGCAATTTAACCAGGATAAATACATCCATTGCAAAAGACATGAGTGAAACACAATCATGCGATTTATTTAGAAATATCTTATATTAATGGAACTTAGCAGAATACGTGAGGTAAAGATTATACACCGTATCAGTTCTGTCCCCCGAAGAAATTTATTTTGTTTTGGATTTTAAATCCTCGCTGAACCGGAAGTCATACTAAAACAGATATATCATTTTCGGAAATTAATGTTTTCCCCCAAATTTTCTTGCTCATTTTAGCATGAAAACGCGCCATACGTGAACGTCTAATTGCTTTTAATGATGCGAAAGAAAATCAACCCCAGTGTGTCTGTTGACATGTCCAAAAGTTCAGTGTTCAACAGTCGATGTACACATGTTGGCGACGATCAAGTAGAAGATAATAAAAATATGTATTATATATACGTGTGTTGTACTTACTGTACATTACTGTTAATTTACACAGGATAACGATAAAGTCTGGTAGAGAAATAGTATTGTCCCTGCCACCATATCGCCGTACAATGCCAGTCAGTACCATTCTGCTGATGGGAAATCCTGTAAAGTAACTTACTTTCAGTAATCTGGCTCTGATGTAAGAAAATTACAAAATTTATTTATGGGACTTCGTAGTTTTCGCAGTCGCCTCCAAGGCTTCAAAATTTAGGCTCTTGGCATCACTGACGAGTCATAGAAGGACGAAACAGCTGTATGATGCAGTTTAATTCATTGTTTGACTCTACTGTATCTAACTCTAAATTATTAAACGGTGCTATTGACTTGTGTGTCTTTTGTACAATCTTAAAAGACAACAGGAGGACTTTAAATCTACGAGGTTTACCGTAACCCTCGTGCCACATTTAAATTCATTTAAATAGTGGAACAATTTTAAATGGTAAATTATTGATAAAACATGAAAAAGGTAATACAATCCGTCTGTTATCTAGTGATGTCACTAGTGTACTGCATCATGGTGCGTTTTACATTGGCTGTGCCAATCGTAAGTCAATTGTAATGTTAAAATGGACAATGGCGTTACGCCATGAATAAAATGGTTGTATCTATTTTTATTTTGTCCTCCACATTTTTATTTTCAAATTTGTCAAAATGTAACGTTTATGAATTATGTGAGTAAAAGTATCTGAACATACTAGATCTAGGTTTTATGGAATCCTCTCTAAGTTTTTAATGTTCGCCCGCCAAGGCTCGCACAAAATCTGATGCGAAAATATCAAATATACATCGGAAAATAATATCTGTAGAATTGACTTCAACATACATATACTATCGTCCATATTCCTTCGTACAGACATTGTAGATGTATAGCGCCCACCATCAGGTGTAGGTGAAACTACTTATATACATGAGTGTAGTACAATCAAACGTTAAGTATACAAGAAAGATCAAGAATTGATCGGACATAGTACAGACTAAATTAACTTGACATATTGCGAGAAATGTTCTTAAATGATTTTGTTTGCATATATACTCTCATTTGTCGAAGAATGTATTTGAAGTCTATAATTTATAACATTTGTGAAATCCAACAATGTACTTTTTATATCACATTACCTAATTTAGTAAACATTTTCCCAAGTTCGTAGGTGTCAACATTTCCGGATGCATCAGCGTCAGACTGTTTAAACACTGCCTAGAAAAATCATAGAATTTCATAATTATTCACTCAGATATGGATACTGTGTTTGCAGGCATCATCATAGGTAACATCTTTCTAGAGGCGAAGATATATCTTACTTACCCTGAATCCCTGGATCTCTTTCCATGCCTTTATAGCTTCGTCATAGTTCAGCGCCCCTGAACGATTTCGCTCGATAACGCTAAGGATCAACTTAATTTGACGAAAACAAAGCACCATACTTTCTTTCAATTTCTCAAAATATCGTCATCAATTATTACGTAAAGTACAAATTTTAAGCGGTAAGGTTATTATGATGTTATCAATTTCCCTCCTTGTGTGAACTCGCGTTATATGTGATAGGTGCTCGTTAATATGCCTGTTAGTTTCGTTATTAACACGTCCTGCTTTTGCAAACCTGATATAAAAAGGATAGATCAAGATTTCTTTGTCGGGTATCTCAGATAAAACCAAAGGACGCTTAGCCTTCTGGAACACATTGTTCTTCCATCTATCAATAACGACCTTGAATTGTGATACGGTTTTCATTTCAGCTTGTGTTTTTGTTATGGTTCTAATATCATATCACCGGCACAATGGCAGGACCCTTCCCCATCTTCTCTCTCGCTTGGGCCATTATAATGGGGCGAGATAGTTGTTCTATTTTGCACCCATTTCATCGCTTTTAGTACCAAGGGGGAAGTGAGTATCAAGTATACTTTAACGAGATTTTGGGGACAGAACCTGTTAGTCTTCCGCTCAGAGGCAAACGCTCAACTCAAAAGTGCGGCAATGTCAAGGTGGACATTCCAAACAGAAATACTTGTGAAGAAGATCAGAAGTAAAGATATACTTATTTATGAGCCGCTTATTATCATGTAATAAAGGTACCGAGTACAATCTCACGCCATACCTTCAGCACAGAGACCTAAAGAGATTGGACACACACACACATAGATGTATAGAACGGCGTGAGAGCGTAGTGCGTAACAGGTAGTAGTGTCACACAATGCTATATTTCATTGTCAAAGAAACAATTATAAATGTTCAAATGATTTGACGAAGTATTGGTAAACAGAGGAAAAATCTGACTGGATTAAAACGCTGTCATATTACAACCATCCAATCCTTACAGACGGTGATGACTAAACTCTCCTAATTCTGTTAGGCCTGATTGTAAGATTGGAAGGATACATCCATTAAGGTTACTAAACATCTACAGGTTTCAGTGTTAAACTTGATTGGTTCTTTGTGCTCTGAAACAAAGATCTGGTTATTAAAGTGACTGTAGGACCCAAAAACACTGTAAGCAATTAACTAGCACCTGTACTATAAAGAAATATTTTAATTGATGTAAACTATTTTTTTTTACATTACTAATATGAAATACACGCATGGGACATTTCACCTTTATAACAAGAGCCCGGAAGTTACGAAGATGATATAGTATAAATAACAGTTGTACGATGTGAATACTGTATACAATAATTATTATTGTGTGTCATTGATGTAAAATACAGTATATTCATATCATATCTCTACGATGGCTTTGTTATGTAAATTATCACAGTCGCCTCCAAGTTTCAAAATTTAGACCCTTAACATCACTGACGGGTCTTAGAAGGACAAAACAGCTTGCAGTTTAATTCAATATTTGGATATACAGTATCTTAAGTTTTATTCGTGTGTGTGTGTGTGTGTGTGTGTGTGTGTGTGTGGTGATGTGTGTGTGGTGTTTTTCCCCTCTCCTCACCAAGAGCAGTAAGTTTCCTTAAAAACTTTTTCAATTCTCTTGCATACATCTTTCCATCCTCTTTGGTGCATGCTTTAAAAATGGCTTTTATAGGGTCATCCGTAGGAACATGGTTTGTCTGAAACAAAAAACATCAAATATCTGACATCTAAATATTTGAAATTGTACATAAATTGTTTTGTGATGTGACTAAGAAACATGATGTTTGTTACGTATATAGAATAAAAAATGATAAATTTGAAACGATTTACTGATTTCTTAGCAACCATTTCTTCCTAAATAGGTAATTTCTCTTATGCGAATTATCTACTCATTAGCATTTGCTTAAGATATATGACGGAGCTGCCAATTATGTTTATATATGTAGCACTTACATGATTATGGATATTTGCGTTTATTACTAAAAGCTCGAAAATATTGAATAGTGTTTTGTTCAGTTCAATGCAAAATTTTACCTAGTCTAATAGCGCCATTTTTTATTAATGGTTTTGATTCCCCACCTAAGATAACACAATGTAAGATGTACTGTTCCGTAGATGTTGAACTTATCAACCAAAAACTGTTTTTGAAATTATTCATTTTGCTGACTGAAGTTTTGAATTTCTTTGATTTCATGCTGGTATGAAATTCAATGTCTTATTACTCACGGATGTTCCCGGGCCAGATTCTTCATCCAAGACACTGCAATAACAACAGCACTCTATATACAGAGGTGAATCACAAACATTGAAAATGGTCACATTTCTTTAAAAGATGGCATGTATGAACAATGCGTTATATTCATTTAATTGGAAACGAACTACAAAGAAAATGGTATAATTTCAAATGGAATATTCATCTCAGTGATGGCAATTTTCAGAAACTCGATTGTTAGAAAGTCGCAAAGGGCGTGAGGTTTTGTATAGTACTTACCCACTATCAGAAGGTTTTTCCGTGAAGAACCGTAACATGAATTGTGATTCTACGTTAGGGTAGAATGTACTTGGGATGACGACATACGTTCCTGGTGAAAATTGAAACCGCTTCGTATTCTCTCTATAAAATTCGTAGTTGCCAGAAGACTTTTCTTGATGAAGAGCATTTCTTGATACAGTTTCTCCATCAAGTGGTCTTCTTTGTGGATTCTTGAGCTGTTAACAGTAACCTATCTATCAATCTTTTACAATGTAGTAACAAGTGACTCTTTGGAGTGTTGAATAAAGTTCAAAATCAAGAATGTTTCCAGTGTCACACTAAGGCGAGTTATCATTTTACGCAAGTCTGACAGTTCGTTTTAAAGAGGTGCCACTGTAAAAGCATCAGTTTCAAGGAGGATTACTTTAAAGAACTAATACCTCCTTGAAATGATTTTAGTCTTAAACTCTGTCGTCTTTACCAATGATACTCAAACTGATGTGCTCACAAAATAGACATTTTTGAAGAAAACAAATCCCATGAAAATTCATTCCTGATTTACATTATTATTTCGATATACTGTAAACGCACGGTTATCTTTCCTTAACGATTTTCGTGCTGAAAGTATCAAACTAAAATAAGAAAACACAGTAATTGTATGATGGTTATACCCAATGAAATGTGGATGCGCAGATTCAGCGTTATGCTAATTTGGAAAATAGTGATAATGCGCCAAATTAAGTATGTTACAGTATCGAGATATGGAACAAATTGACGAAAGCATCAATATCTATCCTATTAATGTATTTGTATTTGTGTTTCCTAATAAATGTCATTGATATACCATCTAAACACCCCACGACCATGTAACACTCGTATAACAAGTCACCATTACACACTCTGTAGATATCGAAGGCCATAGCCACTTTGTTCCTATTGTCCTGCTCTTTTTCCAACAGAGACACGATAAGTGTACATTTGCCGCTATTGTCAGTCTCATCCACATCCTTCAGGGTAACAAAGAATTGGGGATTCCTCCAGTACAGATCTGTTTCGAGAAATAAGCTGTAAGTATACTTTCGTATTATTATAAATTACATTCTCATTTTATATTTTTGTGCCATATATGCTAAATGTATACAATATCTAATAAGATATCAGTCCTGTTCTCAGCCATAACTCATTGGAGTAATATCCGCGAAGAAATTGATACCTGGCCTTCGTTTTATATCTTCATATCATATAAAACTGTAATGACAAACAGAATGAACAATTCTGAAAAAAAAAATTAAGCAAAACGTGTAACGAAGGCAAACGACGCACCTTGCAAATCTTTCTGATTTAGTTTGCATTAAATACTACACTGGTATTGTCTAGTTATGTAAATTCCTATTTTCCATCTCCACACATTACGTTGGCAATTCTCTTCTCTACAAATCCCACATATGTAAATGTTTTAAAGTGACGTGATAACCTTTACCTACCCTCATACGGCTTGTTTCCACATCCCCCGGCAGTGACACCTTTTATCCAAGCATCGTGGTAAACCACGACTTGCCATGCCTGCTGTCTCTGCAATAAACATGTAGACTAATTGTTTATAATCTTCATAAAATCACCCGAATTGTTAGTGTGACACGTTGAACCGTTATTAAAAAACACTTCTCCATATAATGCAAATTGTATCAGTATACATGTTAGTGAATCAAATCCATAGATGGATGTAGCTTCTTTGAATAGCTTTTCTCGTGACATAATTCACGATTTTTCAATGTACATGGCGGAAATTTACATAATTTAATTTCAAGTGTTTTTTACTTGCCTCATCAATTGATATTTCCTCCAACAATGCATCTGGTTGCAGGTGACACAATTGTATCTCATCAAAGTTCAGCAACACATCATGATAGGACATCCTAATTTACAGAAAAACGATATAGGATGACACAATATAAAACACATTCCCGTAACATTTGAATTCAGTCACAAAGATATTCATTAGAATCGTTCTGAAAGCATTCTAATAAACAAAGACTATGGAAGAGAAATGCTGTTTTTAAACGTTTTATTATGTTAATTAGTGTGCTGTAGGTTTCACGTTGAGAATTGATATTAAGTTTTGAAAACAACATATAGTAGATGTTGCCAGTAGAAATACGCCAAAAAAGCTTCCAGAACATTTGTACTTTCACGTTTTACACATCTCCATATAAATCTCTCGTTTCTTCTAAATTAGCGCTTTTACCATCGCTCTTGATTTCGAATTACGTTTTTTCACATTCCTGTCTACACTTCCTGTTTAACGTTTCATAATTAATATGAAATGAGGCAATCTTATGTAGATATCAGTTAAGGATACGTTTGTTTGATTATTCAATTTAGATTTAGAAAATCCTTATAAAATTGACTTCTAAGATATCACCACTTAAAAACTAATTGTTAATTAGTGATCACGTGAAACTTACCAGAATTCGCCGTCATTTCTTACAACTATATGAAGCTGTTTGCGGACTTCATATGACATACTTTTCATCTGGTCAGATCTGTGGATTCAGATAAAAATATCATATACATCAGAGAAATGAATTTTACATAAACAGGAAAGGACAAAGATAATGCAGTTTCAATATCGTTACTTGATTTTTATAAACAGATCATTAAATATCTCGTTCTAAATATGATTTGGAGGGAAATTACAATTTAGGATTTTATGTAATTCTATCAGAAAATAAACATCTAAGGAAAACAAATTATCTATATTTATGATACCTTCACAACCAGTGAAAACGTTTTTAATTTCTGACCACTTCTTTCATTTAAACAATATTCAGTTGTATAACATTACCCGTCTGACCAATCGCCCTTCCACTCATCGTGTCCCCAGGGGTTTCTTAGTCTGACAAGTTGTATGTTCATTCCTCGATACGGTACCTGATTGTTAAATTAATAACCTTTTACACATGTATCTGTCCATTGGATCCGATAAAGGATCTTCAATTACAAATTTGTGTGTTGTATGGAAATAAAGTTATAAGCTGGATGCATTGATTATAGTTGAAAGGATGTTTATCTGTGTATGGCTTTGCTCATGTTTTACCACTGAATCACACTCGACTTAAAGCAAGTATCGCCTTGTGCAAGGGATTAGTTCACTCGATACATTATGTGATTACTAAGAATGAACAATGATATCGCCTTCAAACTAGGGTCCCATTGATCAACACTCACTGTAGCTAGTCCCGTAATACTGTAGGCGTGGCCCCTGAACAGTCCATTTGGTAATTCTACCTCTCGTGTTGTCGTATTGGCCGGGTCCTTCAACTTTTATGGACAAAACAAAAATAGGATAAAGTACTTGTTAGGATAAGGGCCATTTTTGGTCTAATGTCATGATTTCATAATTTTTGGTTCGAGTACTGTTAGATATCTAAGAGATGTATATCCCAAATATGACGATTTTAATTCTGTGCGATCGCCGGCTGTAAACGTATTTTGTTTCACGGTAAGAAAAAAAGCGTCTGGTCGTTGAAGTCTATTTCACAATATGCTTATTTAAGTAAAAGACATCAGAGGATATATTGTTCGAAAGATTTTGATACAATATGTAAGAATTCAATTTAAAAAGGGAAAAATGACCAGGCGATGTCATATCGATCTTGATAATATACGGTCGACTGCTTGTGTTACCGTACGGAATAAGATATACTTCTGGGTTGCAATTACAGTTCACTCCGTCAAAAAAAATCTGCACAAAACTGGAATACTTACCTTTAATTAATCATTAAACTCAGTAAGTATATTTAGCTACGGTATGAATGTAAATTCGATGGACGTTTTTTGGTTTTTTGGGTTTTTTTTATCCTACAAGTCTAAGTTTCAGATAGCTAAATTTTCCAACTACAACATGAGGAACTTAGACTTAGAAGATGTTAATCGTATAATCACTTAGGGGATAGTGTGCTTGTTTTATGTATATACTGGAGATTAGATAATAAATTCTGGTTTAACAGGAGACGCTGTCGAGAGTTAACACAACAAAATATAATTATCTTATCTTGAATCTCACAAAATGCTTAAAAAGACACGCATGGGAGACTGTGATATTTGGTATGACTGAGATAACATTCTGTACAAAGTTTGATTTGTGAGAAAATGACGATGTCATAACGATTCTAATATCGAATATATGTAGTATACCGGCAAACACAAATTACGTGTTCTTTAAGCTCAGGATACCGACAACGGTTTTCACGTGTGATCTTGTCAATTATAAGCCCAAACATTTTTTTTAATCTTTATTATTGATATGAACGTTTCAATTCCCACAAATCCGTTTGAACGGAAATGGTAAAACAAAACGCACAGTTCAGTCTAACTGTCAAGGTTGTTTATATTTTGCTTTAATTGATAAAAAGAATGCCACAATACAGAACATCAGTAACCGAATCCACTTTTTTGCCATGGTCGAATGAATTTGTTGTTTACGTAATTATATATGTATACCCAAAAACTACTCTTCAAACCTATACTTTACCGTGCCAGGTTTTAACTACGTTAAATCCCGAGTCCTTTTGAAGAGAGAAATGTGTACATCTCATGAATGTGGGGTTCAATACCAGTTTCTTTGCATAAATTGGCATTAAGTCAAACATAAATGAATAGGTAGTGTTTCAGATTTTCGTTTCTACGTAAGTCGAACCGCATTTACATCACAAATACTGAAGGTGTGAATTAATAGTATTAATCAACTTCATTAATGAGAAAAATATCGCGATTGATACTAAGGACACATCTTTCTGACACAACACATCACCTCCAACTGTTTGATTAATGACACGATTCTACATCAGCTTGCCACCTAGATCTTTCCCTATAACGACTCTCATCTCGCCTAGGCTCGCCCAAAATAAAAGCTTCTAAGACTGGTTTCATAAACTGTCTGATATAATGAAAAATCACTTAAGAACCTATATGTACCAAAATAAAGGCACTTTATCACTAATAATAATATATAAACTAAAACAAAGAACAAAAATGGATGATTGATATATCAAAACATGAAAACTACTCACACGCATGCTCGCTCCTAACATGGAATTCATTTTATAGCACTTCCACATGACATCGTACAGATCGTTGGGTATATCTGATTTATTCGTCATATCGATTCTCTCCGATATACCGCCTGTCATATCGACAATGGCGACGTCCAGCTTCCCTCCAACTAACGCCTCGTAGCACCCACGGAGTCTTGGAAGAATAATGTCCATAGATATATACATCAATTTCGAATTCAAATGAATAGACATTATCTTACAAAACCTTGTCAGAATGGCTACTTTTCGTAACTTGAGTTAATGTACTATTCTGCAAAGGTAGTTTTCGTGACTTTGATCGAAATAATAATGGAAGATTTTTCCAGAAAGTCATGAGATGGATAATAAAATTATATTTTGAAAATTTTATTCCATCGGCAAAAATAGGGGAACTCTCTAAAAAACAACATTTATGGTTTATATACTATTAAATGAATCATACCATACCGCCATGGATAGTCATATAAAAGAATGCATAATGAGTAATATTGAAATCCTGTACATCATTACTTACTTAGCATATGCCTTCTCGAGAAGCGATGGCCAAAACTCCGATTGCTGCTCTCGGTTCCTTCCGTATATAAGCCGGAACCCATCTGTGGGTAGATAGTCGTCGATGACCACTTCCGTCCATTTGCCGTACCACCAAAAGTTGAAGTGAAATATACCTACAGAGGACAACAGAGATAATGTTACAGATAAGAAAGATACGATTTAAACATTAAAACAAATTTGGTAGAACATCAATGAAATATCAACATTTTAAAATCAAGGTAACGAATTCGAATTAACAAAAAAAGCGACAAAACATAAAGCACAATTATCATTTTCCTACGTTTTTTTTATCGAGTTTACCACAGAATTGGTTTGTACAGTAAAAAGAGTCTCCATACCTGCATAGTCGACGTCAAAGTCCTGGTCGTTCGGAACGACTCGTTCTATAAGTTTACCATGGGTTGCTACAACAGCTGCACCGGCAATGAACCAACAGTTTCCTGGGCAAAACCATGTAGAAATAAATACTACATCAACAACACAAGGAGACATGAATCTTAATTACTAATAAAAACGCCTGTCAAGAAGACCTCAGTAATTAATGGTGTGAGTATCCTTTATCCAGACATAAACGCGAAAGCAACAGCAGGTAGTTGACAGTATTAAAGTGTTTCCTAAACCGAACGTTAGAATACAGTACCGTATTTTCATCTATTGAAAACTAATCGCCTTTAAGATATACGTATTTTACGAGGTAATAAAAAGGCGAAAGCGATATAAACTTCATAGCTTAGAGTTTCAAAACTTCTGTATGTGGCATAAAACAAACATATATGATGTGAAAAACATATGTACTAGGTAAATAAATTATACAAATGGATCATTCTTGTATTTTTATTTACTCATTTTAACCTTCTGTATGAACATTACTAATAAAACAATCTTCTCACCTCTATTTTTCTTTCTTTTTCAGTATGAAATGACGTAATCGAAATATGAACTCAATGTGAAGGTCCGTAACAGGAAATAAAACACCAGGTAAGAATACCACAACGGAAACACGAGTGCTCGTTAAGTATAAGCTTTCTTGTGACACAATTGTCTCTCATCATCATTTAAACTTTTTAAGTTTGGTAGAGACCAATTCAATGGGACATCTCTATACCAAAATGAGTAAGGACGGACAGCTGACACGTGCTAAGACGCTACTCACAATAGTCTGTAGCGATAAATATTTTCACAGCTTGCAATTTGTTACTGTAGTTTTAAGTATGTAAGTTAAATAGGTTATAGGTATGCTGTGTTGTCAGTGATATCTCAACTCCAAAGTTGGACCAGCTAAACTATACATGAAACAGACCTATGTAAGATTCTATTAATCTTACCTCTCAAACATACTTTCATATCAATGTCCTATTGCTTTTAATCTTACCCAAAGCTCCTTGGTCAAGATCGAATCTGCTCGCTCCTCTTACAAATAGTTTTGGATTTCGTACAATGTCCTATATACAATAAAACAGTATAATTAGTGGGGAAAAAGTATCAGGTTATTAAGACATAAATCATCCACAGGACGTTTCTCAGGTGCCAGGTAAATATCTTGGCAACATTGCACTGGATGCTTGTAATATACATACGTGACACATACCCTAAAGGGATTAACGGTTAATAAACTTTCTAAGGAAAAATCATAAAACACCCATCAACAGTTCACATTGTATAGTGAGGTCAAAAGTCTGAGATACTGTCCTGTATTGTTACGGCACTGACCTTCCACGCCTTCTGGCTGTAACTGCGTTCAGTCTCCCTTTTGTGTACGTAAACAACAAATTGTTTTTGTTACTTTTTATCATTCGTTACGCAGAGAAGCTCGCCAAGTTTCTTCATTCATTTTAAACATGTAGGCACTTTTGCTTTCACGACAAGAAGTTTATCATACTCTAATACACAGCGAAGAAATATCTTTTGATATGGATAACAACAATTTTAATATGTTATCACATTGAATATATCACTAAATTCAAAATGAAAGCACTGTAGAAATTACACAACTTAATAGCACTCTCCAATACAAATTAGAATTACACGGTAAGATAATGAATTCAGCTGCGTAATAAAGCCGTTGTTTCTTGGACTAGTCAGAAATATGGACCTAACTGAGAATATGACCACCGTTTCTGTATATGGTACATATTGATGCATAAATAAACGGATATAAATCTAAATTTAATCAGACAGAACTTACAGGAACACTTCTTTAATTTCATCACCATTAAAGCTCACCAGTGTGCATATTGGCATACACGAAGGCAGAAACAGTCACATATATGAGAATAAACTGTAAACCGTATATAAAAACATTAACGTACATTGAAATCCTACGCGTGTCATTATTACCTCTTTTTGTGTCAAAACAGTGATGTATATAACAGCAGTGTAACCAGTGTAGTTGTACTTGCTTCACAAGTAGATGTCTCTGGTAATAATTTTATTATTTAAATGTTATGTAATCGGTACGATATAACAGGGGGTCAGTCTCGAGCAACAATAGGGAACTTAGTTATACATGTCCATCTTAATGTATTTTCTTTGAAAATTTCAATTAAATGTCACAACTTGTTAATCTAAATAGTGTGTCCACATGTGTGATGAACGTTACAATAACTAAATCTATTTTCTCGGCGTGTATTTAATTTGTTTGTTTTAAAAACACGTGTTATCAATTCAAACATGAATTAACGCTTCCATGAACCTGTCTCTATATGAAGAAAAACCATTGCCGTTTTCTGGTGTCATGGTAACCATCAGGGAAATAGACAACAAGCTTTACTAAATGTTTCATACATGTATCGGAGCGTCTCTGTTAAACAGAAATGTCAATAGTCACTGTAATTAGTAGCGGGTAATCTGGGGCAGATGGGATGTCGCTCTGTTTCTGTATACGTTAATGTTACGTCCTGATATCGGATATACAGTCAACACCTACAAGTGTCTGTTGTGTCCTTCATAAAAGTTATATATAGACATCACTACATAAGCGCTAATTACAGGTTTGTAGAGTGAACATTGTTTTAATTTTGAACCGCTCCAGTAAGAACGGATGTATATTTACAACTTATCAATATATCTATCACAAGCTTAGTGATTATATACGGTATAGCTCACTATACACGTTGCTCTTTATAAACATGAAAAATTATCTACATTTTTAGCGTGTATGTAATTTACAATCATGCAAGAGAAACACATTTGATATTTTGTATATAACAGAAAAAATGCTAAAGTCAGATAGTAGGAAAACGACACGTTCAAGGCCAAATTTTAATATGCATAAACGTAAAATGATTTTTAAGAGATAATTCTTTTGTGAACCGGTAAATCTACTTTTAATAGATTCATTCCTTTACACTGTTAGGGTCCCGGTATCCATATGTTTCACAGCCTTATAGACCAGTGTGTGTAGAAATGTGTCGATTACCGGCAGGATATACGTGTAAAGCATAATTTGTGAATTATATTTTGTCTGCTTGAGGTCTGTCATCACCTAAACTGTGTTATGTATTCATGCGATGCTATTATGGATATAATTTAAAGATTGCCACAGGCATTACTATAACCATCTCGTGTTAAAAATGTACAGCCTACTTTAAGGGGCCATTACCGTGTGTTCTATATCGTCTCAGGTAAAGCTATTGATTTAACACGTGTGTATCAGGCATGTCGATGTAGTTAGAAAAGAGGTTATATCGTGGGTCAGGGTTTTACCCAGGTAATAAACAATGTGCAAGTATACGAAGTAGGTAGAACTCGGTACAAGTGTAGAGCCTGGCCCGAAATCTGACAGTTCTACACAATATCAACACGATGCATAGGTCTGTAGGTTAACAGGTGAATCATCCTGCCACTAGTTGTTTGTATTTCACTTGTCATTTTTTTCCAAATCTATACGATATACTTAGAGCATCCATGTTGCTTGCACAGCCTCATTTGACCTATGCGGCAAAACGGGGTTATATCGAAAGTAGGAAGTATTTAAAAATACTAATTAATCATACGATACTTAAAACTATTGACTTACCGTAGGACGTTTCCAAACAACTTTGACGAAGTTTCGTGGCGTATGACCATTGAATGTCAAGGATGAGTTATTAGGTGGGAACTCGGGGTCTACAAACAATGAATTGGCCCTCAGAAGCTCTGACCGAAGAGAATGGTACTCCTTATTTCGACGCGAGGTGCTACCCCGAACAGACATGGCAACGTGGGATCCACTGTACGATCTCCTACGGACTGGGTTAATGTACAGGCGCTGACAGTATGTCGTTCTATCCACCCTACATCAGGAAAGCTAATAAAGCACAAACTGGCACATAGATTGTAAGCGTACACAGTTGGCTAGTGCGATATTTAAACTGAGCCAATACAACGTTAGGGCATGCTTTTATTGTCATGGGGGCCAGGCAGGGGTAATAGAGCGATATTTGTTGTACACTGTTGTAATATTACAGAACCTGTTCGTTTGGTTTCATTTCGGTAGAACTTTATTTCTTGGGGAAATGTATCAACATCCACCAACGTACCAACACAAAAAGGTTGACGTGACGTGATGGGAAAAGGAAAGAGTGATTAGTACTACACGGCCATTCTAACCTAAATGAAAGAGAAAGGCATATATCGACATTGTGTTTAATTCAACAGCTGCCAGCGAGTTAATGAGTTTTTAGGTATCAAACAAAACAACACTTTTTCTATTTTTGAGTCTACCGACATAAAACATACATAAACGCGTCCTTCAGTAAACAAATCACAACAAACAAACTTGTCGGTAAGACTACGTTCGGGTGACTCGTACTGTTTGCACATTCTGTATTACGATGTGAACTTACAGATTTCTCTGCTAATGATAACCCAACCGCTGCTTTGGTTAGGCACTGATGACATGGAGCTCTGGAGCCTTCTGTTGTCCACATAGTCAGGTGTACAACAGACCAAATATATTGCAATAAATTACAGGGCATACTACAGACATTCTGTATTACATAATATATCACGCGGTAGGACATACTACAGACATTCAATAATCATAAATGATTGCTGACTAAGCTATGATTTAGAGTTATATAAATACACTGTAGGACATCAAATGTTTCCCTAGGAATTTTACACGGTAATCGTTCATTTTCATTTATTTTTTCCTTGAGCCATCCGACTCATAGGTTTAATAACAAACACATAATTACACAATGTGGTACAAATATGAAAAAATGTTATACAAATGAGTTTAAATGGAGAGTAAGCTTACAATGATACTGTAGTGTACTATTAGTTCTATCAATCACTAAGTTCTATGCGTTTCCGTGAAGCATGATATAAACAGTTCACTAAATTACATAATTCTTTTACATTATTGGTGCTCAGTAATATCGTTAACTTAAAAATATTCGGACTTCTGTGATAGAATTGTCTGATACATTTACGTTCACAGATTAAAAACACTGGCAGCAGTACCAAGTTCGTGTCTATTTCTCTCTTTTTTTTTTTATTGCATTTTAGATATATAATTTATTAACAAATAATTGTACAGTAATATACTTACATAAAGTCCATCATAGAGTTACAAAACAATATAAACAGAGTAAGATAAATAAAAAAAACACCAGTTAAAGTTAACCCACTCAGCTGTCATTTTGGTGGAAATCTTTGGTGTCTTACGACGTTGATGTCTTTGTTCACAATGTGGTAATGTCTTTGTACAAATTAATTGAACAGCAGCTCTGGAATGTCATTTATTAAGAGTTGTGTACTCGTATACTTAGCAGGGGCCAATGTACAAAACAAATAATGACGCAGTGTGTTAGATAGATTACGAGTTGTAGCCTAACAATGCTCGGGAACACGGATTTCTTTCTTTTAGCAATTCTTTTCGTGGTATTAGCAAAATAGCAAAAACAACTTATCCTTAAACTGCACAAACATAGTGTAGCCTGATATCGATACCAGAGGTATGTATAAGATTTTTCATAGATGAGTTAAACGGTTTTCAGTTTGTAAACAAAAAATTCACACACAGCGAACTAAGTATCTAAAGATATCAGAACAAAATATCAAAAATTGAATCCACTAATTAGCAAGGTACACTATGTGTTTATGTGAACCGGAAAATCAGGGCGGTTAACAAGGACGCAGCTCAGTGTACCACGCTAATTCTTACGGAATCGCTTTCAAAGAATAACATACAAATACATTTTTTACAATTATTTAACAGATCAATCAATACCAGATTGTTATGCCTGTAAGTTTATATAAACCTATATCAATGGTGATTTACCTGCGAAAACCCTATGACATAGCTCATTAGACTACCACCGGAGATAATTCCCACATAGATGACGAGGAAACAGACACGTGAAAAAGGATTTCAGCAATTTAGCACTCAAATCAGCCAAATGTCAGATGTTATAACACATATAAAGTCAAAAACGAAACAGTATTTCCTGTTTTAACATGTGTAGCATCTTAGAAATAACAAAAGTAAACAAGTCCGTGATTACAGACAGAAAGAAGATTAATCCGATGTGCAAATACAAGGTCAAAATTATAACCCAAACTCAAAAACATTAATTAAAGAGACATTTACACAGAAAGCTGAAAATATACAAGGAGAAGAAAACCAGGCACTGAAGAATGGACTTCATCGACGGCGCCGTCGTGTATTTGTTTTCTCAATGCATGTAGGTACCGTCATGATTCTTAAACTGGAGGTGTATTGTATTGTTTTATTTCCAAATGCAATAACAGCATATAGGTAGCAATGATACATAATTATTCAAATCATATTAAATGTTCAAGATGGCGGAGGGCAATTCCATAGAGATAGTGAATATAACATATATTGACACCAAACAGTTCCAGGAATTAACATATAACAATGTCACGAGAATCAATATTCATAATTATATCATTTGGTTTGTGACGTAATAATAAAGATGATACGGGAAAGTTATGACGTCACACAGTGTTAACAATGAAAGTTGACTTTCAATCAAAACTCCAGCAATAAGCTATGGTAATAGAGTAGAATTCATACGCATATAATAACAAATGAAATTAATATACAATGTATTACTACTACACAAGAAGGTTTTCTCTTTTAGCTGTTGCATACAATAAATATCTACCCAATTTTCTTAAAGTTTTAACACATTTACATGTAAATAGTTCTACTAATTTAAACACACATGGACGTCGATAATAATATTGTTTAATGTAAGTTTTTCGTATTTCTAAACAGGCTGGACAAAGAAGTATAAAATGTAATTCGTCATCAATATCACCTGTGTTACAAATTGTACATACTCTTTGATTTCTAGGTGTACCGTTATAACGACCAGATTCTATATTAAGAGTGTGACATTGCATTCGAAACTGGCTCAGTAATTGTTTAATATTGGAAGTGATAAGTTTAATTAGATACCACTGAATTTGAAAGTTATCGACTAAATGTTTATATAAATAACACTTAGAAGATGTATCAACTGCACTTCGCAATTCCTGAATAAAAACATCATGCTGACGTTGTGTATACATTTCAATATTTTTTTTCATTTGGTACATGTTGACTTACCCAAATATAGTTAAAACCCAGTCTACATAATTCATTCTTGATTTGGTATACCCAGTTCACTTTACAATTTGGCTTTCTGACACTGAAACCAAGTAAAGCATTATAACAAGATCTTACTATACAATTATTCGTATTTAAAACTTTTACCCAATATTTCATCATAGCAATTTTACGTTGTACATGTAACGAATACACCCTAGTTTCAAAATATACCATTCAACTATTGACCGTTTTCTTTACTTTCAATAAATCTTTGAGAAAAAGGAGATGAACTTTTTCAATTTGTGGCGATGCACTATGACCCCACACTTCACACCCATAATTCAGTATACAAACGACATATGTATCAAATAAAGAGATTAGAGTTGTAGTATTAAGGGTAAAATCTTTAATTTTTCGTTTCAAGTAGTAATATGCGTTCCTTCCTTCCTTCTTTGGAACAGATGGACAACTACGAAACGAATTTGAATTTTAAAGGAAATCATTTACATGTAATGTTGATTACAGAGTTTTTTCTGAGAGTGTGTCATAGACATGTAGCGGGAAATAATCCACATCCGGCAAAACACCTATAATGTGTGGCTGTTTCCGATAATTCACGTTTAACTATTCTAGTTCTGAATGCTTGTTTGAAGATATCCTCAATATATATGTGTCTTTAGTACACACTTTCCTGGACGGCTGGGTTATAATGTTAGTACCAAACATTATTTATACAGGTCATTTTTCATAATTATAACAGAGACATATGTCTCTGATTATAACGATACTTTTTCTATGCATTCTGGTCAATTAGATTACCATAATATCCAGCCTGGCAGAGATGAATGGTGCTGTCTGTTAGAATAAGTCTAAATTTCATATATCAGCTGTCATCGATGAAGATGGAAATCTTTTCTTGTTTACATTTTCCTTCGTTTCATCGATTTTGAGTCTGAATTAAACTTACGAAGACGTCCATTTTTTCCCTGGTTATCTACATAGTCTGAATTTACGATACTGCATCCGATCATAGCACGTTAATTCATCTTCAGTCATCCGGTAATCATAATGTAAATAATCCTTCTGTCTGTGCTGCAGTCAGTAAATTTGTTTATTCTCATTACAAGTCACAAATACTGAGAACAACAAAATCTTATTAAAACAAAAGTAATTCGGAACGTAATCTGAGGCCAAGATATTTATAAAGAAAAGCAAATTTTACTGAGTGGTATAAATCTTTAAGAACAAGAGAAGAATGAAGTCAAAACTGTACAATAGCACGAATAGATTGTAAATTAGTGTATATCAGTGGTAAACCAGGGACCACGATCTGTTTGAAACCGATCTGAACAATCTAAATTCAATGAATAACACTTCTCCGACAGGAATCAAGATCCAAACACCTTCATACGAACTCTAATGGAATTGTATGAAGGCTTAATTTCAGAAACATAATCATATACACCCAAATATGATTAGCATTGGTTTATTTACACAAGGATCAACAGATAGGAATTACAATTGGTTTCACATAACATAAATATATAGCTAAATAGGATAATCTGTACGGTTCATAACCGGCTAAATGGCAGTTAGTATACTTACAGCGAGTGTACAGTAAATACCCTGATAAAATCCCTGCATACATTAAGTTCGGACTACGTGTAAATAAGTGTAATTACTTATCACAAGACCCATTCCTATAACAATATCAAGTAAGTAAATGCATTGGTTACTGATTAAATACCTTAGATTTATTACATAAACTTATATATAATATTCCGAAGCCATTTTTATGATAGAATATTGAATTTATATCCATTGCATAAATAATTATCATATTATACGAATAATTTGAAACGATCCTTATTTGGACATCAGCAAATTTTAACCAATTGGATACAATTATTTTCTTTTCTCCAGGAGTCTGACATACAGATCCCGATTTCAAAGACGACGTGCTTGTAATGTTGAGGTAAAGTGAAGAACAACTCGGAAATATCCGTATACTACTGAGAAGGGTAAAGTACTATCTTGCACGCTTGACCGGCCATAAGTACTTTGAATGCGTCTTCAAACTGCGTCATTGGGAAGCGATGTGTGACGACTTGGTCTACGTCAACCTTACCGTCTCCCACCAGAGCCTCGGTTTCGCGCCAAGTATGGTATATCCGACGACCGTGTACTGTCTTCAAAGTCATCGCCTTGAATACTGTATAAAAGTGAAAATGGAAATGCTGAAAAGCACCAAATAGAGGCTGCCATCGATTTGGCAAACTCAGCGTATAAGCTGATTTCATACACCACAACCTTTTTTCTTATCTATGAGCAATTGTTGAGAACCTTACCGTAAAAGAATATATATTATTTCACCAGCTTTTAAAGAGTATCGTTATATTTTGTCAATGCTCTAAATGGACGTCCTTTAATGTCAGATACCAACCCACGTCTTGCAGTACATTTTCCACGTGTAGAGGCTGTTTAGGAAGCCCGACGAGCACCAGCTGTCCTCCTTTCCTCAGCATAGGGAAGGTAGCATTTACCATAACAGCAGCACCACTGCATTCACAGATACGTCCCATACCGACACCTCCAGTGAACGATTTAATAAACTGAAGGTGGACAAAAATAGATACACCACATTGTTTGATGTACGTATACATGAATTAATGTGTTTCGGAAGTGTTTCTAACAGGAATGTTGCAAAATTACATGAAATAGAAACAAACGATCCTAAAAGAGCACGTGTTGCTTGCATCACGTGGTTTCGTGAACAATTAAATCACGTTTCAGTTCTTGTGAAAAGTTTCCTACGTAAGTGACACCGATCTGATCCGCCATATTTTCATGGTCCTCACCATTATCAGATGGTACCGACTAAATGTTGCTGTAATTGAAGGCTTCTTTACGATGACTTTAATTTTATCATTCTGTTTTATGCTCAGTAATTAAGCTAATTTTACTTGAAACTCGCACGTGCAACTTGGAGCAAATGCATTATTTTAAGTATTTCCAAGGCTTCAAGTCACATATGCATGAACATGCCTCACCTCCTTTAGGTTGCATTCCTTGGTGTTGACAGTTACATCTGCGCCCATTTCTTTAGCAAACTTGAGTTTCTCTTCGTCAATGTCTGCTGCAATTATTCTGAAGTAAAAACAAGGACTTCCCAATAATTGTTGACAAATGTACAAACTCCCACATTACAAACTTGTTAACTTCCATAAGGACACCTCTGAGTATCAAATTAAATACGGACATTTCAACACGATATTTCAAGCATGGTTGACAACACGATGACGGGTCTAAACTCAGTAATGACTCCGTGTTGTCTTTATTTACGCCATCTTTACAAAGTATTAAATACGTTCAGTCACGTACAAAATAATAACAAGCCAGACAAGCGAGGGGTAAAGAATGTACGTAAGGTAAAGTCGAGTTAGATATAGTCTATAGATTCAATCATTTGAGATTTCGCAATGTTATTCTCTGCAGATTCTTCCATAAAGTCTTGTTTAGAGTTCACAACCATGTAAGCATATAGCTGTTATTTCCTGAAATTGAAAGATAATCAGTATCATCATAACAAAAGGAATATTTATGATATAGAGAAATTCTGTTCATGAGTGAAACAAAAGGAATATTTATGATATAGAGAAATTCTGTTCATGAGTGAAACAAAAGGAATATTTATGATATAGAGAAATTCTGTTCATGAGTGAAACAAAAGGAATATTTATGATATAGAGAAATTCTGTTCATGAGTGAAACAAAAGGAATATTTATGGTATAGAGAAATTCTGTTCATGAGTGAAACAAAAGGAATATTTATGGTATAGAGAAATTCTGTTCATGAGTGAAACAAAAGGAATATTTATGGTATAGAGAAATTCTGTTCATGAGTGAAACAAAAGGAATATTTATGGTATAGAGAAATTCTGTTCATGAGTGAAACAAAAGGAATATTTATGGTATAGAGAAATTCTGTTCATGAGTGAAACAAAAGGAATATTTATGATATAGAGAAATTCTGTTCATGAGTGAAACAAAAGGAATATTTATGGTATAGAGAAATTCTGTTCATGAGTGAAACAAAAGGAATATTTATGGTATAGAGAAATTCTGTTCAAGAGTGATAAAAATGAAAGTGAAAGTATTAACAATCAGCTTCATTAAATTTTGTGGTAAACTCTTAAAGTGTTGGTACATTTACACGTCACTATTAAAGACTGTTTCGTCTGCTTTTCAACGTCAGCAGACTTTGCGCTCTCAGAGTAGTAGTGTGTAATGCGTGCGTGTTTGTGCACGGTTATTTCGTGTCGCTTACTCGTTTATCTACCATGCAGCTCACTTTTTCATTACGAATGGTGTCGTGTGTTTATCCGTTTTGAGAAAGTCGCTTACATTTCTCGGCTTTCATACAATGTACTTGTCATGATGACCTGTGCGGACTCGTCTTGTTGCAATGATTTCAGTTGGTATTTATATTTCTCAGCATCTTAATAATTTTGTGAACGATGTTGCAGTGTTGTTTTATGTGACGGTATTTCGTATATACCTTTTGGCACCCATAGATATGGCGACTTTCTGTGCGAGGATACCCACGGCCCCACAGCCAATAACTAATACATCTTCGCCCTTACAATCCAGCCGTTCGACCGCGTTGTGGGCGACACCAAGAGGCTCCAACATTGCGATCTGGTCAGGTGCTGTAACAGGTAACGGTCAAAACCATTAATGACAAAACTGGATACTGTGTAAACGGAAAATATTACACTGAAACTCTTACACATAATAATCTTTAAACTTCACTTTCGTATTTAGTAATTGACTAGACATATAGCTGTTACTTTTCCACAACAAAAATAACGCTACATTTTAGCGTCATGTAGCGATGAAGTTCAAATGCTCTTTTTATGTAACGGAGATCAAAATTCAGCATTGGTTGAAATAATGTTAAATTATTTCACATTGTATACTATGTGAATGGCACGCAAACTTAAAACAAAATGTCATCTACTTGTATAGAAAATCAATTGAAATAAAGACAAACTTACTCAGAGATCGCGAGAGTACATACAAAAACTTGGCAGGAACTATTGTGTACTCGGAACATCCCCCATACGGGGTTTGTCTTCCGTGTCCAAACTGGCCCATGTTGAGACATATTTCGCGGGTGTCATGCGTGCACTGGTAGCACGCGCCACAGAAGTAATGGTTCTCGACCCCGACTTTGCTGCCGACTGGTATGTTAGCGTCTGGTCCACACTTGACTACCGTACCTGCGCACTCGTGACCGGGCGTAAACGGTATGGTTGCTATGACTTTGGCCACATCGTTCCACGTGTACATGTTGATGTCGGAGCCGCACACCGATACTGCATCCACCTTGATCAATACCTCGTCCCCTGTCGGCTCGGGGACGGGTACATCCTGTAGATCAAATGATACCGCCTCCTTTGTCTTCACAAGAGCTTTCATCGTGGAAGGAATGGTAGCCATCTTGTTCGCTCGCTGTTATCCGTAAGAGCGTTATCTACGGAAGGGTATGGAACGCCATAACTGTGAAATCTTGTCATATCGTTACGTTAGCATTATTCTGTTGAATAGGCGAAAACATTATGTATGTTAGGCAACTACAAAGGGTTACAAAATATAGTTAATGGCATTATAATAACAAATATCGATCTGCACGGGACAAGCCAGAAAAGACATATAAAAGGTGTGGTACAGCTAAGAGATGATATTGAAATCTATTCGCTACATGTCTCATCTATTTGACTCGTGATGTAAAGGTTGTCCAGACTACATCGGTTACGTTACTCTATTGTCATGTCGTTAATCAATATTTATTACCAGTACAAGTGCTTTATTAATGCTGAAACGAAATCAGCAGAGAGTGGCATAAATTAGCGTATGGCACAGAGTTAAATTCGTGTTCAACTTGTACCAAGTACATGTATAAATAACGATATTTTAAAAACGGAATCGACCAATATCAATAGAGAACTGTTGAAAAGTAAGGACGAGTCTCAGTATGGTCAAGATAAAAGGAAACTAGATATATTTAAAATACTTCAGCAGTTGATTCAAATATCTTGCCTTTACTTTTCAGAAAATACCATAGAAACAATCAGATATTATCAAACGAAAAACGAATGAATTATCGATGATAACAGACAAAGGAATCCGCCTATGGCTCTCCGTAGAAGGATCGGTCTCCTGTGACTATTTATCGGCGTCCCGGTCAGATATGTGTCACACAAAGACATTCGGACAGGAAGTAGCATGCAATGTCTGCCATACGCTATAACTGATATCCTGATCATTAAACACAATAGGGGGAACACGCGCCTTACAACGGATAGACCATAGAAAAAGCGGCAAACAGTGTTGATTCGCTTTAAGTTGCAAATTGTTTCAACTGTTTTTTTAATGTTAAAGTGCAACGGGCTACAGACATACCCACTGGAGCAAAACATTCATTTTTGCTGACGGGTGTTATCTTCAGCCTTCATTTATTGAAACTTAATCTTAAATATCACTTAAGATGTATTATTGTCGATGGATAAAAGACTTGTGACTTTGTCCTTCTGAATGCAGAATCAAAAGCTTGATAATCAAGCGCATGGCAGACGCGTCTAGATAAACCGCTTATGTCGATTTCGGTCACTCGAAAAGGTGTGTATCATATGGTTAATGACATCGATTTTACAAATATGTATTTCTATTTCTAGATAGCAACGCTCCTTCCTTTGCAACCCACTGTGCCCTCTGTAATTGTTGCCGTTTATTTGAAATTTAATGGACTTATTCCTATATCAAGACTTCTGTGATAAACGTTGTCTGTTGACGAAAATAGGACATACAGCATACATTATTAATTTTGACGTGTTCGATAACATAACTATTGGTTCCGGTCTTTCTCAATTTCTCCTTTGGGGGAAATGACATTGTTTGAACTTTGGTTTTTAAAGCGGGTATCGTTGATCAGAACACGTGAGCGTAGTCCCCTTGTTCTGATGTCGAGTGCCCTTCATCTTTTTTGTTCACTTTAGGTTCATCTTTTCAATTTGAAATTGGTTTTGCATACACATTAGTATAGATGTTGTAGCAAGTCTAGTGAACTGATTTTTCTTTGTTTACTATACAATGTAACACTGCAAGCCACTTCCTGTCCATATTGATAGGACAGCATACATTAATAGTCATTTCAACATGTATATTGTACCCAGTAACAATTACAATAAAAGATATAGATATCACAGAAATACATCGTTATATCACTACTACAATCATCTATTAGAAAATCATATATTCGTTTCAGTTTCATAGGAATTATGATTTTTTAGACTTTTCTTGACTCATTTCATCACCCCCGAATGAACTTGAATTCCTATAAGATCCCCTATTGCGTTTTTATGTCATCGTTGTTCGTACCTCATCGTGCGGATTTTGATGAAGCTCAGTCTGCAGAATTATATTAATAAGGTCTCGAATGAGTTTGGGACCAGTTCGATCGTTATTGGCAGAGCGATGACCCTTTGCAGGTTTAAGAGTCCGGATCGGAAGTTAAGTCGAGATTAGTCTGGTGACCGTATAGACACATGGGCTTCCGTCTTCCTTCGTTCTATCCTGTTGCTGATGCTACAAAGTTGTAGGGGGACAAACGACGTATGAGCAACAGAACAGGATAGAACCACCGAGAAATTAGCATCTGAAATCGTATGGAAGATGCCCTGTTATTACAAAACAGATATGTAAATCGTTGAAATATATAGCCAAGGGCATTTAAAATGTAACCTACCAACACGAGAATACATCTAAATAGAGGCAGGTAGGATGTTTACCATAGACCAGGCACTGTAAATGTACGCCAACAGTTGTATGAAAGGGGCTTTGGTTTTATCTCGATTTTTACGAAAGTGAAAATAGAGCTACTCAACAAAAACACTTCTATGGTCTTATCCTTGTATGGACTACGACGGTTAATAACGAGACCAGAAAAAACTGACAATATGAAGTTAGATATATCAAACATTTATCTGCAAACAATTATGAGACAATTTCTATTCATAGATATTAATTAACCTCTGTAAGGAACGGTATTCTGATATAACTAGGTTCGACACTTCTTTTGGCACTTCTCGTTCAATGTCCAATCAAGGAATCGAACCCAGGTCCCCTTTTCTTCTTTAACGTTATTTCTGTGACGCCTGTAAAGGAGAGGAAATATATGACCTGTTCTGTCCTGCTTTTTGAGGCAAATAATGTGGAACTGACAGCAGACTAATTGGGTTATCTCGAAATATCAGAAAAAATTGAGAAACCAAAAATGATATACTGCTATGGCCTGCATCACAATCGCAAGACTACTAACCGTTGTTTGGGTATTGTCACCGTGCGAAATATAGACACAATGCCTCCTATATAAACCAGTTAACTAGGAAGAAATATCGATACCTGCGTTAAATACAGTGAGTCACCGTTGTATTTGCTATCTATAGAGGCCTGTCTGCGGTAACTCGACAAAGAGTGACATTTAGCGAGCGACTTTCAATATCGAAAGAATGTTGTCAATATCATAAAAAGGAACAATACGCACCACATTTGAATGATTGCTTCAGCTGTAAGGCAAAAGCTATCACGCTACGACGAGTTTACCGGAAGTACAATAGTGTCATATAATACCCGGCCAGGAAAATCGGACATATCCATCGTTATATTTCGTCTTATTCAACTTTGCAAGACAGCCTTACATAATAAAATGTTTTTTTTATTTTATTTACATTTACATCTCAAACATTTGACCTCAAATGGACCCCAATCCAATTCATTCAAACCAACTTCAAAAACTAACAAGCTTATAACAAGCTCATGGATCTCCGCTGATGGACCATGTTCTTAAAAGAGAAATATGACTTCTGCTCCAAACGAATAACGGAAACAGGTATATAATGGTACCGTTTAGCAATCTGGGGCCCACCGTGGGCCAAAAAGGTCACAACAGTATGGACTTCCTTTAACCAGACCTAATAATAGATCAGAAATGTGAAATCAGTATTTCAACTACCGAGAAAAACAAAATATACACAAACGCCGACCAGCTAAAAAACAAAGTTACAGAACATCAGAATAAATGCTACGAACCCAGACATATTAGGAAACACAGAGATAAAAGTAAAGTCTAGAATGCAGAATATGGGAACCCAAACTGTAAATGGAGGGTAGGGAACTTCTGTTTCTTATCAACTCGGAACTGAAAACAGACAAAATAAAAATTGGAAACATCGTGCCAGGAAACCCTTTTTGGTAGAAATAGGTACATGTATAAACAAAACCACAAAAGTCCAAGCAGGCCTTATATAAAGACTCTGGAACTGTTGAGGACAACAATAAGTTACAAGATCTGATGGAAGAAACAGCTGTGAACGACTATGTCGTGTGCTGTTCCAAGGACACGCCCATCAGCATATGTTCAGCTTCCACAGAAACATTAACTGTCACGGGTTCATCATGACCTCTGATCTTCACTTGGGATTACATAAGCCAACGATTTATCTGCCCGAGATATCGCGACACATGGTAAAAACACGCCATACAGTAGGGCTGTAAATCATGCATATTTAGTGATGAATTTGTAGTAAAAATTACCACGTCATAACGAAAAAGACTATTTCATAAAGTGACACAGTGTCTGTACCAACTAGGTAGTGGTTTACCATAATGAATCACAAACGACCCCCATCTACTGTGTCCATTAATAGCCCGTTTGCCAGTTTCGACAAGTCAACTGATTTTATCTTCAGGTAAACATGATTTTAATAAGTACCTAAAGGACGGTCGAAATTCATATTGTTTACTTTACACGAGGAGGTGCACATCTATGGAAGCCGTTATGTGTAAATAAATGAATATAATTCGTTTTGTCTTAAGAGTTTTTATGGTATTCATGACATTGCTATATCCTAACTAAAATGACAGCTGATTCTCCACTGACCACTGTCCTTGAAAACCGTTTTTCGCGCATATCTGTCTTAACATAATTTTCTATACGTCACTGTCCTTGACAATAGTTTTCCACTCGCCCGTGTCCATGACAACTGGTTCTCCACATTCCCTGTAAATGACACGCTCAGTTCTCCACTCACCCCGGTCATTGACAGCAATTTCCCCAGTCACCCTTGTCAATGACATCCAGTTCCCTGCTCACCCCTGTCAATGACATCCAGTTCCCCAGTCACCCCTGTCAATGACCTCCAGTTCCCCAGTCACCCCTGTATGTATGTATGCCTCAATAAGGTAGCATACATCCTTATGGTAGATGTTAGGCTCACATACTTCCCAATCTATGTCATAGATGATGTCAATTCATTACATTGTCATTTTCCACAGAGTGACTAGAAACTAAAAACAACAAATATGAAATGTTTCAGAAAAGGCTTTTTATTAAGCTTTCATCTGTAAATCAACAATGTTGGACTCTCCCTTATAGTCAAAGAGAAGACATTATCATCGGACATACACATATTTAACAATTGTATCAGAGCTGCAACATAACAGGCAGCAAGTCTACTAAGTAGTCTACAGCACTTCCTGGCAAATAACTATACAAAAAATAAGCTATCTGGTATCTATCTATGAACTAGTGGTGAAACTATGGACGCAAATAAAATGTTCTAACAAGAGAGGTACAAGTTGTGTTCATTCAAACAATCTATCCATTCATTCACGACTGGGAATGTTCTCCCTACAGTATCACCATGGAGACAGGTTAGTAGCAGTGTAACACACTTGTATGAATACAACACACTATGTGTAAGAAGTATTTAGGAATATATTAACTAAAACATAATCGTATTTGTTCATCTGTGTTGTCACATAATATCAAAGTGACCAACACCTGACCATAACAATGATGTCATGTAAATCAGACAACTTATTGGCCACACTAGTAAGATCTTGCCAAAATGACCACTAAATCTATTTACCAGTTTTACTTACCAAAGATAAACAAAAGTCTGATAAACTGACTAATCATTCTGTCCATCACACCTCAGGTATGATAATCCTAGGTTTACCAAAACCCTAATTTAGTGGTTAATTTGGCCATTTGATACACAGGTGTATTGACCTGATATCATTGAATTAATGTCTGGTCAGTCAGAAACAGAAAACTTGAAAACTTGTGACGAAAAGCAAGCTACACATAACATGATGAAAAATAGTAAATCTAGTCACAGTATTAAACATGTTGTGTTTATAGTATCACATTTAATTGGTAGCAGATCTATTTAACAAAGGTGGCATGACATAATAAGTTGAGCACAATGTGGCATTCACTTGGTGCTAGGTAACAATGTGTCCTTACTTGTAATAGTTTATAGCATCATTTGTGTGGCTTTAACTGAGCATGGTCAATATTTAATATGGCTACTGGGGTAGCATATCAGCTAATGTTGGGAATTACATTACAGCTGGTGTAGGAGGATTACACTACAGATATAACAGCTGTGTAGGAAGATTACACTACAGGTATAACAGCTGTATAGGAGGATTACACTACAGGTAGAACAGCTGGTGTAGGAAGATTACACTACAGGTATAACAGCTGTATAGGAGGATTACACTACAGATATAACAGCTGTGTAGGAAGATTACACTACAGGTATAACAGCTGGTGTAGGAGGATTACACTACAGGTAGAACAGCTGGTGTAGGAGGATAACACTACAGATATAACAGCTGTGTAGGAAGATTACACTACAGGTATAACAGCTGTGTAGGAAGATTACACTACAGGTATAACAGCTGGTGTAGGAGGATTACACTACAGGTAGAACAGCTGGTGTAGGAGGATAACACTACAGATATAACAGCTGTGTAGGAAGATTACACTACAGGTATAACAGCTGGTGTAGGAGGATTACACTACAGATATAACAGCTGTGTAGGAAGATTACACTACAGGTAGAACAGCTGGTGTAGGAGGATAACACTACAGATATAACAGCTGTGTAGGAGGATTACACTACAGATATAACAGCTGGTGTAGGAGGATTACACTACAGGTATAACAGCTGTGTAGGAAGATTACACTACAGGTATAACAGCTGGTGTAGGAGGATTACACTACAGGTAGAACAGCTGTATAGGAGGATTACACTACAGATGTAATAGCTGGTGTAGGAAAATTACACTACAGGTATAACAGCTGGTGTAGGAGGATTACACTACAGGTATAACAGCTGGTGTATGAGGATTACACTACAGGTATAACAGCTGGTGTATGAGGATTACACTACAGGTATAACAGCTGGTGTAGGATGATTACATTACAGGTATAACAGCTGTATAGGAGGATTACACTACAGGTATAACAGCTGTGTAGAATTACACTACAGGTAGAACAGCTGGTGTAGGAGGATTACACTACAGGTATAACAGCTGTATAGGAGGATTACACTACAGATGTAACAGCTGTATATGAGGATTACACTACAGGTATAACAGCTGTGTAGGAGGATTACACTACAGGTAGAACAGCTGGTGTAGGAGGATTACACTACAGGTATAACAGCTGTATAGGAGGATTACACTACAGATGTAACAGCTGTATATGAGGATTACACTACAGGTATAACAGCTGTATAGGAGGATTACACTACAGATGTAACAGCTGTATATGAAGATTACACTACAGGTATAACAGCTGTGTAGGAGGATTACACTACAGGTAGAACAGCTGGTGTAGGAGGATAACACTACATGTATAACAGCTGGTGTAGGAGGATTACACTACAGGTATAACAGCTGTGTAGGAGGATAACACTACAGGTATAACAGCTGGTGTAGGAGGCTAACACTACAGATATAACAGCTGGTGTAGGAGGATTACACTACAGATATAATAGCTGTGTAGGAGGATAACACTTCAGGTATAACAACTGGTGTAGGAGGATTACACTACAGGTATAACAGATGGTGTAGGAGGATAACACTACAGGTATAACAGCTGGTGTAGGAGGATAACACTACAGGTATAACAGCTGGTGTAGGAGGATAACACTACAGGTATAACAGCTGGTGTAGGAGGATTACACTACAGGTATAATAGCTGTGTAGGAGGATAACACTTCAGGTATAACAACTGGTGTAGGAGGATTACACTACAGGTATAACAGCTGGTGTAGGAGGATAACACTACAGGTATAACAGCTGGTGTAGGAGGCTAACACTACAGGTATAACAGCTGTGTAGGAGGATTACACTACATGTATAACAGCTGGTGTAGTAGGATTACACTACAGGTATAACAGCTGGTGTAGGATGATTACACTACAGATATAACAGCTGGTGTAGGAGGATTACACTACAGGTATAACAGCTGTGTAGGAGGATAACATTAGAGATATTACACTGGATTAACGAAGATTACGCAACAAATAATATATCTGGATTTCGGAGGATTAGACTACACACTGTGACTGATTCACAAGTAGCAAATACAGTATATGAGCTCCTTGAAGTGCAGCACTGTATTACAAAGGCTATTTAATACTGTGATTTGACATTACTGATAACATGTAACATTTACATATAATTAGTTGTCAGCTTGTCTCCTTATCTCTCAAGAATTAATCCAATAAACCCTTTTGTTTGAGATCAATAAATCACAATGATACATAGTAGATACACACAGATATAGATACATGAATGCATATCATAGCCATGTATTGGTATACATGCTGTAAAGGTTTCTGTGACATTACAAATTTCCATTGGTTAAACAAATGCTTGAATCATAAAGTAAATGCATGTTTTGCACAAAAAAACCAACAATACTTACAGTAGTTTTCCTATACCCTAGAAATGTTTACCTTACCAAGAAACACAAAGAAAGTCACCAGTCTCATGACAGGAACACCATAAATCCTGTTGGCCTTGAACATAGACCTGGACAAGATGTACATGCCAATCTTACAGACATTCATATATACTCTGATCAAATCTGCTCTGAAATAGGACAGGTTTTACTACAACACTGGTTAGGTACCTACTGGCACTGCAAAAATAATGGATTTCAAAAGAACATGATGTTACATGTCATCCTGACATAAAGCTGTATATCAATATAGGAAATTGGTTCTTCTTCAGTACAACATACAAAAAGATTGCTTTTGGTAAGGGTTGTTAAAGAGGTAACCTTCTTTAGAAATAAGACAATTTGTACATATCTAACTGAATTTCTGCTTACAAGAATTATCAGTCAAAAAGGTCACTTGTGCATGTACACAGGGTAACAGCTGATCAATCATATTCAGGTTCCATACTACAACTGATTAAGAATATTTTAGGTAAATACTGTACTTTTTGTGAGCCCTATTGCTAGTAACATTTAAATAAATAAACAAAAAAGACAAAAACTTATAAATGGATAACTGGATACAAGTATATATAAATGTAAAATGTGTAATGTGTATACAGGTTGGCAGGGTGATTTTGAAAGTCAACATAACTGAGGCAGAATCATTAATTGATGAAATGGCAAATCAAAGAGGCTTGACTAAGGACTAATAGTTACTGTGTATCTATCATGGACGATGTGGACCTCTGTCCACGTTCTCCTTGGCATTGCCTCCCCATTCTGCTGCCTACTGAATATAACTTAAGGGAAAATATTCTGCAATTCTACCAAAACTCAGCTGCATAACATGGTAATCATCTGGTCCGGTTTTATAAGGCAGACAATCTCTGTTTAACATTTACCTGGTCAGCAGACAGGGATGTTTCTGAAGTGGCTTTTTCGCATGTTGGCATCAGTATTTTGGTAGAAGTTACAAAAGAAGATCCTTTAAGTGATCACAGCCATGTAAGCTTGTTACATATATTACAATCTTTCACAACTCTTTCTCTTTCGACAACCTTACACCAAATACTTCAAAGTTAAAAACATCATCATGAAAATATACATACAGCACACATTCACTTTACATATTCGTAACTTGCACAATGCATCGCTCAATGTCAACTGGTGTTTTGTACAATCACAGTAGTGTCATACTCTTTCACTGGAATAAATAAAAATGTTTCATCTCCTTACAACTCCAACTGAGAGTACACTGGTATATACATATATTTTATGCCCTTAAGACAGTTCAAGATGTCACAATTATATATGGCAGCAAATCAATTTGAAATCATGCAAAAATCACACCAGGGTAAGCACGACACATACATTTTTGGTAAAAACAAGTGTTTCCTTGCTTTTTCTGTAGATGACTTCTACATCAATTTATAAACAACATTATTGTTTTTATATCAAAAACATCTACATGATTCTTTTTATGTAAAATTGTGAAGTCTGAAATCAGATTCTTTTTTATCAACAATACAATTCACAGTGACAGATATTTTCTCAACTGCAAATTAAAGGTTTTGCTGGGGTTTTTTTTTTTAACAATTAAACTAACAGAACAATGACAAATTTTAATTTCACAATCAAAGTTCTGCCTGCCAGATACATCATTTGCTGCTGCACACATTTTGGTAGACTAAAGTTTGCAGACCAAGGAACAAGATGCTGCTTTAATAAGAAAATGAAGCACAATGAAATGTAATTGCTCTTAAGTCTGGTCAACAAAAACATGTCCTTATCCACAATATATAATCCACATCCAATTAAATTGGACATCATATGACCCTTCGTCTTCTACAAAGTAAATAATCCACCAGGTAAACAGTATTCAATTTTGAACCCCTGGAAACCACACACAGATCAGAGTATTGTTTTTACGCTGTTGCACACTAAGCAGAGTAGTACCACCATATGCATGGTCTTCACAGAGAAGATGGCACCAGTCAAAAGCAGCAATTTTTTCAGGCTGGTACTAGTCCAGAAACAGCTGTGCCAAGAATGTGGAAAATGCTTTATAATGGATATCACAAGAACAGGGGAGAAAACTTCGAAAACTACTCATCTGATGACTGCTGATATTTCGATATCAATGCTTCTAATAGCTTTAATCTGGCCTTTGTTTGCTGAAAATACAAATAACACATTAAATTAAAAATGTCCAAAACCTGCATGAAAGGATATATATCTGTTTAAAAATTCTATGTCACTATCAATAGGCTTTTGTATATCAATACTTTTCATCAATTTTTTCTATAAGTATTAACATCATATAACAATTCTACATATGAATAGCTGGAAATTAACAACTTTGCTCAAAAAGATTATTTGTTTTGTGAAGAAAAATGTTACATTGTTAGTGCTCATATTCCAATAGCTAATAAAAGGGAAAAAAATGACCAAATCTGTACAAAATCAGAAAATTTCTATGTGATGCCTAGGGGTTAAATCTTACCTTATAACCTTGATATTCTGACTGTAGGGGAAGTCTGTCCTCTCTCTGGACTTTTCTGCAAAAGGCAAAATAATCTTATTGGTATGACTATGATATTAACCCAATATGTCATTCCACAATAGTCACATGTCACAGTACTATTAAATGTATCTGATGATATCATACAGTAAATATTGGGTTTCAAAAATGAATGATGGGCAGTGACAGATCATGCCGCCAAGTTTCGGAAACCATGCAAGAGTAATTATCATATAGTAGTTGAGTAAAGTTCTAAAGACGTGAGGGACATAAATCAATCACACCTCCAGATGCTTTGCACAGAATTTGAGCATTTCAAAACAAGCACAATGAAGGAAAGAAAATGCTTGTCACTATGAAGATTGAAATCAGGGCCATTATCCTACCAGTTCAACACAGTACTAATGTATGTAGTCATCATGGAATCATGCATGCAGAGTACACCACCACATGACACATGACTTACTCTAAGCTAGAGAAACTTCTTGTTGTGTTATCTTTGACATTTTAAGGAAACAAACAAAGCTGACCTAAGTGACGATAAGTTTTGTATACTGTGTTTTCCTGATTAGGAGCCACAACTTTTTGTTTTGCCTTGTGAGTTATGCATTTGGCTTTTATACCGATGTGACTTATATGCGAATGAAAAAAAAATCGGTTGGATGTGAAAAAAAAAAATTGCAGTGTACCAGTAAGAGAGTACCTGCCAACCATGGGTTTACGATGTAGAATTGTCACTTGCAATTGTATACAGGATAATTCAAAGATTGCAATTGAAATATGAATCACATTAATGTCTTCTTGACTTTGGGGTTACTTCAAAAAGGCATGACAGAAGATTACAATAGCCTATTGCACCCTGGGATTGATAGGTCATCATGTTATAGGTCAAATTCTAGAAAAACCACCATGCTTGTTTATGATTAAATGGCTTCATGTAAATTACAGGAAGAAGTAATATGGAATTTTGTCAGCATGCAAGGGCCTTTCTTAATATTTAACAGTATAGTAAACTGTACGTAACATCAGGCTGTGTGTGGACATTCTTTGAAGGCCCCAAGCCAAACAAGTTTGTATTTGCTATTTTATGTATTTTGAATTATCAGAATATTTTCAAATATACATCAATGAAATAAAGGATTATTTGTACTTCATTCATTGGCAAACTTCATCAAAATGTTTCACTGACGATCTTGATAAATTGCCTTCTGTTTGTTGTCTGTTATATCAACAAATTTAATCAACATTAAGATTACCACATCATAAGGAATGATACAGCTTATATTCCCGTGCTGCTAATATGTTGATCAAATCGAAAAAAAGATTGGCTCTGTGGTTTATATACCTGTGTGAAATATAACCTGGAAAATACAGCACTTATCCTACCGTGGTCTAATGATTAAACATTTATAATATTGTAATAAAAACATTCATATACCTATCATGTTTCTTTAAAAATTCCTCTTCAAAGTTCCTGAGTAATCGTCTTAAATGTTTTTTCTCCCCTCGGGATCTAAGCAATTCATCTTGAAGTTCTGGGCTACAATCAATATATATAAAATTACTTAATAAAATGGCAGTTATTAAATTTTCAGCAACAAACAGTAATTAACAAAGGTGTTCATCTAAAATAATGCCAAGGTGAATAGATAGGGTGAGTCAACTAACATAAAATTATTTTATTTCATGAAGAAACTACAACCAGAAAATGAAGAATTAATGAACAAATTTCCTCACAAGTTAACTACGATAAATAATTTTAAAGGATTCTACTGAAAAAACAAAATGTTACCAAAAAAAGACTAAATAATCGAAATCTATAAAGCTTTATCGACTTACACAGACATTTCATGGAGGTTTGATTCTGCACTTTTAGAAATGATATCTTCATCTGAGAGGTCAAGTTTTCGTTTCACTTTTGGTGAATGGCCATTTCTTTTCTCATTCGCTTTATTTGTTGATCGTAATGGGTCCTTTAAGATGGAGAAATCTCGAGTGACGGCAAAGTCCATGGTACCTAGTACTGCTAGACCTCCACCTTCCTCCTCCTCCTCTGTGTCTGCCGTCGGTACATGGATAGGGTTTATCTACAGGTAACAGCACAAGTTTAGAAATTCTTTTGATGTTGCAGTACTGTAACACATTTACACCTTCTTATTTCATATGTTCAGCTTACAATACTGTAGCAAATCAGACTAAAATGTACATTCATGTCAGGACATAAATACATTTATCGACATTTAAATTGTTCCATCTGTGATGATTTTTGATAATTCTGCTACTTTTGTTCTCAGCAAATGTTAATGCAATGCTTGCCTGCTGGATTGACAAGGGCTATCAGACATGGGTTATGCTCCCCAAATGGGACAACATTTAAATATAGAAAATAACAAAGGTTAAAAAAAAAGACTTATGATTCTTCTTCACTGCCCTCCTTCTCGTTGAGATCTATCTAACTATGAAGTTTCATGCTGATACCTCTTTTAGTTTTTGTGTAATTCTCCAGTCAAAAATGCTCCAAAAAAGTATGAAAAATAACAAAGGGCAATAACTCCTTAACCATGATTCTATACATGTGTAGTAAAAGTCACCAGAAAAGTCAAATTCCATTAACATACAAGTATTGAGGAAGTTTTCATGCAGAGAGAACAATTAAATAACAGAAGGACAAACAATTCCATGTTAGTAATAAACCCCTATACATTTCTGATTTTGTTCTTTAAAAAAAAAGTAAAACAAAAAAATGAATCCTTGTTTGTAATGTGATATAAACTTCTTTAGTATTCTATCACTTTGATTAAAACTAACAATTTGATAAAAGTTGGAAATAATACTGATTCCTTAAAGAGTTAGTTTTAAAATGCAAAGTAAGTCAAGCTCATTTGAACAGAAACATAACTTACAAACTTGGAAGAGCGGGCATCAGCAGGGTGAAGTTCAAATGGTTGGTCCTCTGGAACTGTTTGCAGCTCACCTTTATCTCGTGGCTACAAACAAAATGATTCAAACACCATGCTCACAAATACATGACATGCTAGGCTCCCCAATCACCCTAGCTTTAGTTTAAAATGAATAATGATATAGTTTTATATGGAATTATATGCTACTAATGTGTTTAATTTTCAGACATCAATTTAAAGATATAACTTCTGGATACTGTATCATTTCTTAGAATCTTATCATACAGGAAATCACAGTTTAAAACATTTCATTTACCATGCAGTAACAATGTGCAAACCAAGACATATCCACCATTCTTTTACAATCAAGGAAAAGGAAATGCAGGCTCAAGATGGTTTGTTTTAAAAATTCATAATACATGTTTAACCAGGAGAGATGCTGCAACAATGTATCCACACCATACTAATCATTACATTTATAAGGTAGCACAAAGTACCATACTGGTACATTATAAAACATCCTGATATTTGATGAAATTATACCTTAACTAGACTCAAAGAAATCAGATCAAAACTTTTATGGCAATAACTGAGTATGGTACTCATCATGGAATAAACAAATGGTGGTGATAACTTCTCACAACTTACAAAGAAATCCCATCAAAACTTTAAGACATTTTTTTCTTTACAAAGAATGTTTAGTTTCCTTTCTATATGTAAAGATATGCTGGTGTAAAAAATGATCATCTTCGGGACCATGCAAGCCTCAACAAGGGGCAGTGCTTATTTCTTTGTGGAAATTGAAGTTTCACAAAGATATCACAGTATTCTGTCAGAGAAACATACATTGTAAATAATTATGGACTTACTTGTAATACAGATTAAAGCTATAAACTCAATTCTGAACACTGGATAACAAAATGAATACAATCTGAAAGGTACACATGAGTGGATGGAAACACAGAGATGCCAACCTGTGGTGATTGAAAAACGAAGTCTTTCCCAAGCACCAAATTTTGAAAATCATATTCACAGAAAAGCATTCTCCTGGCTTAAATTTGGCAATATTTCTATAATTACAGAGTGTATCTTGCAAAACAAATACCTTAATAAAGTCCTGGGCAATGTTTGAATGCAAATAAATGAACAACAAATCATGAAATTAGTACCACAAATTGTGCAGAACACATGGTGTCCACTAATCTCTGATGTCAAGATAGACATTTTTCTGTGTATTCCTTTTTGAAACTTTGCAGATGATGTGTTTCAATTTCTTGTTCAGCAGCCCAGTTGATGTGCAGTCCTTGTTTGAGGCCATCTTGGCACAATTGTACACTCGTGTTCATCAACGTGGTAATTAAACGATTGATAACCCTCATACTTTATTATTGCACCCTAGCATACAATCTGAGAGTGAACAAAACCAGAACTGGTGTTAGGAGAATTTACACACAGTGTCAACCCAATTTCTACACAAACGAAAAAAAAAAAAAAATTGAAAAATGACCGAGATATCTTTTAGAATAATCAGAGAATTAAACAAAAAATTGGAGGCGCGGATTTTGACACTGAAAATGGAGGCACTCCTCCCAAAGCGGAATGGTTGGCATCTCTTGAAACATCGAGCAAGCAAAAAAACACATGGTTACCTGTCAGTTTACAAGTAATACTTACTGAAGATGGTTTTGAGAGCAGTCGTTTTATGGTCCTGTACCTATCATATAGTGGTCTCATGAGATCTTTATCATCTTTGGTTCGCTGTTAGAAAATGAAAACAAATTTTCAGAAATGTTCTTGTACATTTATCTTTACACAGAAAACTGCTGATTGATAAATAAGAATGAAATCATCTGCAAAAGCTTTAAAATATTGATCATTTTATGAAGTTAACAAACTTACCGGTCGACCATGAATACTTTCAAAGTGTAACAAAGCTTTCTGCACAGACAGCTTTTCATCCTGTACTTGTTCTCTGTTCATAATCTACAACAGATATATTCTTATTTTATTCAGTTATAATGAAGCTGTTGGCAATTCCTCGCTGAAATCAACTTGTAATCATCCTGTCCTCTGATAACCATTACATATCACTCTGTTGTACTGGCATGAATATTGAAAGTAAACAAACTTGTGATGTGACTGGAAAAATAGGAGGCTAAAGTGAGTGAAGCCTGCTGTAATGCTACTGTAATGTTGGTCTATATTTCATACAGTGATATAGCCTCCACTGTATAACTGGCTCATTTAGCCATGCACGAATTTCACCATGTCGTGCCAAAATCAGACTGTGTAATTCTAGTACATATGTTGTTATTAAAGAGAAGAAACTAAAATTATATAATGTCACTTTTTTTTTCAATTAGAATATGCCAGTTCAACACTCTTCAGGCAAAAGTCAAGACTACGACAGTGAAAATTCGATAATGGCATCAAAAACCTATCAAAAACCTATTATATATATCATGTTCATGTTGGTCAGTCTATTTACATTGACATCCTCCGGCCGCTGAACCTCCTTGCGTTTTTCTTGAAGCCTCTGTAAAATGGTCATCAGTGTCTGCTCCATAGTTGGTGGAAGATCTGGGGGTTCCCCTCTCTCACCACTTGATGAGGTACCACTCCCGTGTCGACTTCTACTGCCCATCTCGGCCTCCTCCTTCAGCTCTGACAAATAGAACGAAGATGGTTTTGATAAAGAAATCTGAAATATGTCAGATTGTTATCAACATTATAACATTACAGATGTATTAAGTAAACAATCTATCAGTCAGATTGTTATCAACATTATAACATTACAGATGTATTAAGTAAACAATCTATCAGTTTGAAAATATGTTTTTAAACATGGCTAGGTATAATTATCACAATCACGGCATAGATGAAGGCTAGCATTAAGATGTGCTATTTTCTGACCAACTTGTAAAAAAAATCCACAAAGACAAGAATTATCTTGACAGGCAAACAACTGAAACTTGTCCTTTACATAGGGAAAAATAATTTACTTTACAGATCTAGAGGTATAGAAAAATTCAGCAAAAGGTTGAATTTCTTTATTTCACATCTGATTATTTTTCCTGTACCACAAACTATCTAACAATTCATTCATCCAATGATGGTTCTGTAAATAAATAACATCATATAGATTTTCAGTACAAGGATCAAATACTACATTTCTGAATCACATTTCTGAAGAACATTAAACAATATATCCCTCGTCCTAGCTAGTCCTCTATAGAAGTACAGCACTACTATACAAATGTTCCCTACTTTTGATCTCTTTCTTGGCCTTTGTGATGTCACTCATCCACCTCTTCACATCAGGTTTGTTGGTTTTGTCTACATGGGATGGCTGGAAAATGAACAATTATTTACATTTTCCTAGTTTTTACACTTACATGCAGTATCTATTTGAATTCGCCTTATTAATTCAGTAGGGAATATTTAGATATTCTATACATTCTAAATGTAAAGACGTAGTTTTTGTTTAAACCAATTATTACACTTCTTAATGTAATGTTTTAGCTAAATGAATATGGAGATACCACCTCCAAATGAAGGACATTTCAAACGGTACTCACAAAACACAAGGACAAGTACACAGCTTAAAGCAGGGATTTGTTTTTTATAATGAATCACATTTTGACGGGTTCAGAGGAGATTTCTAACTGAAATAATCAATCTATGCACAACTTAAGCAATTATGATGTTTTGCATGAAGGTCTCACAGATACATGAAAGGTGTGGATGATATATCTGTCCATCAAATTCAACAAAAAAAAAAAAAGAAAAAAAGAGGCAGTTTAATCATCAATGTGAGATTTTATGGTCTTTATAAATAGTGTTAGGTTTCAGGTGTTACACCCATTCACTATACCTTGAAGCCATTCTCTATTTCAAAGTTTTCTTCAAAAAGCCGAATTTTCTTCTTCAGACCTGGAAAAAATACACAAAAATTCATTACAAATGAACAGTGGAACAGGTTATTTATGTCTATATAAATGTAATATATCAGACCTTAACATCATCCACATATCAAATCCCATAAACTGCTGAAGTCTTGAGTATACAGTAGTACTGAATAAAGCTCAACTGTGACTATTAGCAATTCCTTTTGTCCTTGAATTTCCTTCGTTTAAGACACCTCATACTTAATAACGTAGAATTTTTCTTGCTGTGTCTTAATTCTCCTACCCACCTATCATATAGCTATTCCTTCTACCCACTTTTGTAATACTATATAAAATGTAGAAATAAAGGTTTCTCAACATCCATGAACAGTTATCATCTTTAATGTGATCTAAATATAATGAACATATTTTGACCACTAAGTAGCCCTCATCAGGATGACTTTTACAACTTTCACTCAATGAAGTACAATTTTTCGTTACAGTTGTTAGGTAAACATGAGACATTATGGATACATAACATTGTGACATCATAATTATCCTATGACTATTGGGATTAACCATGGTATTCTACAATCAGTGCCAGTGTATTTTTAAATGCTTGGTTTAGATACACAACGATGGTTTATTACCTTTCAATAATGTACCATTAGGAAGTCATCATAGAAAATGTAACAAAAGTATCATGTGGGTAGTTATCAAGTCCATCAAAGCAAAGTTGAATGGTCCTAGTATCCAGTGTTGGACTTACAATTGAGGAAATTACCTTCTTGTACACAGCAGTATGTTTACAGTATGATAGGCAAGTGGGTTTGTTTTCTGGGATGCTGTTCATATAAGCTGTTAAACTATATAAACTAAATGTTTAGAAATTTTTTAATGTATATATGTATAACTTTTTCTGACATAACTTCCCCTGATACTGACCTTGAATTTTCTTGGTGTACAGTCGAAGTTTAACGGCATATTCATCATCTGCACTGCCAGTACTGAAACAGAATATTGACTTCAAATTTGTGCAAATTTCAAATTTCATTTTGTAACATGAAATGCCACTTTAAGGGAAACACATTTCAGAGTATGTCTCACAAGACTGTTTTGATATCAACTGTATGGACTAAATATGGTAAGATTTCACTATAACTTCTGAAATAGACATAATCATTTTATTGTTTGCATAGCTGTACATTTAAGTACAAATTAGTACAGTCAAATTAGTGGAGGAATAAATGGTTTTATACAAGCTTATACTCCTATACTGTATGAAATATTATTCCATACAGACACTTGGTTTGTTCATATCTGGGGCTTACCAAATGACTGGCTTGGTAGCCACTAGCCCATTTGATGAAAGCTATATTAGCATGGTGATCCAGCATAAGCAAGTAAATCACCATGATATTGCAAATGTTGGTTTGTTGTCCCAACTTTGATAAAAATTGGCTAATATTCACACTTCATGTCATCTGGCAGGTGCTCTGTAAGAGCAATTCATAACAGCCTTAGATAGAGACTGAAGACAGGGTGGTTTACTGGTGGTCATCAGTGAAGGGGTTTTACCTGTGTTTCTTGTATTGATCCTGTCCAACTGGGGGTGACGGTGGAATGTCAGTATTGGCAATGCTATCCAAAACAAAACAGTTAGTTTTAAATAAATCATTCAATGGTTCATTTCAATGGAATCAACATGAGCACTAGATCTCCAGACCTATTTCATAAATACAGGCTTCTTAAGACGGCCACATATGAGAAACAATAATCAGATTAGGTAACTGTAAACAGACTTATTAGGGATCAATCCAATTTTAGTGTATTATCTATTTTGAACAAATTAGTGTTTTGACAAATTCATGCATTTACAACTGCTAAATTAACAGCATACAAAAACTGCATGTAACACTTTACTCAATCTCCAATTACATTTAGAAACATATCAGATTGTACATTAGCACCCACTTCCAGATGCACTTGTATACATAAGGTCTAACCTAGCTGATCAAAACTGCAAATACAGACCTGTGGGCAAATTACAATGGAAAACATTCCCCCTTTCCCCACGATTCTATTTTTGCAGGTATTATACAATGAAAGTTACCAAAGTATCATAGTTCTATTATGAAGTTACACTGTCTTTGTTAAGGCACCTTTCCATAAGGCCAAACAAAATATTGGTGTTTTCCATTTTCATTGTTTGTAAGACTAAGCATAGGTATGGAGGAATAATTTGCTTCCCTGGATACATTTATCTAGGTTATAGAGATACCATTTCAGACTCCAAAAAATGCTTGTTTAAAATTTGTGAAAAAAAGCAGACAGGTTCATAATACTCGTTAGAGAAAAAACACCAGCATACATTTGTTGGCCCAAACATGCTTGACACAAGCTATGTTATGTAAGTAATTTCTTTCCATTTATATTAACAGAAAGGAGCATCATAAAAAATCTTGAAGAAGCCTGATGTTAAACCTCAGCATTGTAAATTTCTTCATGGCTAACTTGTATAACAGTTAACGTAAAAAAGAAGTACCAATAATAACAAAAAGGGGGACAACTAAAACAGTACAAATACCTAGTGAATATTGTGTGGCAGGTAATGTCTGGATATCAAGATAAAAACTAGGTAATTTAAACCATAATAGCAAAAATACTATTCTACCTCGGAAAGGTGCAAAGGCAATGTACCAATGGGGCTCCTAAAGCCTACTTGTAGTGTAAAAAAGCAGCTGATGTACCTAGCAGTGTTGATAAGTGTTGGTGATAATATTATCTACAAGCAAGAATGAAGCACGGAAAATCATATTTCTGAGGATTAGCCCTAGTACAGGTAAAACCGGTTTACACCTCATAATAAAGAAATACCACTTATCCCATGCCTGTTGGGAGTTATTACTCTTCTTGATTGTCAGGAGGAGAAAAATATTTAAATATAAAATTCTATCACAAATAAAATCATCCATATCTGATATAACTCAAGGACAATTAATTATACAGACAGTGTATATAACAAAGGAGATTTGGGCTTATGTACATGAACGCCAGGTGTTTCTTATGGTTTTAGAGAACTGTACCATGAAATGACCCCAACAGTCCCTGTATCAGCTTAATATTTCTAATATGCAGATATGTATTTCCATTAAAAAAAAAATCATTAAAAATTGAAATGATAAATAATAAACAAAACACATAATAATGAAAATATCAAATGAGAACTATTTCTATGATTACCACCTCTGTCAGTTTGCATTATGCAGTGGAGAATGTTTATATTCTTTGACAAGATGTGTCACTATTGTTAAATTACAATGCATCAATCAAGGACAGTAAATATGAAAAAAGAATACTTCTGGATTGACGAAATAATCGAGGGGAAAATTTTATTTTGTTTAAGATAGATTTATACTGAGTCAGGTATATAGTATTACAAATACAGTTACCCTTGTTACTGACTCTATAACCTTTAATGATACTCTGATAATGATACTGTCTCATCGTCTATTTGAAACATGCAAATATTTGTCAAACTTTTGATTTTTTCTTTAACAAAATCTCACTCGAACAAACGTTGGAATTACAAAGTTATTAAGTGAATATATGTGACATTTTCAAATACTGTTATTTATTTTGTTGCTCTGATCACAGAAAGACTGAAACAATAGACTATTCATTGATGATAGTTTTTAGGCTGGCAAACTCAATGTTTTTGTTACTTATGTGTCTGTAAACTTAAGAAGTAATAAAAACTGTTTTTCAATAAAAAAATGTAAATATTAGGATTAACTTTCTATTTTGTGGAGATTATCGAGATATAACTACAGTTATTAAATTTACTCAAGTTCAATTGTATTTGTCTCTCAATGACCTTGACAAAATAGAAAGTTCATTCTTAACTAAACAGGTAAATCAGAATTGTAGAAAAAAAAGTAGAAAAGAAAAACAATGGAAATTGATAAAAATCATCTGAATGATTGAACAATTAAAATCAGAAGTTAAAACTTGAAATAAAACTCAACAGCTACAGTACGAAAAAGAGAAAGCAATGCTACATTCTGGCTGTACATTCTGTATATGGAAGAACATAAAATCATGTCCCCTTCACCTGGATCCTTGGTTTGTAAGTATCATAAGTTTTGCATATCAATTAGAAAGTGGCTGTTAATTTCCCAGAATATTTTAACATGTAACAATAGAGAACAAAGTTTGTAAATGAACAATAACTGGAAACAATACTATACATACAAACATTTTAGGTAGTAGAGGCCAATTACAAGAAACAATATCATAAAATTGATATAAGTGTGAATATCATGTATACAAACTACATAGTAATGTGTAGTTCAATTCCATATTGAATACTCAGGCAATCCAAAACTAGGATATAACTCATACAGGAACGAGTGCAGAAGAGAATGGCAATTGTAAGATAAGTTTTCAAATTAGGATTTGAAATGTATCTCGAAGTTTAAAATCCATATACTAGTAATCATTCAAAAAGTATCTTTGATCAATATAAGTGATTTCCATTTAATCTTGTTTATAAATACATAAGTGAGATCTAGCGTTATGGTATCAAATCTTGAATATATGTCAGATAGTATTGCCAATCTTTCATTGTGTACATTGTAAAATACATGATATCATCAAACAGGAGTTACTGGCCTTTAGTCAATCAATCTGTAGATGTTCACCACTCCCAAACCAGATATATGTTATGTTACTACATTATACAAGGATGCAGGGTATAACTAACATGTACTAAGGATGGCTAGGAACACAACCAGTACAGCATGTCACAATGTTAGAAGAAAAGTGCTAGAAAATTGGTGCAATAAAAATTAATGAGTTTCACCTCATGGACAGACCAGTCTGACAAGCACTCGGAGAAAGCTGGGCTTCCAGGTCAGCAAAATGATTGTCAGGCACACTAGATTGTGGATACAACATAAATCTAGGTCAAATCTGGTCAAACAGCTTTCACACCATTGACACCGTCACATGTATCAATTGTTGAAAACCAGAAACTTTCTAACCTCTACATACCACTATCAAAAGCATTGATACAGAACTCAAAAACAAAATGGTTTGGCAAAATAGCATTATGCAAACACAACGACCATACTGATACTATTAACTGGAGGAAATGGATAAGTCACCTAGAAACTATACTTATCTACAAATACAGATGTTGATGGAGTTAGTACATATTACATGCTACTAGGGACACAGATTAGAAAACCTCTAACCAGTGATTTGTTTTAGTGTAAAACAGTGACCATTACTATGATTGTTATCAGTTTGCTTTTTAGATTAACAAGACCCCAAACCTGAAAGATTCATAAATTGTGATATTGTCCACGGGTACAGCTTATATCACTTAGGTGACCTATAGCACTGTTAAATATGAGGTCATTGTCATGAGGTAGGAATTTCAATAAGAATCTCTGCTTTGGCCTCATCAGCATGGCTACATTTCACAGAGCCCCTTGTTTCTTTATATCTCTCTTCCGCTCTTATTGTTTAAATCAATGTCATTACTTTATCTAGAAGTTGAGCCAACGCCGTGTCACTTGATTGATGAATAGGTCCTTCGCTTTTTCCAATATTGTTTACAAATGATTTTCAATCACTTCATCATCATTAGCGTAACATCTTGTTAATGTATAATGTTGAAACACTCAAGGATCTGGTTATATCTCATATCAATATCAAATGAAAGAAAGACCACAGTGAAGTGCTATCAAACAAACCCACCAAACAGTTAGCTAAACTTTCTGATGTAAGACGAAAAACCTGTTCTAAATCTAAAATGTAAGTTGTCAACAAAACCAACCTAAATTCCCTCACTTTAAGTAAAAAAACACAACAAAACTGTTTCAAAGAAGCACAATGCACTCCACAAGATAACAAGCAGGGAAGGAAGTCTTACTCTGATTTGCGTTTGTTAAGTTTGCCTGAGCGCGGTGAGATGACAGCTTGAGTGTCTGTAATGTCATCACCATTGATTTGTGACTCCGCACGCAAGTATGAGACTGACTGTCCCTTATGGGCAAGGATGGCATCTGAGGAATAGAGAATACATAAGTATGAATTGAACACATGATGTCATAATCACTAAAATAAACAGGACTCCTAGAGCTCTTAAAAGATGGAAAATAATGGAAGATGTATCTTATCATTCTACCAAAAGGAAAGAAACTGGTAATGATATTATATCACTATATTACAAAATTCCATTCTACTACTAAACAATATAAAAGTTTCCACATGAACTATGTCAGCTTTTTTCGATGGTGTGTCAGTATGAAAGAATGCAGAATCAGCTAACCTGAGCTATCTATATGTTGATGGAGAGTTGAGAGGTCAAGAGGAGGAATAAATGGCTTCCTGCTACTCGACGGAGACTCATTCGGAGATCTATTTGGGGAGCCACCATTGCGCCGGATTTCCGTTGCAGCTAGTTCCAGGAAAGCTACACGAGGTTTGGGAATGCCTCCATTGACCATGGCTGTATCTTGTGTAATAGACGAAGCATTTTGTGTGGAATTGTCAGGTATGGTCTCAATCACCACTTTGGCTTCAGTGTCCTGTAAGAGTTGATCAATGTCCTCGTCAAAGTCCACTTCTTCCACGCTAGCACGATGTTTTCTAGTTGGAGAGCGTCGGTTAGCTGGTCCTGCTGGCCTCTTAAACTACAAAACAGAATTTACAGTTAAACGTTTATCTAATATACAGATCTTGAAGTAAGTTTGTCAGTGAAACTGATGAAAGCTCCAAAAATAATTACTTTATTAGACACAAAATTTTTACAAAGTCAATAATTTGTAATTAAGAGGTTTCAGGCCTAAGATATTGGTATACTGCACATTTTCTTTGTATGATCAATGTATACCCAAGTTTCATTATCCTAACTTATATGCAAGCAAAGTTATTCTCTGGAGATGATATCTTTAACAAAGGGAAATAATTATATAAATGAGGGGTCAAAAGCCCTGAATTTGATACACAGCACATTGTCTTAGCATGAGCAATTCTAATAAAGGGCAGTAACCCTGTTATTTAGGGGGGTCAAGGGTCCTGGTTTGGTACATTGCTGATTCCCTTAGTGTGACCAATGTATACACCAAGTTTAATTGGAGGCAAAGTTATGCTCAGGACACAAAAGGACAGATGGAAAGATAGACTGACAAGGCGGCGACTATATATACCCTTGAAACTTTTGGGGAGTACAAAAAGAAAAGAAAAATCACTTAAAAATAAAATATCCCATTACAACCTCTACAATACAAAATCAGTCTCTTTGAAAAGGGGATGTATTCCTCATTTTAAATGATGCTGAAAGCCAATGTAAAAAAAAAAAAATCAAAGAGACTATATCACATACAAAAATACTTGATAACACAAGTTTACATGACAAAGTTGGACCAAATTTGGAAACTCAAATCCATTACAAGAATTTGAAACAATAACTTGTATACACCCAGCACCATCACAATGTTTAAAATCTGTGTGTCACTTACACTTGACAGTGTCCCTGAGTTCCTCTTGCTGACAGTTTCAAAGTCGTCATCTTTGTTCTGACTGCTCCTTGATGACAAAAACACATTCATGAAGACATCTTTAATGTAATCTTTTATCTGTATACTTTTACTACTGTATCTGGAGTGGTTACTTGTCTTATTTCTGTTTGTCTACATGTATCAGAAATATGAGACATTACAAGACAGTTCTCACTAACACATAAACACAATATTTATACCTTTAATTAATTATTATTTAGTTTATTTTGTCACAGGTAAAGCTGAATGTCTATCCTATAATGTACCTCATTGCTTTGTCATCATTTTCTTTTCCATCTCCATCATCTTCTGTACTAGAATATTTGGGTAACTGCAGATGCAAAGAAACTGCTTGTAAAAACATACCACAATAAAATACATCAAGTGTCCTGTTATTCAAATTCCAGATTTCATTAGGTTTTTGAAGGATCTTTACATTCCCAATTTAACTGCTAAGCTAATCTTAGTCAAAGTGAATCCACTTCAGTTATGACAAATTCTATCCTAACAAATATTTAAGATAAATGAAATAGGATTTGTGTGTCCCCTTTTCCATGTTTTTTCTTCTTACATCTTTTAAAATTAAACACCTATGTCATATTAATTGAAAGTTACAAGAATTTTTCACATCATATGACTGTACACATATTTAATGTGATATTTACCATTAAATACTTTTTAACTATTACAGAGTGTTTCCTAGTTCATTAGAGTTGTGATCACCCTTGTGTCTCTAATAGTTTCTGACATGCTACCTGTGTAATAATGATTCCTTTCTGTTCAAAGAAGTTGAAGGCAGATGAGCTTGGCCTCTGCTTGCCAACCTTAGTTGTTTCTATGCTCTCTGATGGCATGTCTTCATATTGCTTGATCCTGTCTCGTACAGCCGGAGCAGCCTCCTCCTCCATTCTACTGTAACAGTATAAATATATTCAAATGAACAACTTCCAGAAGATCTGCATGTCTATCTATTTTCACAATTCTAAAACACAAAGATAAGCACTTAAAACTCACAGAGAAAAAGTTTCCCATGTCGTTAAAACACTTGTCATTAGTGAAACATAATGGTAGTTGTCCAGATGTATTATCACTTATGTGAAATATAAATAACTTGACTTTTTCTAGTTATTGTAGTTTAAGACAATTCAAATCCAAAAATCAAATTGAATCAAACCAGCATTTTAAAAACTTGCAGCTTTCTTGAACAATTCACTTTTAATTTAATAAATGTATTTTAAAGCCAGTGAAAGTCTAGCTAGAATGTATAAGTATATGGCTAGGCTAACCTGTTACCACTCGAGTCCTCCTGCAGGTCCATCCCTAAACCTCCTATATGGCCTGTAGATGTGTCTGTCGCTGTATCTACAACAGCAAATAACACTGTGGTAATACAAATGTCTGACATACATGGATATAAACCCATGCCAATTTAATAATAATCTAACCAATTTACAATTATAGCAGTTTTCACTTTGTTCTTTATTGATAAATGTAGTTCTGGGCATCAAGTCAAATGTAAGTAATAGGAAAATGTCATTAGATAGTAAAGGACCGACATGTAAATGGTTAGGATTTCTGACTTTATGGACAATACATGTATCTTAACAAACTTATTTGTCACAATGTCTGTCAGGTGACAGCTACCAGAAATAAAATAATCATTTTGCCTTGTATAGCCAGAAATCACTTCCTCTATATATAACATTATTATAACAGGGAAATCTATTCTCAAGTCATATCAACTTGAGAGATGACATCTGTGATACGTAGTTACATCAGAAAAGGTCTAATAGGTCTGTACTCAATGTATCAAATACAAAAAGTATCAAATACAAATCTGAATAAATGATTGTCTGGAAATTGATCTGAGCTGGAATTGTAGACTAACCTTCCTCTGTGTTTGCCTCTCTGTGAAATTCCAGACTGTCTCGCACAAAAGATCGGTCCTCGTCACCAAACAGTGTGTCTGTAATGGTCTGTGTGATCACTTTTTCTACAGTCCTGAAAGTTCAAGGTCACATACTGTCAGCACCTTTAGATCTATGACCAGTATCAAACACTCTCTTATGTATTGTTGTTAATTTACTTCTGTGGAATTATTGACAAAAGATCCTGATATTGCAAGCATCTTTGAAAATGAAATAATGACATAGTTGATAGAAAGGTCATTGTTAAAAACAAGCTGATAGAACAATCAGTGTTAAAAACAAGCAATCAGTCTCCATTAGTTTGTATTACAATCTAAGCACATGTTAGAGATTCCAATACAAATATCTTTTTACTTCCAAGTTACACAGGACTTCATACTAGTGATTCATCATTGGTATCATGTCTACATGTCTGTACTTATGAGCTCAGTCCAGTGAATAAAGAACAGATATAAATACACAACACAAAGAGAACATATGTCAGATGTCACTCATCAACATTGTGTATATTTATAAAAGGATTCACATGAAAGAGAAGTAAAGATAGAGAAAGGCTACATCACTTACTCTGAGGTCCTGGCTGATGGAATAGGGGATTCAATGATACTGTATCCACCATCGCTGTAACACAAAACTCTCATCTTCATTTCCTAACCATCAAATTATATTCTTACAGTTTATAACAATTCCTATAACCTACCAGGTATACTACCTACCTTCACAACTTACATCTAATTTCAATATAATTCCTAATTAATTTATTGTAATTATATTAACGTACAGATCCTGTTAATGACAATCAGTATAGCACACCACTACCAAGAAATCCCTACAACCTACCTTTTCATGCGAGTTAATAACATCTCATAAAGTGATGTAAATTAATTATCACATAAGTCTTCAAAATTACCTAAGTCATAACTGACGTCATAATTTCATTAAACTGGAATTCAAATGGGATGGGAACATGTCAGTATGGTTAATGACCGAAATGGACAGGAAATAATGGCATTCCTAGCACCTTAGCAATATCACATTTATATTAGTATGCCAACAATTAAAAGAAATATTGGTGTGTGGGGAAAAAAAAGATAAAATTAAAAAAAACCTATCACACCCAATTCTTTCTGTGATTATACAAATTTGTAAATCCCACAACTTTCATCATTTCCAAAAAAGTTCTATTAAATTTTTGTTTATAAAGTCAGCTAATGCCTGTAATATATGCCTTACCATGTCCACTTGTATCACCACTTATATAGAAACATAACCATAAACCATAACATCTTATACAAAAATGACAAAAACCATTTTTTAAACATTTTTTGTTTTGGTTGACTTGGATATACATAAAACCAATGTTTTTGTAGTTGTCTAGCCCAAAGATAAATGAGGATGTTATGAAGACAGATGACCCCACCATGTCTGCCAAATTAATCTTGATATGCAATTATTCTAGCAAAAAAAACATAACACAAACAAGTTGAAAAGGTTTACCTGTCCAGTATGAATGGTGAGGCCCGTCCAGCGACCAACTCGTCATCGCTGAAGCGTGGACTTACAGGTCGGAGATTTGTTGAGGAAGAGTCCTCGCTGTGGTCCCAGTCCTCATGGTCCTGGTACTGGGTACTGTCATAGTCCAGTTTCGACTGTAATTCAATGTACACTGCTATACCAATTTATACATGTACTGCCCACATAACATCACACAACTAAAGCTATCACTATTGGCTCAGCTTCAGTGTCTATATTACTGTTGTATGTTAACAAGGAACATTCACAATGCACCACTAATACAAGTCCAACTCTACCAATCACCGAATTCCAACTAACATGACTACCTATACTGGGACTGTGATGGTATAATCAAATTTACTTTATTTATGGCAAAACAGTTTATCACAATTTTGTTTTGTACAGTTGTCAGGTATTTGGCAACTGGTCAATTTGATCTGTAGACAAAAGCTTCACTAAAGTAAATGTAATTTGGCCTGCAGAGATTACAAGTCAACATTACTGCAGTTTTACACCACACATAACTGTCTGAATATTTTACAAAACAGAACAATTAACATACACTTTTATTCCTTCAAACAGAAGCTCACTTTCATAGGTGACATGTATACTGAACTATCTGTCTCTTACCTTCTATACTATACATCATGAGATGAAATCTATTTCTATGTAGATGAGAGACTAAGGTTCTAAGGTTATTCACTAGCATACAGTACATTCAACCTCAGAGTTGTACCTACTTCATTTAGGAAACAAAGGTCAACACAATCTAACAAACAGTATCCATGTGCAATGAATATTACATATTTATCTTAGATGTTTCCCATCACCACTCCTCCATCAATAGTTGAATTAGGCTTGATTGGATTAAGGTGACACTATACCAAAGAAAACATACATGTGCTAAGCAAAATGAGTTAGTAACAAATGATTGTACCACAGCCCAAATGGAGATCGCTTAATCTTAAACCAGCATGCATGTCTTATGACCAAGTTCTCACAAAACACTTTTGACATAGCCCGGAGCTGCACTTGCATTTCACATTCATTGTGGTGTCATTCCTATCATGATGATTAAGTGTTAATGGAAAATGTACATTTTTGAAAGACCTGGTAATTTTTTAGAAGTGATGCTGAAAATTTTATCTGTTATAGGTTTAATTTGATGGAAAACCTAAAATCATTCTAACATAAAAATACCTACTTCGTTTCATTCTAATTGTAATGGAGAAAGTTTTAATTTGATGGCTACACTCTATCTTATAGAAGAGCAATGTCTACATTTGGAAAACCTATATATCTCAGGTAATTTTGTACAGATTGTAGTCTGGCTTTTCCTCATGCCTTTTTCCCTGGGCTATTTATCCACGTCTCCTCGTGTTATTTTCTACATTGATTTGTATTAAATCTGAAGTAAACCTATATTGCTGGTCTATTTTTACTGGTCTCTAACCAAATCAGGTATAATACGTTAACCACTACAGAGGAGTAATGTCACAGAACTGTCAAGTCTACCTTAGTTTGATGGAGGCATCTAGTAAGTTCTAAACCAGATGAGGATCACCATAAATAGCTTAGCTAATAACAGTATAGGCATTGTACCCAAAGCTTGTACTCCGTATTGTTCATTAGCCCGCATACCTGTTGGTATCCAAGGTGAAGTGAAACTCACCAACCCAAATACAAACATGGTTATGATGACACTTAAAGTCAGCAAGGTGTGGTAATGTTTTACCTCATACTGCACTCATATATCTCCTACTTTTTATCTATAGACTAGTCTATGTTGACTTATAACATTTCTCATATTGCTTTCAGATTTATAGGACCATTTATTTTATCTCAAAAGTCATTCATAACGCCGCAATAATTTAATTTCAAAAGGGATGAGATTATGTCAATACAATCAACAACAGAAGTTACAAGTGGACAATATCACTCCTATGAAGTTGGTAATGAAAACTACATGTTTATATGAATGACTAAAAGAATTATCTTTATAGGATAACAAAACATAAGATTAAGAAAAAAAAGATAAATATCTTTTCACAATATATATTATTTTCTCACTAGCCTAATGTAATATGAAACTGTAACAAAGTAAATGATAATTTTTTCTCTGAAAGTCCTTAAATTTGAGATATGTACTTACATGTACATGGGACTGAAGTTTGATGTATGCTAAATTAATGTATAATTTCCTCAGACTTATATCACACAGACTGTATCAGATATACTTGGGCTACACTTGACCTTCATCTTTCCTGATCTACACCATTTATATCCCGAACATGCAAGTGTGTGTATAACAAGTAGACAACTTGATCTGATCTGGCACAACAACATCTTTTTTATCCAAGTGTAAACAAAAATTGATAATGAATAAAAACACTTTTGACCACCAGCGGACTGAAAGTGATATCATTGACTTTTTGGTTATATGATTAAAACCAAAACTACATGTTGTATTTTTAATTACTACTGGGTATTCAGTACACAAATGTAAATGAACTTAACTGACAGCCTTTTACAGTCCTATAATACACCATGATAACTGTTTGAATGCACCAACACAGTGTGTGGCTATTTTTCAGACCAATAAATACACATTCAAAAGATATCATTCCTATCAAGTCTGTTTACGGCTGAGGTCAGGCATGAATGGTAAAGTCTCAACTATTTGAAAACATCTGAACCCATGTATGATAATACATTTGGGTACTAGTTTGACCTGTGTGCTGATAGCTAACTGGGGTTTGACACCATGTATCACTGTAAAAAATAATTTAATAACAGATAGTTGATCTACTAGCAGCCATGATACAATTATCACTTGTTTCTGTAACTGGATGTTACATATAAAAACCAGCATAAAACAGAAGGGTCATTAAGTAGTTGTATCAAGGAATCCAAAAGTTTTATATTACAAGCATGTTTGCTGGGTTTATCCCCTGAGAACAGCCCAGGGCATTTTAAAACAGGACAACACTATTCAACTAAACAACTTACAGGATGCCATCCAGAGCAATTACTGGTAGATTGTCTTGACCAAGGACACAATCACCTCAGGTCACACCAGTATAATGCTCAGCTTCAGGGGAAACACAAATTTCCACAGGTAGGAAGCATCCAGCATTTCACAAACATATCACAAGTATTTGAATTCTTAATTCCTTAAACCACTATGGACAGATTTATTTTTTTGATATTTACAATGTTCAGGTACACAATTTCCTTATTTTTTTATTCTATCCCATTGAAATATTGTAATAATAAAAAAAAAATGAAAAGAAAAAGTGTGACTGAGTGAAGGTGTGTATCTTTCATTTCTATTTTATTTCACACCCAAACAGACAACACAAAAGAAACAAGATGAAACCCTGTGGTCTAGAACACATACAGTGTTTTAATTCTGATGAGCCGGTAGCTGCTGGAGTTAAAACCTTAAAAGCAAAGTTTCTCAACAGCCAGCCCTTGGAAATATTATCATTTGCCTCTAATTTGGTGACCTATTCGTACTACATTGTATAAAGAAAAGGAAAAAATAACCCTACTTACTAGACAGCATGTTAGATAGTAATGTGACCAGCTGAACTCTGGCTATAGTAATCTCAACTGTACATACCTCTGGGATCTAACCTTAACTACAGTACATACCTATGTGATCTAGCCTTAACTACTGTGCATACCTCTTGGATCTAACCTTAAATATTGTACATACCCCTGTTAGCTAACCTTAACTACAGTACATACCTATGTGATCTAGCCTTAACTACTGTGCATACCTCTGGGATCTAACCTTAAATATTGTACATACCCCTGTTAGCTAACCTTAACTACAGTACATACCTATGTGATCTAACCTTAACTACTGTGCATACCTCTGTGATCTAACCTTAACTACAGTACATACCTATGTGATCTAACATTAACTACTGTACATACCTCTGTGATCTAACCTTAACTACTGTACATACCTCTGTGATCTAACCTTAACTACTGTACATACCTCTGTGATCTAACCTTAACTACTGTACATACCTCTGTGATCTAACCTTAACTACAGTACATACCTATGTGATCTAACATTAACTACAGTACATACCCCTGTTAGCTAACCTTAACTACATTACATACCTCTGTGATCCAACCTTCACTACTGTACATACCTCTGTGATCTAACCTTAACTACTGTACATACCTCTGTGATCTTACCTGAACTACAGTACATACCCCTGTTAGCTAACCTTAACTACAGTACATACCCCTGTTAGCTAACCTTAACTACAGTACATATCTCTGGTAGCTAACCTTAACTACAATACATACCTCTGTGAGCTAACCTTAAATTCAGAGTGTATCTCTATTAGCTTATCTAAACTAATAGGACTTAAACAAAACTCATCCACAATCTAGAATCATTTAGAAGCTGTTGGTGACATTTATACAACTATTGTGCGTTTAGTGTATTTCCTATATTTTACCAGATTTGACTGTTTATGTATAACTTCGACATCCCATCAGACACACTTGGGATGTATTATGTAAGTGACCCGGACAGGATAAGGCTTGTATCTCCTGTGACCTTTCCACCTGACCTTAACTAGCCGACATACATTGGAGTTAAGTACTAGGAGATAATCTGTCAGTGATACTGTAATAATCAATAGGTATTTTTCAAAGCCTCCCTGCTGGCTCTGTTATAGCTTTAAATAATTACAACCTTACCACCACAAATAACACTAATCATTAATCAAGGAAATGGTCTCTCCATGGATATAGTATTATCAATCAGCATCATTAAGTTGTCAGTTCACAGGGAAATACACATTATCTAATCACTCCTCCATTATGGAATTTTTATTGACAGGAATGTTAACGAATTACAAGCATAAAACTCATGGTATTACAAATTTTAATGGAAATATCATTATTACACCTGAAAATTCTGTAAAAAACAATATACAGAATGCGGGAATCCAGGTCTGAAAGTATACTGAAATGTAAAAATGCAGAAAACTAGGTCACAGAAAGCATGCTGAAATGTAAACAAGCAGAAAACTAGGTCAGTGAAAGCATGCTGAATTGTTAACATGCAGAAAACTAGGTCAGTGAAAGCATGTTGAAATGTTAACATGCAGAAAACTAGGTCACAGAAAGCATGTTGAAATGTTAATATGATACATAGCTGGTCAGAAAGCACTGAACATGCACTGAACTATTACAAAAATGTTGAGATGTAAACATGTTAATTATACTAGATCAACATGTTTGAGTATAAACACTGAAACTGAACAATGGTCCCTACATTCGCGGTTCATCACAGTATTGAAATTTTTATTATCTCTGATAAGTGGATCTTCTAAAGTCTCATTTTTAAATGTCACAAAGGCAAAAAGAAATGATATTTTGATGTTGGAAATTATTGTGTTTAGGTGTTACACATAGAGAATTGATCACCTTATAACCTAAGGTGCTTACAGCTGACATCACGTAGAAAATTCTTATAAAAGACTGGAAAATCTGGTGAAAGTAGGTTTCTGAAGTTTTTATTACACACAATCCTTAGGAACCTACATCAGCACATTTCTGTACATACACCAGTATGTAAATAAGGCTTTAAAACAGACTACTCTTGGAGACCTGCCATTTGTAGACTTATGTGTGTACCGTGATCTAAATTATACACCTCACAAAACATTGAGAATATGTCCAGGATTTAAAAGTTTCAAGAGTGCATGTATAATACCCTTATTTGACCAACAAATGTGAGCACCCCTTGGCAGAGCCTCAGTTGAATTTCTGTCAATATTTACTCTCAGTATTCTCAATGAAATCATGCACTCTTATATATCTTAACATCTGTTCGAAACATGAATCATTCTTATAATTGTTTTTCTATGTTCAAACTTCAGAAATAGTTATGCTTGTTAGTCTTGAGATAAAGAGAAGTAAATCCAAAATATGAGTTTGTTATTTTATCATGTAAACAGATTTGGTATCTCTCTGAATAGGTAGGTCTTTTGTTTACCAAATACACCAGCTGGATATATATATATAGGTATGCTGTGTGTCAAACATATACAGCTGGATATATATATAGGTATGCTGTGTGTCAAACATATAATGTCCATTATACACCTAATCTAAAACATTCTTTAATATCAAAGCATTTCCCAATATAATCATTGGGCAGCAATGATAAATACTATTCTGACCTATCACTTACATTTATATAGGTTAATGAATGCTGTATTTGCTATTGAAATTTCTGCACATGCCAAAGATATAAAGGAATGGTATGTACACATACAAAAGATGCTAGAAGAAGCTACAAGTATTTGCAGTAATTAGCCTGAATATACACTAGGATTACAATAAAACTAACAAGCATCAGTTAAAAACATCAAAGGCGATAAAGAAATAAAGTGAGTTGAAGTTTTTCATAAGCCTGTAAGATTAGTACCTATAGATGTATACCCATGTAAAGCATAAAAAACAAGGTATAGTACAACAACAATGAAACCCTGTGTACATGCAGAACATCACAGACTGCTATAAGACATCTATGTTTTCTATTCAGTTATGGATGCATGCAACCTTATTATGGATTGCAACTACTTTTGAAGAGTTCCAGTAGTACAAAACTTAGAAATACTAGAGATCTTCCATTTTACTGAGAATTGTTTGAATATAAGAATATTAACTTTAAGAATATTAAAAAAGAATCCTCCTAATAATAGCAATAATTTAATGATGAACCTTCAAGGAATAATCCCTTATATGTTAATTCAGATTGCATACTTAAATAATCTATTCTCATTAATACAATAAGTTGATAATCTTCATCAATATGATATGAAGCTTCATACTATTTGACCCTGATTTAACAATTACTTCTTTCAGTAGTTGATAAACACAAATCTTCCTTCTAGCCTGCTGTTAAAGCTATTTTCATAATGCCAAGACAATGACTGAATGAAATGTTAGTCCACGTCCATTAGTAATATATAGTAAGCTTCAGATGATAGAGATAGACAGATGCAGGTAACGTGTATTCAAGGCAAATGTGATATAGTAGAGGTAAGTAAAAGGTCCAAGACAATGAGGTGAAGGACAGTGGTCAAACACAGTAACTATGGCCATCGCAGTGGATGCCTACCTTTCTGGGAGTGGCCACGGGTCGCGCCTCTACATCCACGACCTGAAGCTTGGGAGGGGGAGGGCGTGGAGGGGGAGTTTTCTGTTTTCTTCTGTGTAGCTGTCAGTTAGGAAACAGGTATAAATATAACTGTATACCTAGTAACTGAGTAGGAAACAAACATGTGCAGCATCATTGTGTCTGAAGTGACTAATCATCACCATATTTGGGTATAATACAAAAATATACATCTACTTCCATCAGATATGTGGATACAAATGTACAAAGTGGTGCATTCATGTGAGATCATTCTATACCACATAAGTAAAATGTCCTCAACATGGCAAACTATTTACTTTTACAAAAGTCTCGCCCAGGGAGTGCATAAAAAAATATCAGATCAAAATGTTCAGGAGCAATATTTTCATTAAGCTGACCTTGCTGTCAAAGAATGAGTGTTTACTGCTGAATACAGCTCATTGATATCACTTACAGGATAATAAACAAATACACAGGTACTTAAGAATGTATACATACACTATACCAAACTGATAAGTAATTAATTCTAGCCTTGAATAATGTTTACACTCAAGAACTGCAGGAAATCATGTCTTGACTAACTACAGGCATCCCAGTTTACACTTCAGGATATTTGATCTTAACAGACTACTCTCACTCTATTGTGATATTTGAGGAAATGAAATAATATATCATAAATGATTGAACAGCTGACCTGACAGAATAAACAGCTGACCTAACCTAACAGAATAACAATTCAATCACTGGTGTGCACTACTCATTATTCATTTCAAATTTCAAAATAAATCTTATTCAAGTTCTTGCTGTTTTATTATTCAATTCGTTTTCTTTATTTTCCTTTTTTTCAAAATTGTACATTTGATGTGAATATGCTTGATAAATTCTGAGGTTAAGATATATCATGACAACTTTGCCAGGTGTCCAAATTTATTTGACAGGATGTGTAATGAACAGAAGAAACAACAGTTTCATAAGAAATATATTTTTTCTTGAGATTGATGACTTCTTTTTATAAGTTTTTTTTTTAAAATCTGTCATTCATTCTAGCATTAAACGAAAAGCTGACACAAGGCTTCAACAACATCTAGCTTTCTGAATAGATCATATCTAGTATTTTTGTATCAATATCACCTTATAGATTTCAGGGTCAGATATATTAAATAAGAATAATCAACACATTCTATTCAAAATCAAAAGAACACAAAGGAAAGAAGCAATGATCTGATTGGGCTAGACATATTCCATTGATATGCATACAGCATTACCAACTGAAACATTTATTTACAACTCTAAGATCATGCATTATGCATTTTACATACAATACAGATTCTACATCAATATATGGGTTGAAATAATATGCTAGGTATAAAGATCGTTATTTGGCAATTATACAACTAGTCTACAACATTGAGCTGCATCTTCAACAAAAACCATCATCATCTATATATTCCATCAAAGTTATAAAAAAAACCACATCACATTCAGATATATGAGGTGTAGAAAAGGCTAATGTGAAGTACTTACCCAGAAATCCTCTGGGCTTGTCTCATGTTCCAGCTTGAATATGGCATTGTAATGGAAGATGAACTTGTAGACAATCTGATTGACCGTTCCTTGGTCCTTCAAACCTACCACACCCATTCCACACCTGCATTGAAAAGGGGACATCTTTATACTTAAAAAGACTTCACTAGAATTGTATACCTAGACGAAGACCAAGTTTAGCAAAAGCTATTATAAAACATAACATGGCATGGCATGGCACGGCAGTCATCTGACTAGGACCGTGGACTATGACATGACAGTAAGGGGATTAGGATTAGGGATTAGAACATGACAGTCAGCTGACTAAGACAGTGGACTATGACATGACAGTAAGGGGATTAGGATTAGGGATTAGAACATGACAGTCAGCTGACTAAGACCGTGGACTATGACATGACAGAAAGGGAATTAGGATTAGGGATTAGAACATGACAGTCAGCTGACAAAGACCGTGGACTATGACATGACAGTAAGGGATTAGGATTAGGGATTAGAACATGACAGTCAGCTGACTAAGACAGTGGACTATGACATGACAGTAAGGGGATTAGGGTTAGGGATTAGAACATGACAGTCAGCTGACTAAGATCGTGGACTATGACATGACAGAAAGGGGATTAGGGTTAGGGATTAGAACATGACAGTCAGCTGACTAAGACAGTGGACTATGACATGACAGTAAGGGGATTAGGGTTAGGGATTAGAACATGACAGTCAGCTGACAAAGACCATGGACTATGACATGACAGTAAGGGGATTAGGGATTAGAACATGACAGTCAGCTGACTAAGATCGTGGACTATGACATGACAGTAAGGGGATTAGGGTTAGGGATTAGAACATGACAGTCAGCTGACAAAGACCGTGGACTATGACATGACAGTAAGGGGATTAGGGATTAGAACATGACAGTCAGCTGACTAAGACAGTGGACTATGACATGACAGTAACGGGATTAGGATTAGGGATTAGAACATGACAGTCAGCTGACTAGGACCGTGGACTATGACATGACAGTAAGGGGATTAGGGTTAGGGATTAGAACATGACAGTCAGCTGACTAAGACCGTGGACTATGACATGACAGTAAGGGATTAGGATTAGGGATTAGAACATGACAGTCAGCTGACTAAGACAGTGGACTATGACATGACAGTAAGGGGATTAGGGTTAGGGATTAGAACATGACAGTCAGCTGACTAAGATCGTGGACTATGACATGACAGTAAGGGGATTAGGGTTAGGGATTAGAACATGACAGTCAGCTGACTAAGACCGTGGACTATGACATGACAGTAAGGGGATTAGGATTAGGGATTAGAACATGACAGTCAGCTGACAAAGACCATGGACTATGACATGACAGTAAGGGGATTAGGGATTAGAACATGACAGTCAGCTGACTAAGATCGTGGACTATGACATGACAGTAAGGGGATTAGGGTTAGGGATTAGAACATGACAGTCAGCTGACTAAGACCGTGGACTATGACATGACAGTAAGGGGATTAGGATTAGGGATTAGAACATGACAGTCAGCTGACAAAGACCATGGACTATGACATGACAGTAAGGGGATTAGGGATTAGAACATGACAGTCAGCTGACTAAGATCGTGGACTATGACATGACAGTAAGGGGATTAGGGTTAGGGATTAGAACATGACAGTCAGCTGACAAAGACCGTGGACTATGACATGACAGTAAGGGGATTAGGGATTAGAACATGACAGTCAGCTGACTAAGATCGTGGACTATGACATGACAGTAAGGGGATTAGGGTTAGGGATTAGAACATGACAGTCAGCTGACTATGAGGTGCACTAGGACATGTCAGTTTGCTGACTAGGACTGTAGACTATAGCCTGGCAGTCAGATGACTAAGAATGTAGACTATGACATGGCAGTCATTTGACTAGGATTGTAGACTATGACATGGTAGTCAGTTGAAAAGAATTGTTGATTAAGACATGACCATCAGTTTTGCTAGGACTGTGGATTATGACATGTGATAATCTGTGCACCAGGGCTTATTAATATTACAAAACAACATTTCAAATGCTATTGATGACTATACTTTCTTTCTGAGTTTTACCGGCCCTTTTCACAATACACTTACTTAAATAAATTAGGCCCAAACACAATGGCCAGAGCCATAGGGCTCATCTTGTTGTATTTCTCATGGGAGGCCACGACCACCAGGAAACTCATGATGTATTTCAGCAGGTTGTAGTTTTCCTTGGGTAAACTTATGATAGCCATCTTTAGTTTATATATGCAGGCAGATGTGTCATTCATACAAGCTGTACAAAGGAAATGATTAATTAATTCAGATCATACATGTACAGTGAAAATGTTCTTCCTCAAAGCCAAAAACTGACACCTCAAAGCGACAGTAAGTGCTGGGTAATTTGTAATAAGAACAGCTACCTTGGACAGTTTGTAGAAAGGTTATTTCAGTAAATGTGAACATTATTTTTAGTCACATAAAGCAACATTTACAATACAATGATGATGAAGTTTTTCCTAAACTTACAAAGTTAAGATTTCCTTAAGTGAAGGAATATTCATGAAACTGGGCCTGGTTATGATTCAGTACTTATCACCATGCTAAATCCTTCTGAAATAAGTTTTTATTTTACACACCTTCCTGTATACTAACAAACTGCTTGGTGAGTGAGGAGGGTATGACAGCATCAGGTAGCTCTCGCAAGAAAAGCTTCAATACGCCTGCAACGGCCATGATATCATTGTCCTCGTCCAGGTCAGCATTACCTTGACTGTCAAAACTGGCACGCAGTTTTTCAACAACACGAGCACTTCCACTAATGCGAAAAATGCCCTCATGATCGAAGCCTGTATCACACAAAATAATACAGAGAATATGATGTGCTAAATGTATACATGAAAAACTATATTCTATCTGACTTTACTGAATGCAGTAAAAAGATGTCTATTTGTCGTATTAATGTGAACTGATTAAAAAAATAATGAAATAGGTGTATAATTTCATGTTACACATTTGTAGGCAAATTTTGATAGATTGGATCGGAGCTAAGATTTCATGTTATATTTTGTACATATTCACTTGCCCTGACTTTGAAATTGTGAACACTGGAATATTAATTTTCTGATCTTGTATATGGAGATAACTTGATGGATTCAATGCCAGAAATAGTTCAATGGATGAAGATTGAGTGGTCCCTTAATAATCAATGTATTATAATGGAATTTTTCATTCTGCATCATAATTAATTATTATTTTATCCATGATTCATTTATACAGGGTAGACTGTCACAACATATTATTGTCTATATTTCAAAAAAAAAGTACAGTATTTAGTTATAGGAACAGCCTACCTTTGTTCTGGATGTGCTCACACACTCGGGTCACTAGGAAAGGTACAGTGGAACCCGTGGGAGCTAGCTGAACAAGCTCATCCAGGGGTACTCCAAATGTTTTCCGAGCATTTGATGCAATTTTTCTCCTTGACCCGGGACTTTGCAGCAACTTTCTGACCTTCTCCATAGAACCATCTGTGTTAAGTCTGTTTGTCTGTAAATTCATCAAGAATATGGAAATTATCTTGAGAAAAAATCTGGATACCTGAGTTTCTACTCTGTGCTACCTGTCTACCAGTTACATCACCTAGAAATTATATATATACAGATCAAGGTCAACCTAAATGATAAAACTGAATCTTTACCACCTGACAACATAGCTATCTGCTGAAGTATTTTCTAAAGACATCTCTCTCTCTAACCACAGAAAACAAAATCAAAAGTTTGCTTCATAGATTTCCATCCATTTTGCTTTGGTAGAACCATTATAATAAAATGAAGCCAAATGAGTTGACTACATCAGCTGCCCATCTCACCACAAGAGTAAGTGGCTCAAGGCTACTGATAGCCAAGTTATAGGGCAGCCAACCTGTCTGTCTGATAGTCAAAAAAACACCGACAGACATGCACCCAATCCATCTTCAGCAAAGTCTAAGAGGGAAGAATAATGGACAATAACTACATCACAGTATGTATATGCAATTCTACAGCTATCAACTTGTAAAACATTAATTCACCAAAGAAAACTGACATAAAATTTTCTTATTTTTTTCATGAAAAAAAAAAAAAAAGGAAAAATCATTCATTTCACTCTTTTCTTTCACATATAATACATATATATATATATGTATATTATAATTACACATTTGAAAGACCATTACGCCAGATATTACTTTATGAATTTAAGTAACAGATGTAAGATACTACCAGGTAGTTAAAATTTGTCCTTGATCTTAAACCCTATATATAATACGGGAAATCATTGCATTTCACTAACCACACTAACCAAGGTAAAAAGGTACATTGAACAAGATGTTTTAGCCAAACAGATTACAATGACTTTGAACCTTTTTTTCTTTTGACTCTAAAATTACGCATGTTCCTTTTTTCCCTGATGAGGAGCTGTTATACTATGAAGTTTGATGAAAGGGTCTTGCTAATGTACTCTACTGTACAGAGTATAATTCCCATGAATTGTGTTGATGACCTCCGAAACCTGTTCACTAATGAGTAACAAATTAACAACAGATGATGAGGATAAATCGTTCAAGGTAACCACTTTTCAACAAGGATACAAGTGAACATAAATATGAAGAGAACTTATGAACCACTTTTGACACACATACACTTTCAGTGTTGGATGTACTTTAGTGATGAGTAGTTTGTTTCATCCCAGACAGATATACAGAAAACAGACATACAAAAGTGCTCATAACAGGCAGTTAATTATGTGCACATTTCACCAAAATATTGTATATCAAGAATTCTATCATTTAACTGATTTAATTAAAGTAAGGAAACAATTTCTTTAGATATGTATGGTTTTCCTTTATTCTTGAATATGATATATTTTGTAATGCCCCTTTCTGATAAACACGAAGTGTTAATCTACAACAGTTGATAACCCTTCTACATTACGTTATTGTGATTCCACTGTGCAGTGTACCTACAAGCTAAAGTGAACCACCACTCCTTACAGTGTTTAATGTGATCAGGAGAAATCAGGTGACAGAAGGGATGGGTCACAGTAATGCTTAGTAAATCAACTGACTGTTGTAAAGTGTTTATTACTTTAAAAAAGACATCAATATCTTCTCAATAACAATAGCATTCCTGTTAATTCCATTTCAAGGCAGCTCCGCAACCTGTAAGGATGAGTTTACATTTACTTAAAGTATACATATAGTTAGTTTCCACCCAAAAGACAGTTACTAAGGATTGTCTGGTTCCATATTTACCTCAAATACACTTGCGCTACACAGCAATTATCTGCACAAACACAGGAAACTAAACCATGCAATAATTGAAGTTCACATCATCAGTCTAGCATTTACATAGGAATTACAACATGCATTTGATAGATCACATTGATTGGTAAAACTACAAAACCAGCTAGCGAAAAAGATCAATCAAATTGATAGAGAATTTACAGACAAAGTTCACCAACAAGTGATCATCAGATAATCAAGGTAAGTACAAAGTGTCTCTAATGCTCACCAAGGTCAAGTCAGTCAAGTCTGAGGTGTAGATCTATGACCTTTCACACACGCCAAGGTCAAGTCAGTCAAGTCTGAGGTGTAGATCTATGACCTTTCACACACGCCAAGGTCAAGTCAGTCAAGTCTGAGGTGTAGATCTATGACCTTTCACACACGCCAAGGTCAAGTCAGTCAAGTCTGAGGTGTAGATCTATGACCTTTCACACACGCCAAGGTCAAGTCAGTCAAGTCTGAGGTGTAGATCTATGACCTTTCACACACGCCAAGGTCAAGTCAGTCAAGTCTGAGGTGTAGATCTATGACCTTTCACACACGCCAAGGTCAAGTCAGTCAAGTCTGAGGTGTAGATCTATGACCTTTCACACACGCCAAGGTCAAGTCATTCAAGTCTGAGGTGTAGATCTATGACCTTTCACACACGCCAAGGTCAAGTCAGTCAAGTCTGAGGTGTAGATCTATGACCTTTCACACACGCCAAGGTCAAGTCAGTCAAGTCTGAGGTGTAGATCTATGACCTTTCACACACGCCAAGGTCAAGTCAGTCAAGTTTGAGGTGTAGATCTATGACCTTTCACACACGCCAAGGTCAAGTCAGTCAAGTTTGAGGTGTAGATCTATGACCTTTCACAAAAAATAATGTAAGGTCTAGAAAGGAAAAAAAGATACAAAGCCATTACCTGTTTTATATCGATCTACCAATGACCTTGACCTAAGTTCTGCACCTCTAAAATAACAAAAGGCCTAGCGGCCTTGATGGTCACGGTCATTATATACTTATAATCTTATTTCTGATGGGTAATAAAAAACATTATGCTCCAAAATACAATTTTCTACAAAAATTACAGTAAATTAACTTCCTCCCATGAAAGAAATATAAAATACATTTCAAGATGTTTCCATTCATGAAGAACATTTGATTCTACCCACCTGGGTGTTAAGAAGATTTTTGAAAATTTAAATCAATCCTTTTTGGACCTGCGCATAAGCCCCTTGGGGTCTGTCAGGATCAACATATGCATACCATCTAGTCATCATCCTTCACTCTAAATTCTTAACCAAGTTTGAAATATTTCCAATGGAAATTAAACAAATTATGCTCAAAAATCTATCTTCCTATATAAACTATAGTAAAATTTACAGTGAAAGTCTGGGGCCATGAAATTCACAATTTGGTAAAGCACCTCCAGAAACTTCCATCCATGAAAAGCATTTGATTCTACCATATCTGGGTGTTGAGAAGAAGATTTTTGAAAATTGAGTCAGTTTACCCTTTTGGCCCTGCCCATTAGACCAGGGAAGATTTCTGCAAAATTTCACTGAAATCAGTTCTGGGATTTTTGAAAAGAACTGTTAAGTGTTAAAATGTTTACGAATGCATGATGCCAGACAAAAGGTGATCGGATTATGTCACCTTAAGATTTTGTCTCGGGTGACCTAAAAATTTGTTTGATCCATTTAACTGGATTCCTCTATCACAACTTATAAATTTCTTCTGCATCTGCAAAAAAAGCCAAAACCAGGCATTTTCTCATTGACAATAACAGTAAACTTCATTTTTTGGATCCATGACCCTAAATCATGACCTTGACAAATGTATTTGTGCATCGAACAATATCTATGTTCCATGTATACATATCAAAGAAGGGAGTTGGCAGTTGATTCTGTTATCATATGAAGAATATAAGAGATGTGCAACTACATCGTCCTTTACTCACACATATGCTAGGTAATTACATTCAATCTACCATTTTCTGTATCAGTCTACCAATTTTATTGACAAAACTGCTGACCTAAGCTATCAATGTAACTATATACCTAATTACTGATATCGACCAGTGTCCTGGTCTAGGTCAGCTAATACCATAGGAATCAGCTGGCCAATTTACATCTAATTCTGTTTTGTCATCTTAACAGCATCCACAAATAGCCTTTTTTCTGATTTTCTCTGCCCACTGATTGAAAAATCTACCATATAAGGGGCTGGATAATAATTTCCTAGACTGTATACACAGCACAAATAAACAACATCTTATTATGTTGCAGATATTAAATGAACCAACCAGTGCCGTAAAGTAATGTAACCCGCTGTCTTGATTGACATGCACAACAAGTCAATCTGATGTCACAAACTTAGAAAAGATATATTCATATGTATAGCATTAATGTACAAAAAAATCACCTCAAGCCTTATAAAGGACAAAGATGTCTTGAAAATCAAGCAATGCAGCTAGTCTGATGTTATCTGGTTTAAAACTGTAACAGGAAGATTCTGATACTGAGAGGCTTTCTTTTTTAGATGAAATAGAACAGAATACTGAATTTAACTTTTTGCTGTTCTAAAATGTCAGATTGTTCATGTTCAGAGATCAGATTGTAATTGATAATCATTAGAAGAACCCTCTGATACCAATCATTGTCAACAAACTTTTCCCTGTACATATGGCTTTCTGCAGGAATAAAATTCTTACTATTTTGACGAAAACAAAAGGAGAAACAGAAATACAGAAATGGAGGCAAGATCAAACATTTCAGATAACCCTCTATGTATCATGCTTATATATATATCTAGAACCTGACAAACACAAGACACTATTGTACATACAGCAGGAGGATCGAGACCAGAGAGGTCATTCACCTGTTCTGTACAACCTGCTACAGCAGTCATTCCAACCTTCATACACAATTACAGGTCTTCTGAAGTAAACAATATAGGATACAAGTGCACGTACAGGGTGCTATCAAAGTCCCGCTACATTTGGTACATACATGCTGCACATATTTAATCTCAAGTTAAATGTCACTGAAAAGGTGGCGTACCATTCTCTTATGATGCATGCACAATAACATTCCACATGGTTGAGCTGTATACAGGCAGCAGGATTGTGAAACAGAGGAAGCTTAGTAAAACATAACCAATACCAGGATGTGACAACTTTGGCTTGGTAGTCTAAAGGACTCCTCAATGTAACACACATCTGGGTTGGAGACTTAGACATTTCTTATTTAAAGTGGAATGATGTCAGATAGTCTTTGATTTGATGATCAACTGCAGTTTTGGGAAGAATTAATGGAATATGAAATGTACCAGTAAAATGATAATTTGATTTCAGATAAGATTTTCTTACAATAATAACGCCTAAGAAAAGATTGAAAGAATCCTTGAGAGCCAATGTCAGTGTCTGACCCTGTCTATATACATGTACTATATATAAACAACACTGGGAGATAGGAAGATTTGCATACAAATATACTTCTATAAAGCATGCTGACTGACCTTGTGATAGCTAAACCTGACCCTGAAATAAAATGTTTTGTTGATGCTGAGCCAGTCAAATATGAATTTCCAACACTTAACTTACCAACAGGCTAATACTGAAGAAAGACATAAATAAACAGAAATTGTATTATGATAACTGTACTGCCTAAAGTCTAGGTATGGATAACAACAGGGGTTGATAATAAACTATCATTATGTGTTAATTCTATAATCAAATGTTTTACATGTGCACTAACACACCAATATACCTATACATCATTTTTATAAGTCTTCTCCTCCCTCACATAATACTTAAAGGACAAGGCAAGAAACCTTTGTAGTTCAATAATAGCCTCCTATCCTTTACCCTACCAATCACTCAACCCTCTATACCACTAAAGATGAGAAATCACACAAATTTACCTTCTCCTCACAAATGCTTACACACTTAAGCTCCATGTTCTCACCATCCATCCACATCCCATTCCTACACCACCAAAGATTAGAAGTCTTTGTAAGTCCCTTTCTCCACTAAATTTATCCCTACAACTTAACCTTCTCCCTCTACCTCGAGACCCTTTCTCCCCTAAATCTTGCCCATTTATCCCTACAACTTAACCTTCTCCCTCTACCTCGAGACCCTTTCTCCCCTAAAGCTTGCCTGTTCATCCCTACAACTTAACCTTCTCCCTCTACCTCGAGACCCTTTCTCCCCTAAATCTTGCCTGTTCATCCCTATAACTTAACCTTCAAAGTCTACCTCTCGAGACCCTTTCTCCCCTAAATCTTGCCCATTCATCCCTACAGCTTAAACCTTCATCCTCTACCTTGAGACCCTTTCTCCCCTAAATCTTGCCCCTTCATCTCTACACTTTAATACTTCATCCCTATCCTCCAGACCTGTAAGCCCTCTCCCTAAATCTTGCCCCTTCATCCCTAACCCTTCTGTGCCACACCATGCCATGTAACCACTATGCCTCACCCTAACTCCACAAGACAAGACTGTTTACACATTGCCCTGGTAAACTAATCACTGTTGACTGGTAATGTCATTTTCTTCAGAGGAAAAGTTTCAACAGGAGTCATAAGGAAACAATAACTTCTTCCCATCTCTAGAAAGACTGCTTAGAACAGTACAGTGTTTACAGAGTGGTACATCTAAACAGTACAATGTAAAATCAACATTTTTAAATCTGTTAAAGATTTTGACATTAAATTTAAAAGGCATTATAAAAGTAAACATATTTTACGGATTTATATTCTTTTTGTTTTTGGATGCCTACCAGGTCAGATGGATATGATGGTTTCACAGGTGTAAATTTATTATGATAATGGCAAATTGCCATTTCTATCACCCTTGTAAAAGATCAGCAGAAATCTTGTCAGAACCAATTCCTGCTGGGCAAAAAATTATTTCTACTCAAAGTTTTTATTTAAACGGTAGACACAGAATCATATGCTGGATGGTGGCAAAGCTATTTTTGAATACACATTTGTTTGCATACTGTTAAATTCCTGTTGTTAAAAAATCCACTGGGTACATTAATTTCATTTGAGCTATAAAGGTCATTCCAAGAATCAATAACTCAATCAATATTAATTAATTTGTACAACAATTTCTACATATGTGTTTCAGCTTATCACCAATGTTAAAACTTTACTGGTTTTTTTTTATGTCAATAACCATTACCACTTTACATTCATTTGCCGGTTAATATACACCTGTATTATGATAACAATTACCGAGTGTAATTATTGTACCAAACATTACTTCCATCCATATAATGCTTCTATGTACTTTAATACAGGAAGTTGTCACACTTTTTAAGTCAAGGGATAACATGTAACCTTCTGCAGTAATCAGGATTCATTAATCACAAACATCAAATTTTAATCGTGATAATGATATATATACAACAAAGCAAGATATTCTAACATTTGTCAGAATATCAACTTTTGCAAGCAGTTTTTGTTTTCAGTGCCACAATTAACATAAAGGTATCCACACCTCTTTCCTATGTATACCTCCATCTCTTTTGTCATTGAATTAAAAATTTTCTATCATTATCAAAGAAATATTCTGTCAAATTTTTTCATCATTTTCCTCAACTCATTCCAATTTTCAATTTTTTTGTACCTTACTTTTCTTATTTCCTGCAATGACTTAATTTTGGTAAGCACAATCAAATAAAGTAATAATTCTGATGACTGTCAACATTTGAAACTTTTCAAATATCAACAATCGTGTTAGAATTATCTTAGACAAACTGCAATTCAAATTGAATCTATAATTGTACTTTAATCTTGTTGTACTATCTGAAATTTCTATATATAATTTGATATCAACTGTATCACTAAGTAGTCGGCCACTTGTGTTGAAACTTGTCAATATTTACATTTAAATATAAACTGATGTGTAACAGTGTTTAATCTATTGATGATTGTAGGTAGTGCTAAACTCAGATTATTCAAGGTCAATATCAGGTTATAAATCTGCTAGTCTTTCTTAAAAGTACCCTGATTACAAACTATATAACCTGTGCATAGGTACATATAAAAAAATACTAAACTTTCGCTTGATTTTTAACTTCAGTAATTTTGAACAGGCTTCAGCTTAAATTTAGAGTACATTTGTAATAAACATGAAATATAATGGAAGTCTTAATCTTACATTTAAGAAATCACAAGTGTAACCAACTGTACTTTCCATGTACCTATTTCAAACACTGAACCACGATCAATATACTTAGATGAAAATTTAGGTGAAAATGAATCTCACGCAAACTTCAAGTAATATATAGTACAAGTAATGATGTACCATGTAAGTAAATATTACATGCTATTTCTACTTACCATATTAGTTATGTCTGACATTGTTTTCATGTGGTTCTCCTGGTATCCTCTTGAGTTGGTATGTAGTTTCATTTCCTTCTATACTTGAACCATTGACTAGAGTTAGGTGTTTCTGCAAGAAAAGACGCAGGCAGACTTAAGGGTACATGTTTACATTACAAAGGTTACAGACTGAAGATCTAGAGACCGTATGTATATATTACCACATATCTGTTACAGGTTGTAAATAATCACATGTGGGCGTAAACACTGGTAAGGCATGTAATTTGGTTATAGATATAGGTGACAGGTAGGAACAGTACAGGTAGATATAACAGAATCATTGTAGTGACCATATAGCAGAACTTAAAATTACTTAACTTAGTGATGATATCTTATCATCTCACTGCCTTTATGGCACCTCTAAACGTGGCCCTTCAATGTACTTACTGGTACTGATTACTTACACTTTAGCAAAGTAAAATTATAGAAGTGTAAACGGTTTTCATTTTATAGCCATCTTTATTATTTTATGGTCACTCTTTTAAAGTCAGCTTAAATGATACTAGAAGAAATTCATCACTGGGAATGTTAATGAAAACATTATTCTCAGCTATGACTTTATATCAGGTAAAGCATGATTATGAATTCACGAAAATCTTTACTAAATTTCATTTCTAGTTTTGGCACAAAAGCCCCAATAAAATCTTAATAAAACAGAGGAGGTATTGAAATGCTCAAATGTTTTACCAATTAATTAAAACTTGTTGCCTCATTTTGGAAAAAAATGACAATGTGGGAAGGACATTTTCCAGAGTAAATTGCAAATTTTGTGAATTTGGCTAAATATGAAATAATTTCAATTAGGAATGTGGCTCATTCTCTGCTTCAAAAAGCTCTCTTTCAAAAACAAGAGGACCATGGCCCTTAACAGTCATCTGACAATCATGGAATAGATGGACAAACCACAGAATTTGCTGATAGCTCCCTGACGAAACAGATGAATTCAAATTCTGAACATTCCTTGAAAGAATCAGATACTCATAAATGGTTACACAATCATGTTACAAAATGGCCATTGTGATTAGCATGTTGAAGTTTTGATCAGACTGAAAAATCACAAAAAATCTTAACTCTCTTTTCCTTAATGAATCAAACTCCAAATATTTTTCTCATTGGTGTGAATGTAACTGGAGTTACATACCAAGAGTGGTTGAAATCTACCCAGGAACTAAGAAGGATTAACATTTTGGAGCAAAATGTTGTCTAACTTCTCCTTTTGAGGCCACCCCCCCCCCCCCCAAGTCCCCTGGGGAGCGGGTCAAACTAAATTTTTGAATTTAAAAATCATTTGTCAACCCTCATTGATGCTACATACAAAATTTGAATGAAATTCATTAAAGCATTAACAAAAAATAGCATTTTGAAGCAAAGAATTGTCTAACTACCCTTTTGGGGCCTATCCCAAAGTCCTTAGGAGTTGAAGCAACAATAGCAATAGGTCATCTGACCCAAGATAGTATAGTATAGGTAAAGTAAGCATCATGGAACTGTTATTGAATTGAGAGATAGGTCTAAATGTGAAGCCTCGGGTACTAAAGTAAAAACACTTGTAGTACCAGTGATACAAACTGTTGTAGTAGCCCTAGGGTTAATCAATCTTACTATTAGCTGATTTCTATTCTATACAATACAATGAAAGGTCAATACTGTAGTGATTCACTATTGTATTATTTTCTCTGGACCTTGACCGGTGTATTCACTTTTCCTTGTCTCACCTTACGGGTGAAATTGCAATGCAAAGCAATGAGATAACAGCACATAAATAAGCAAGACCAGCAAAGTAAGAGTAAAATAGCCATTTACCCCCTTATTGCAAGAATATATGTATATCTCAACCTTCAAGGAAAGATTATTGAGTAGTAAACACTTGACAAGCTTTGTGTTCACAAACTTGATAATCTTCCCCTCAGGTCAAAATCCTACTAACACACTCGAAAAAGATTCTACAAATCCTTGGCACCCTTTTTCAGATATACCATTGATCTATAACTAAAATGTTTCTATTCAAATCCTAACTTGCTGACAAACTGAAATTCTACCTGAAGTGTGACCTGATACCTAGAAAACGATCCACTGGTAAGATTGATCATTTAAAGGTTAGAGTAAGTTTATTTTTATGTATGAAATCTTATGACAGATGGATCAATATGACGGGTCCAGTGCCAACTGATACATCTGTGTGCATACAGTATACTGCAACTGGGATCAGGCAATGGCGGTAGTAAACAAAGGCCATTGACATGTGCATAATAAACCAACAACCATGTGAACATATATATTTAATAGTGGATGTTTTATTTACTGCTATCCTGATGGTTAATGATACCTGCTAGAACCAAAGCCTTGGCCTGGTCACCCTATAATATACAGTATTGTTTGGTGTTTTTAACCGAGATTTCATAATGTCGATCAGAGATCAAATTACTGGCATGTTTGAACACAGGCACTTTTTTTCCAGCTGACTGCTCTGCTTGCCCAACACCTTTGTTGACAAGATTAGAGAACCAGATTTATACCACACTATTACACACTTAATACCTGTAACAACTTACCACACTCTGTGACACTACCATATCTTATTCTGTATGCTAGGTATTAGATTTTGAATAATTCAGTGCCTTATGCCAATGCTGTATGCACACAACGCAGACTAGTTATTATAATTCATGTATACATTGAGATGAGATGTTATTATCATGAAATTATTTCAGAATGATTGCAATGCATGTGTTTGACAAATACATGGAATACATATACAAACTTAAATTAAGACCTCGATGGATTTAGAACATTTATTACAAGTACTAGAGTACTGATTTGGTCAGTGCATATCTGTATTATATGTGTAACTAATTCCAGAGGTGTAGAATTCCAATTCATCCTACATATTGTAAACATGTGTTAATGAGTAGTCATCAAAACTGAATGCTGAAAAAAACTTATTCTATCTAACCATTTTTACAAATCAATGGTTAAGTGCCTGAAAAGCTAGTTTATCAGTGCTATTGGATATTATATAGGCAGAAAGATAAGGCCTCAGATAACATGCATGTTAAGATGATACTATTACTACACAGGATAGTCCAAAAGAAATGATAAGAAGGAGGTATATTTAGAAAGGCCACATGACTGAAAAACAAATGGTTATGAAAATATGAAACTGAACTTGACTGCTCATGAAACAACATCATTGATCTTGATTGCAGTATAGCACTACCGAATTACACAATTTTTCTAAAGCAGGAATCTTTATGAATATGAAAATCTATTCAGAGTAGTAGTTTCTTTGCCCACTGCAGAGCGATCAAAAAACAGATATATTTTTTAATATCTAGAACAAAAGTTGGACAGTTTTTTTTTTCCTTCATTGTAAAAATATCCAATACTTTATCATCAAAGCTGTGATCTGGGGATACCTGGAGTTGTAATGAAATATACCTTACCTGGTGTTTACGGGAGGAGTGGTGGCAAACTAGTTATGGCTGCTTCAGTGACCTACAGGACAGAATGCGTAGTCCCAACATCCAGACCAATCAATAAATCCAGACACTCTGACACGAAATCTGCCAACAATTAGAAGCGGTTTTAGCTAATATATCCTTAACAAAAATCTATCTTCCTTTGCTCTATATCTATTGGTAGTCTTACTGTAGATACATGATGCTATAGCTATATATCATACCTAACAAGAGAAAGCAATAATTCAGTTGGTTTTAGTGCTGACCTTAACCACAGGTTCTTGGTTCAACGGTCTCTTTCTGCAGCGATTAATGCTTCACAGGAGGCTGAGAAAAAGACTGGTCTGTGCTACCTCGGTTGTGTCATAGGGTAAGACACTTTACCTAACTTCTCTAGATGGCATGCAACTGGCTTCCTGTCACCAGCTATTACAGAGGGCAAACTTCTCAAAATGACCCTGGCTAATAACAGGACAGAATACTATTACCTATTTCATAAAATAGTCTTATTTAACATCAGGAATAGATCATTTTGATGGCATACATTTACAGATTACATTGTGACATCACAATGTAGACCACATATAGATACGTATGGATGAAAGGACTTTAAGTTTGATGTGGAAAATTATGTCTTTTGCAATATTTGCCAAAACCATTGATCATGTGATAAAAGAATCTTTCATTAATTTCAATTACATAGTAATTTATAGAACAAGTGTAAAGAGATTTTTTTTCTTCATTTCAGCAAGAACTAGCCAATCCTACCTAACATCCCATCGAGAAATGAACCTTACCCAACAGGTATACCCAGAAAATCTGGCCCTCCTTTAAGTTCCAAATCCTTTGTCCCATGTTTATAAATGCAACGAACAATGACTTACTCCTGAAACATCATGTCTCGAGTCATAATGTCATTTCTCAAGCCCATTGATGACTGATTCAAATGTGGTCAGCATACAAAATTTTGTGCTTAACTTTAATTAGTTCTAGTAGAACTGATGATTTTTTTTTTTATTTTTTTTTTTAATTTGTAAATGTATAAAAATTGATAATTTTCATTCATTCTTCTAGCGAGAGGCCATGCAGGTCTGAATCTCTCATCTGTTGTGTTGTTTTTTCTACAAATATGTAACCCCATTTCGCAAATAAACCATTGTACAAAAATGTTTACAAATATGACTCAAAACTTACTGTTTATCAAAAAAGATGTTTACAGTTCTTATCACATATGACCCCATGACCCCTTGAAAGTAAGTCAAGGTCATTCATTTGAACAAACTTGGTAGCACTTCATTCCAGTAGGCTACAGGCAATGTATCAGTACCTGGATCCTTTAGGTTATTGAATATTCTGAAGAAGTTGTTTGAAAATCTTAATACATTTGATTCATGTGACCTTGAAAGTGGGTCAAAGTTATTTATTTGAACAAACCTGGTAGAAAGACAGTAAATGGGCATTTGTTTTCATAGATACAAAGCATCTCAGATGAATTGTTTAATCTCTGTTCTTTAAAAGTTTGATCTTATCTCTTCTCTGTTTTTGCTTTTGATGATATGAAATTTGAACATTCTTATTCAGAAACAGTGATAATCATCTTTAACTTGCCAAATCCAAGATAGTTGTCAGTCAGCCATCTTGTTTTTCTGATCAGACCCAAAATCAAATGGGCACAACTAGGAACCAATGGCAATCTAGATATGAAATTTAAGAAAGATCCATCACGCACCTCTGAAGAAAAAATCTGTATACTGCTTCTCATGAAACAGCCATGACAAACTTTATCAGGTGAAATCCAAGATGATCTCTTGTTAATCATTTTGCTTTTCTGATCTGTCATAAAATAAAACAGGCACAACTAAGGACCATGGGTAACCTACATATGAAGAGATTCATCCAGTGCTTCTCAAGAAACAGTGATGAGAAACTTTACTTGGTGACATCCAAGATGACTGGCTGTCAGCTATTTTGTTTTTGTGATCAGTCTAGACTGATACACTTGTATATATAGCCATAACATCATGTCTGTATCAGAAATCATTGGTAGGCTTTTAATAAAAACAATTAGAAATTACATTGTAATCAATTAAAGAAATGAAACTAATAAATGCTAAAATTGGAAAAATGATTAATCTCCGACGGTAACATTTTTCTAAAGAGCATCTTTCCATCACATGTTTGTGACTGAAACAGATTGTCTAGAACTGTCATATGCAATCGTATACGAGACAATTTAAAGACTGAAATAAAAATAACATTCTCCTGGATTTAATCAATCATACCTTTCAATATGATCATCACAGCAAGAACTTCTTAACTTGTATGGTTGCTTGTTAAGTTTACAATAGCCTGTTGCATCCTGGGATTGATAAGTCATTGGGTCGAATTCTAGAACTATATCTGTGCATAGACAATCTTTGGAGCCTCCCCAGCTAAATGAGTTAGTTAATTTCTATTTTGCGTTTTTGAAACACATCAATAAAATAAAGGATTATCTGTGTATAATTCATTTGCAAACTTATATCAAATGTTTTACTGACGATCTTGATAAATTGCCTTCCGTTGTCTGTTACATCAATTTCTTTTGGTCAACATAACATTTATCACATTGTAAGAAAGGGTAAAACATATTCTTGTGAGACTAATATTTGGATCAAACAGAAAAAAAATCATTGAAAATTGGCTCTGCTGCTTGCATACTGGTGTAGCTTATAACCAGGAAAATACGCTTTGTGTTTTCAGTTATCAATTACTAAATGTAAATTGGGATTCCCTTAATTAATGTACAAGAAACCATTGTACCAGAAATACAAGGAATCAGTGATGACAGACATCAAATAATCCCCTTAATTAATCACAGTAACTATATCATTGAAAAACTATTGATGTATTAATTAAAACATAATATTTGTTTACTTGCAAGGAAGAAATATAAAACCCTGCTTTGATAAAATCATATAATTTCAACATGCAAAGTACACTAACATCTTAAAGTATCCACAGGTTACAAGGACTTAATTAACATGTACAAAATGCATAGCCATCCTCAAAAGTATACTTGCTTTTATCATATTACTGTTACAAACATATAAAAGATATGTATAGAAAATGCATAGATACAAAAGGAACCCATCATTAATAGGTGTGTAATGTTTACTGAATGCAGGCCCCATAGACAGACATTGTTGATGTGATAAGTGGCTTTGAATGACTTCCAATCTTACACTGGACCATGTCCAACTTAACAAAGGGTCTGCAGTAAACCAATTTGCCAAAACTTACTTATTTACAAACCTTAACTCTAAATCATCGTTTAGTTTACGTCTTATTTCATTAAAGAATATTTCAGATTTTACCCGGCTAATTAATTACATCTTTAATTTAGTGCTATAAACTCAATTTTGCTATTTTTCATTTAATTTATAAAAATAACCTTTATTTTCATTTATTCTTGTTTTTCATTGTCAAAGCACTTTTTAAGAATAGCCTTACCATAATACATGCATGGAAAATTAAGTAATCCAGAACACATCAGCTGTCGCTTCACAGCATCATCTTTAAGACATGAACTTCCTTTCTAAGATTTTTAGCCACTTAACATCATACTTTGTTTGCTTCCTTTTTTTCAATAAACATTCATGTGCTGAAAATCAGTAACTGGTTACTCCATGAATTTTTTTAAACATGGAAGAAAATTTCACGCCTTATCATTTGAACCTTATCCTTTATCTTGTTCTTACACAGATTATAGTCATTATCATTAGAACCACAACCACATTGTCAACCAAACAAGCAGAAATGGAAGTTTTCACAACAGAAATCAAAATACTACCGATTATTTGATTAATTGAAAATATATCGTTTTTTAAGATAACTTGAATAAAAATCTCTATCTGAAGATAAGTTTTCTTTTTTTTTTTATTTTGCTAATTATCATATTAACATCAACAACAAGACAAGCGAGAAGGATACTGACACCAGCCATTGATTGATTATTACATGTGTATGTTCTTTAAATGTTGGATTTTCTCCACCTTTTCTTTTCTCCCTTCTGTTTTGCTCTTAATTTAATTATTTTCTTTATTTTTTTTTCAAATAGCAATAATAATTAATAATCTTTATTGGTCAAATCCAAGATAGTTGATTATCGGTTTGACATTTGCTTTTTCTGGTCAGTCCCAAAATGGAAAGTTCATAACTAGTGAGCACGAGTAAAAGTAATTTGAAAGAAAGCCATCCAGTATTTCTTAAGAAGTAGTCATAACACTGATCTACGAATGATCCAAGATAGCCACCTGTTGGCCATGCTATTTTTCTGGAGGGTCCTATGATAGACTACACACAACTAGGGACCAATGGAAACCTACACATGAAGTCTGAAAATGGTCCATCCAGTAATTTATAAAAAATATTCAAAACAAATCATTCATTAGCATATTTTTCTTATCAGTCCCCAAATCCAACTGATAATGGCACAACTAGGGACCATAAGGAATCTTGATACTAAAGTTGAGGAAGATCAATCTTGTACTCAAGAAAAAGCAATAAATTTCAAAAGTCAAAATCCAAGATTACACCCACCTGTTAGTTACTTTGTTTTTCTGGCTAAATTCAAAATTAGCACATCTAGACACTAACTAGACACTTACAAGGAGAACCTAGCACATGCAGTTTGAGGGGTCCAGCCATATTTGTCTGAAAATAACTGGCTGAATATCTTTAGTTTTCTGAATTTCTGCATAATTCATCAGAAATTTTAGTATGGATTAAAATGGAGGATAAATCATAATTTGTCCATTGTTTTATGTTTGACATGAAATTTGAAAACTGTGTACTTTTGAGCTTTACATATAACACTTTCAACATCAGATACAGGTATGTTTGCTTATCACAGAACAATCAAACTCTGTGTTGTCTGAACCTCTTCAATTAGGTTACACGGAAGGGGTCACATTCGCTTTTTTCACTTAGTCCCAAAATGAACTATGCACAACTAAGGACTTAATGAAACCAACATATGAAGTTAGAAAATAATCTATCAAGTCTTCTCAAGAGAAAATATCATTAACAAATTATAACTACCAAAATCCAAAATGACCACCTTTGCCATGTTCATTTTCTGATAATAATGAGCTAAAAAATGATACAGACTTTGGTAGCCAAATTATCACAGACTGGTCACACAGTAAAATCTTTGGATTATATTCCAAAGAAGCTGCCCATCATGATCAGATGATGGGATGGACCTGATCATGAGATGTACATTTCCTTCCACAGTTGGCCTAGCTCCATCCATGATTCATGATAACACAACTGCATATTTCACCCATTGCCAATAAAATAATCAATTAAGCTGTCCAGTTATGCTAAATTTGCAAAGCTGCAAACATATGTATAATAGAATCAACATTTACCAAAGACATGTTTTTTTTTCAATTAATGTTAATTATAAATCATATTAAGTAATCATACAATGGTCCAGATGAAAACAATGCATTTTATAAAAGGCTGAGTAACAAATTCAGATATCTAATAATTTGTCTACATCTGTTTGGTTGTTGGTAATGCATTCCCCAATAAAATGCTTCTGAAAGAATTTATTCAATTGAAATTAGAAAAAATATATATTGTATCATTACAGAACAAATTAAGAGAAATAGACAATAAAAGAAATTTATGAAATAATTTCTTTAGGAAATTCACAATGTCTTAAGCTAGATCTAATGGTCCATGATATCTGATTTTTTGTATTCAATGAAATATATGAAATAGACACAAATCTGGAAATTTGGTTAGGATTTGTTCCATTTTTGCTTAAGTGTAGCTACTTTTAATTTTCATTGTTTTGGTGGAAAATTCAACATGTTTCAAATTTTTCGTCAACTTTTCAGCAAGTGAAACGTTTCTCTAACCGAATTATTTATTCCAGATACCAACAAAGTAGTTTTTTAAAGACTGTTATGGTTAAATTATTTATGTTGGCTGAAGAGCGTCTGCTCATTGATACATCATAAAGATCATTTTTCAAACTATTTTCTTGTTGAATTTGTAATTTGGCAGAATAGGTAGCATGTTTCTAATTACTGAATTATCTGTATAATGACCTCATGTTAACTGACTCTTTGCCAGGGCCCATTCCTGGATCCTGACCGATGGTCTACCATAAAATAGGTAGGAAGCAATGGGCCAGGAACACAGATGTGCTCTCAAGCATAACGGTCAGCAAGGATTAACTCAGATGACACTAATTAGGTAATTGGGTAGTGTACTCATCTAGCTAGGCCTTGATTATGTGACCAGGTGATCAGTCTTACCTGTTACTGTTCTGATTTGACTAATAAAGTAACATTACTGATCATCTACATAATGGGATCTCTGAAAACAGGGTATTACCTCATTTTTTATCTATAGAATCGGGAGGCGGGACTAGGGAGTGAAAGTCTGGAAACTCCTGGCTAAATCGGGAAATTTTGGCAGGTATGCTGTATGCGACACACCTTGTTTCCACAAAGAAATCACATTCTGGAGTATATTGCACATTTGAAACACGAATATTCTTAATGAAAGAAATGTTATTTCTGCTGTCATTGATTCATGAAAATGTGTTTAGGACCTGTCAACAATTTGGCCACCAACAAAATAACATCACTTCAGATTAAATCAATATTATTTTTAAAATGTTTTCTCTCATTTCTGAGAGTGATTTGTGACCAGAAACAACATCTACCACTTTTATAAATGTTGCTTACATCTAACCGGTAAGTACAAAATAAATTAACAACTCCGTAAATTTTCGCGGTTTCATTGAATCAACGAACTGACAGCGAAATGGGCCTTATAGAGCCGATGTAAACATGACTCAGACTTTCACCGCCTTTTCAGACATTTTCTAATTTTTTCTGTTAGTTACGGTTATTTTTCAACATGTTTATTCTTGACACTACTATGTGCAAATCTTCATACTTACATTCAATGTTGAAATTGGTTTAAATCACGTAGATGTTAAACGGTCTACACCGACTGTTGGTATCCACAGGCACAGATATTTGTAACTTTGCAAATCAGCAAACGCAAGGTCAAGACCTATCCTGTTTCAGCCAATCGAATTCGTTGAAATCCGAATATTTTTCGTACCGTGCCATTAACGGTGATAGACTCATTTATCAATTTGACGAATATAAATGTATCAAATGCTTTCTTTTATATACGTTCGTCAACTTAAAAGAGATATGGGGCAGCCAAATTAAATGAAAAATAAGCTACTATTTTCGCTGTTTTAAGATGTAGAAATTATTAACGAGAGATTCACATTATCGTTGATAACACTGCTAATTCAAACGCAATCATCTTTCGTCGATGATGTTAGTTCGAATCTGAACGCGTACACCTTTTGAGTTTTAATGGGAAGTATCACAATCACAGAGCACCTACCCAGCGTGAAACTTTGTCATATATTTAATTAGTGTCGTATTTCGTAAATATTTATATATCAAATAATTAATGAACGCTTTATTTTATATCAGATACACAGAAAATATCAGCGTGTTTGTAAGACACCATCTGTGCTTGAACGATTTTACTGTTTTGTGTGAGCTGTCAAACTAAAATTTTGCTTGGTGTTACTTTGTCATCATCTGAGTCAGAAGGTGCTGACTGTGACATATGTGTAATATTTGTTCTGCGTAGACATCATGCTTTTCAAATAAGTATAACTAAGATACACGTAAAGGAATTGATACTTTATAGGTAAGTTTATTTAATAAATAAGGGTTCATAATTAAAAATCCTTCAAAGACGGGATGAATACACAGTAGACAGATTAATACCACAATACAGTTGATTTGAAAGTTGTCTTTGAGAAGGTTGCTTCAATAAGTTAGATTTCCTAGAAATTTTCATCAGTGTTCATGTCAGCGTTAACATCAGACTATCGAGTTGCAGTTGACCAAGTTCAGAAATTGAAGAATGGATCTGTATATTTTGTATAACATAACATACTACATGGCTCAACATTTTCTCTATTGATTAATAAACTTTCAGAACATTTAATCTAATTTGTTTTTGATGACTGTGATACTTCAAGATTTTCCTATATGAGCCAAAATATCCTTTTAAAAAATTTAAGTGATTTTGGGGGAAAGGTCCATAACGTCTTAAGTTCAGAAGTATCTTCCTATTGAACCTCTAGGTGTTGAATCACATATAACTTTGTTTGTTTACCCTCAATATGTTGATGATACATGCATTTGTATGACAACCTAACAACATGCATCCTCAGTTTGTGTACCGCTGAAGATTACATGAAGTAGGAACAGTATACTAATTTTTAGTAACAAGATGTGTAAGGTATTGTCCTTTCATCCTCAGAGGGACTGACTTCGTTTACATAAAATGGCCAGATAGCTTTCTCATAGAGTGTCATTTCAGACCTTTGAGGTCTAATAATAAAATCTAGGACTAGCCTGTACAATAATTCAATTATATTTCTCTCTTTAATGTATATACTTTTCTACCTTCCAGCAAATAATTATGGCATTGGCCATGCATGGTGGTGATTCATCACTGTTTGCTGAAATTCGGGACCCTGGAGCCCGTGTTCGCAAGCTTTGCGATTATGCATGTCAGGTTGATGTGGATACTGCAATCCCACCAAAGCGCTACCTCAGATCTGGACTGGAGATGATTCGCATGGCAAAAGTCTATGAAGAGGAGGGTAATATAGAAAGTGCATTTGTCCTCTACACAAAGTTCATATCGTAAGATTTTGTTTACATTGTTTCCCATTGCAACATATCTGCCAACTGGGTTAAACATTTAAGATTAACCAATATTTGGAAGTGGGTAAATACTGGTAGTAATGTTTGTATTCAAACAAATATAACTCATAATTAACATTGATTATTAAATAATAATGTACATGAAGTCATGTGAATGCCTGATTTTTGTTTGCTAGTTTTCTAACGAATTGTAAATGATGTATTTTCATCTCAATTTAATAATGATTTTTTTTACTTTACTTCATTTCATGGTGTATTTTTTTTTTCTTTTTTTCTTTTTTCGTTTTAGCAAGACAGGTTTGACATCTTTCTTACTTCAAAATACAAACACTTGCCTGCTTGCAAAAGAAATCATTTCTCAATAAATGCTTTTTTGTTATTCCAGATTGTTTGTTGAAAAGCTTCCAAAACATCCAGACTTCAAAAGTGCACCACCAACAGATATCGCTGCTGTTCGTCAGGTAATTTAAGGTGTAATCTGTTATCATTGATTCTTCAATTAATTTTTTGTTAGTAAAGGCTTAATTTTTTTTTAAATTATTTGTTTTCATTGATTTCTTTGACTTATAACAAGATATTATTCTTTGTTTTTGTAGAAAGTGAAATCAGCTTTTCCTGTTGCTGAACAAATTAAGGGAAAACTTACAAAGAAATATGCAGAAATTGAACGGAAACGTCAAGCAGAAGAGGTAACTGTATTTATACCATAAAATGAGATGGGGAATGTATCAATTTAATAGTCCATATTTTTCGAAGTCAGAGTATACATAAATCAGGTGTTCTGTTAACAGAAAGTTATGTATATCTCTCATAAGTTGCAAGACTGATATCAATGAATCATATTTATTTCAAAAGTAACAAACCAGGAGCAATATTATGTGTGGTTGTAACAACATTCAGTGCGTAATCTATATCTCTTTTTACTAAACAGTCTTATTGCCCTGTGTCAAATATGTGGGTGCTCTATAGCAATCAGGTTGTGTGTATGTATATGATTTATTTGTTCCAACATAATATCTCAAGTTCTGTTGGGCCAAATGTACTCAAACTTTTCAGGTCCTAGGTCATAGGTCAAGGTGACTTTGGTCAGTGTTACTGTATACAGAAAATCATTTTCTGCAAAATGTTTTCAGTTCTATTTGGATGACTTAACTTAGACTTGCTCTATTAGCAATCAATTGCTTTTCATGTTCAAGAATTGGGAATATAAAGCAAAAAATGTATCATATCTGAATGTTACTGATAAATACTTACTTATGAAATGATGAAGCATAATGGGCTGAAATCAAAGGAGAAGTCTCCAAACCACAGATTGAGATCAGGTCAAAGGCAGAAAGGTGAAATTTGTATTATTTTATTGGTAAACATTTTGTTTTGATATGATCAGGAATGATAAGCAGAATTCAAATAAGAATTCACTGGACTACAGCAAATGGTCACCAGGTCAAAGGCAAAGGTCAAATTTGAAATATCTATGTTTCATAGGCAAACCATTTTCAATAAAGTGATAAACAATAATTCAACATCAGCACTCAGGTTTAGACCTAAGTTCAGGATTGTATCACAAGTAAGCGTATATCAAAACAAGTTAAAAGCTCCATTTTGTTTCAAATTTTCATGCATCATAAGTACTGTATAAATCTGAATAAGTGGATCTTGGTAATTACAGTTCATGTTTTATAACAGCCTATTTGTACCACATCTCACTTAAGATACTGAATATGAATTCCAATGAACATTATCGTCGATTACATATTTCGAAAGATTATACAAAAGACAAACAAGTGAATAGCACCTTACAAATTTAAAGTTCATCATATTGACCAGCAGTTTACAGTTCTATTTTACTTGTAGATTCTGCTTTAGCTCAAAAGTAAATCTGGACACTGATAATGTGCAAGTAACAAATTCACCTTGCTAGAACCTTTTAATCAGTATCTAAACTAGTTTTGAAAGAAAATTATCAGGAGCCCGTTGATTCAGTCACATCAATGAATGGGTATTGAAGCTTTCAAATGGGAAGTCAAAAATTGCCTTTTTATAAATTGTTACATTGTTGTGTACATATTGATGGGCATACTACTAAGAAAGGAGTTATTTCTATATCTGTTGGGTATTTGATTTTGGAAGGCTGTATATGCATTTGTGTGAGGAAGTTTTGAAATTTCTAATTGGTTCAAAGATGAAGAGCATTTATTTTGTTATTAAGTGAATGTCTAGTTCTTTTGAAATGTATCTCAATTCATGCTTGTTTTGTAAGAGGATCAAAATACAAGTAGTGTGTCTTTTGATTTGACATCAATGCTAGAATCATATCTTCTGTTTACTGTTGTCGTATGTTCACTTATAAATGATGTCTTACCATGTAAAGACAAGCCACGTTATCACATTTCAGCGGAAAATCCAAGAAGAGTTGGAGAGACAGCAGGACAAGATCCGTCAGGAGGAGGAGCTGAGACGCCGGCAAAAAGAGGAAGAAGAAAACTGCCTTCGTCTTGCTTCTGAAGCAAAATGGATGCAAGAACAGGAACAAAGACTGCTGGAGCTTAAGGAGCAAGAGATGATGAAAAATATTGACTCACAGTCCCAGATTCATGATCCAACTGTGTCCAACAATGCTGACAAAACAGCACTCAACAATCAGAACACCAAGCCAAGTGCACAACATGGATCCCTTGGTTTGGCATTCATTCCCAACAACCTTGATGATGGTCGACCTAAAATTGAGAAGAACCTTTTGAATGACCCATCAAGAATTTCTTCCAGCGTACCAAATATACCAGACAGAGAATTGAAGAAAAACCTAGTCATAAGTGATTCAGATTCACGTTTAGGGTGAGTGATTTAAACTTTTTGAAAAACAAGTCAGTTATCGGATGTTAACACAACAAATTGTCTGAAATAGTACAGTGCATTGACTTCCAATTTAGTTTAGCGGCAGATAACGTTTTCTATTTATATGTCGGTTTTCCAGTACTCCTGATGATAAATTATTGATTATTGTTCCACTTTTAAAATCATCATGCTGTCATTACACACAACAGTAAAGATGTATTAGTGGCAAAAAGGTTTGATGACAATTATATCCATGGTGGGCTTTCTGCTCTCCCTAGTATTGTAAGTTATATCTGGATGAAACTTGAAAGAAGTCAAAGATTTGGGGGTAATTTTATGAGCAACAAAAAAAAGTAAATGAAAAGAATATGATAAATCTAAAATTGAGGAAAAATTTGAAATCATTAGAAAGGATTTTATTGATGAATTTCTCTGGAGTAGTTTTGGTTGCTACGTTATACTGGCTCACAATGATGTGTTTGGTTATATTTAAGGCCTCCTGGAATTGACAGGACATGTAAGCCAGCGTTTGACCACTTCACCAGTATAGGGGTGCCAGGCCATAACAAGGGAGGTCTAAGAGATGTTTGCATCCCTTCAGACTTGGTCAGAAAATTTTTAGGTGTGGCTGACCACAACACAATGAAAAACATTGAAACATGTGGAATATTAGCAGGAAAACTAGTGAGTTGTCACTAAAAATAAATATCACACTTCAACAGAGTAATTTGAATACAGAAATTATTTTCTTTAACTTTGGTAATGTAATGCCTGTTTTCTATGGATGCAAAGATTCACAATTTCACAATATCTGACACTAAGACACAAAAAACCAGTAAGTATTAACAAACTTATCCATGAATGAGATAATACATAAATTTAAGCCTTATCTAATGCTGAGTATTCACAACAGATTGAGGACAGTGGTAGTTATGTCTTAGGATAGTAGTAATTATTTCTTAGGACAGTAGTAATCATGTCTTAGGATAGTAGTAATCATGACTTAGGATAGTAGAAGTCATGTCTTAGGACAGTAGTAATCATAACTTAGGACAGTAGAAATCATGTCTGAGGACAGTAGTAATCATAACTTAGGACAGTAGAAATCATGTCTGAGGACAATAGTAATCATGTCTTAGGACAGTAGTAATCATGTCTGAGGACAGTAGTAATCATGTCTTAAGACAGTAGTAATCATGTCTTAAGACAGTAGTAATCATGTCTTAGGATAGTAGTAATCATGTCTGAGGACAGTAGTAATCATGTCTGAGGACAGTAGTAATCATGTCTTAGGACAGTAGTAATCATGTCTTAGGACAGTAGTAATCATGTCTGAGGACAGTAGTAATCATGTCTTAGGATAGTAGTAATCATGTCTTAGGACAGTAGTAATCATGTCTTAGGACAGTAGTAATCATGTCTGAGGACAGTAGTAATCATGTCTTAGGACAGTAGTAATCGTGTCTTAGGACAGTAGTAATCGTGTCTTAGGACAGTAGTAATCATGTCTTAGGACAGTAGTAATCGTGTCTTAGGACAGTAGTAATCGTGTCTTAGGACAGAAGTAATCATGTCTTAGGACAATAGTAATTGTGTCCTCAAAAGACATAAGTTGATTTTACTTCATGATTTATATGATAGTACATGTCTCCAAGCAAATACTAAGTAAATGTGCCAATTTATGGTTTGAGTATATATCACATGGGTGTTATGCTAATTGTAAATGCTAACTGATACTAGTATGGTAATAAGGGTTACAAAATGGATACTCTTTAATCTTTCAGTCCAAGAACGCGTTTTACATATCACATGTGCTGATTCCGAAGCAGGCAGGAACGTCAGACTCCTGTGTGGCAGAAGATGAAGAAGATATCCTGATGTACCAGGACCCACGTGACCTCATTACCCTTGGCTGGATACATGTCAGTAGCTCCTGTGTTATCCTTTGTACTTGTATATAGAAATACCATGGATTATGAGAGATCTAATGGTCATTTTGCTTTCAAACATATTTTATTGTGGAGAAAGCGACAATGGGGTCAGGTACAAGTTATTGCTGCTTTTCCATTGTGTTATGGGGCTGCTCAGTTGGTTAGAGGCTTGGCCTACGTGACATCAGGAAAGATCTCCATGTGTGATTCAACACTCTCTGCCCATAGTGGTTTAAGTTTCTCAGGAAGCAGAGAAACAGACAAGTCTGTGCTGATGTGGTTGTTTTTATGGATGAGACTCTTAACCCTAATTGCTTTTGATTTGCATGTATCCGGCTTCCTGTATGTTACTCATTGAAGTGGCACCAGCTACTACAAGCAGATTCAAAATGACCCTGTCTGTTTACGGGGCAATAAATCCAACAAATTTTGTGGTCTTAGGACCCTGAAATATACAATGAGTTAAATGCATACTTAATAAATAATGCCAAAAAATTCCTATGAAGTTTCAACTTGGATATTTATGTAGCATTTGATTTGTTTTACAGACCCATCCATCACAGACAGCTTTCCTATCAAGTGTTGATATGCACAACCAGTACGGTTACCAAGCCATGCTGCCTGAGGCCATAGCCATTGTTTGTGCACCCAAGTACAACGAGTATGTTAGAGTTGTTTAGCTTAGAGTATTTCAGTGAATAAACTTTAAAGATGTGTCTGAAACATATCAAAACAATAGTCAGCAGATAGTATAGAAATGAAAATGTCATTTGCTCACATGCAAGTTATAAGTTAAATTATAAAAACTACAATAATGATGGTGTTGTTAGTATGTAATGTTGATATTAAAGTAACATTATTTTTACCCACTAATCTGCTGTTAATGACAAAAAAGTCGTAATTTCCTTATACTGCTGTCTCAATTCTGAATATTTCTGAAGGGGAGAATTTGTTTTGTTGTAAGTGATTTATTCTATATTAAGTTTTGGCAGAATAAGTATTGACATCATCAAGGGGATTATATGTATTGAAGATGAAAGATGTTTATGCTATTTTTTCCTCAGAACTGGGATATTTACCCTGACCCAGGACACTGGTATGCCCGATATTGGCAGTTGTAGGGAACGAGGATTCCATGACCATCGTAAAACACCTCCTTTATTTGAGGTAAAATACAAATCTAACATGTCCATCTGGGTTTTTGACTCATGAAGCCTTTGTCACAAATACAGAAAATCAATATAAAACTTATATATGTCTACTAGAAATGGTTGTCGAAAGACAAGAAATGTACTTATGTCTGCAATCAAATACATTTTGTATTTCAAAAATTTCTTTATTAGCCAACCATCATGAGATGGTGGACTATTCAAATCGCTTTGTGTCCCTGAACCGTCCATCCATATCCGTCTGTTATAAACAATTTTTGTTATCACTATTGCTTACGAAGTACTGGATGGATCTTTCTCAAATTGCATTTGTAGGTTCCCCTTGGTCCCTAGTTGTGCCCATTTGATTTTGGAAGTGATCAAATAAGAAAATGGCCAACAGGTGGCCATCTTGCATTTTTTCAATGAAATTTGTTATCACTATTTCTTGAAAAATGCTGGATAGATCTCTCCTGAATTTTCATATGTTGGTTCCCCTTGGTCTCTTCTGACCATGTAATTTTGGGACTGGTCAGAAAAATAAAATGGCGGAAAGACGGGCATCACTGATTTTGACTTAGAAAGTTTGTTATTCTATTTCTTCTGAAGTATAGGATGGGTCTTTCGTAAATTCGCATGTAGGTTCCCCTTGATCCCTAGTTGTGCCCATTTGATTTTGGGTCTGATCAAAATGGCCGAAAGGCAGCCATCCTGGATTTTGACTTTGAAAGTTTGTTCTCACTATTTCTTCAGAAGTCCTGTATAAATCTTTCTGAAATTTCATGTTTATGTTCCTCTTGGTCCCTAGTTGTGCCTATTTGAGTTTGGGACTGATCAGAAAAACAGGTGGCTGACAGGCAGCCATCTTGGATTTCACCTAGTAGAGTTTATTACCAGGGGTATCCCTATTTCTTCAGAAGTACTGAATGAATATCTCTCAAATTTTAAACTTGCCTTAGGTTCCCTTGTGCCCATTTGATTTTGGGACCAATTAGAAGAAACAAAATGGCTTCCAGGCAGCCATTTCCAATTTGGCAGGTAAAGATCATCATCACAATTTTTGCAAAGGATTGTTCAAATGTCTTATTAAGAGCAAAAATACAGAGAAGAGAGGTAAAAGATCTAACTTTCAAAGAGCAAGTAAAGATCGAACAATAGTGGGTACCAAGATCTCTCTGGGATCTCTTGTAATTATTTACCCTAAATTTCTTTCAGATTAAACTGTAATTTAGATTGTGAGCAATGTATGTGTTTTAGATAGCATTGTCCTGAGTATAAAACATTAGCTTTTCAGGTCATATTCTGTTTATGATCAAGGATACAGGCTTTAAATGCTAAAGACCACTCAGTGTCTTGTTTCCTTGACCTGTCAAACTGTTTAGAAACAGGTATTAATTTTCCTAATCAGTTGTTTTGTAATCCTATCAGTTGGCAATAATTGATCTTTCAGAGCTGTAGTAATGTGAAGATGCTGGACGAGATGAGGATAGAGATGGTAGATTTAAGAAAATGAGAGTGCTGGAGGGAAAAATTGACATATGCAGTACTGACAAGGTTATGTGGCATGTAAGAGGATGATCACATGTTGGTGCTGAGTGTATTATCATGACAGGTGGAGGAATTCTCCCTACAGAGCCTAGATACCCTTATGTGTCGTCTATCTCAAAGGTCAGCTGGAAGAATTCTCCATACAGAGCCTGGATACTCTGATATGTGGTCTGTCCAACTGGTCAATTGAAGGAATTCTCCTTACAGAGCCTGGATATCGTAATGTGTGTCTATCTCACTAGCTAGCTTCAGGAATTCTCCTTACAGAGCCTGGATACTCTAATATGTGGTCTATATCACTGTTCAGCTGGAGGAATTCTCCATACAGAGCCTGGTACTCAGCTGGAGTATTTCTTCATACAGCGCCTGGATACTCTAATGTGTGGTCTATCTCACTGGTCAGGTGGAGTATTTCTTCATACTGAGTCTGGATAATCTAATGTGTGGTCTATCTCACTGGTCAGATGGAATATTTCTTCATACTGAGTCTGGATACTCTAATGTGTGGTCTATCTCACTGGTCAGGTGGAGTATTTCTTCATACAGAGTCTGGATACTATAATGTGGTCTATATCACTAGTCAGCTGGAGGGAGCTGGAGGAATTCTCCATACAGAGCCTGGGCACTCTAATGTGTGGTCAATCTCACTGGTCAGGTGGAGGAATTCTTCATACAGAGTCTGGATATTCTAATATATGGTCAATCTCACTAATCAGGTGGAGTATTTCTTTACACAAAGCCTGTTTACTCTGTGTAGTTTATCTCACTAATGAGGTGGTTGAATTCTCAGTACATAGTCTGGATACTCTGCTATATGGCCTGTTTCACTATTGAACTTTTATGTAACACAGAACTTGTATAAAACTACTTGCATAGACCCTAGTATACCAGGTATATCTATAAAACTAACCTCTAATAGGTTACCTATCTTTTCCAAACTGAAAACTGGAATTGATTTCCTATTCGGGGTATGACAGGAAAATATCCATCTAAGCTTGTTTAGTTGAGGCTGGATGCTTGATATTTATAAATATTTCTGCCAGGTAATATTCCCAAAATAGAGCCTGATTATTTTTCTTCATGACATTGCATCATTATATTTAGAAAAGATTTACACTTGTTGTTACTCTAGGTGTGTTAAAGGAAATAATGACCAGGCAGTATGTTGGACATATTTGTGAGGTGCACAAAGTCACATAGGGTTTTCCAACCGAGTTTAATGTTAAGAACGAATTCATTATGTATATATTACTCAGACTTTAATATTTACTGGTTGTATTGCAAATGTAGCTATGTAGTCACTGTTTAAGACTTTTCTCTGACTTAATTTTATTGAAGTGCTGTGATAGAAATGACAGCTGAAATTTTTGCTTCACAGAAATTTCGCTAGTCTTGCTAAATCTTTGACATGAAAGCTGGAAGCTTTATTTGTGTTATTGTTTAAGTGTCTTTAATGATATCCAAGCAGATATACATGAATTTACATTGATCCTGCCTAATGCTAATGGTGATGTTAAATACAGAAAGCCAAATATCTCAACTACACTTAAATGAGACATGCAAAGCCCTTCACACTGTTAATGTACTGTTTTGTGTTTGTCGGTAATGAAATTACATTTTTGGTGTTGTTTGTAAGTATATGTCATCCAATCTTTTATCTTGACATTCTGTTGTGAATTTTAAGTGTATGAGTACGCAAGGTGAACTCCTCCATTTTATTGAACAGATTTTGGTTGAGAACCATATGTCAAATGAAGGTTAAATCCAGCATTATTAAATAAGCACTGACAACCTATTTATTAATACCTATTTTCTCCTTTATCCAAAACTCATGCACCACTTCCCTCATGATAAGCTTCCTTTGGGTGAAAATGAAAGGGTAAATAATATTTAGAATGTATACTGATCTCTGAAGTTGGTTGAAATAAGGGACTGTATACAGACTTGTACATGGTTACTAGTATGCTGATTGAGTTTTCATTTAAAACATTTGTTTTACTAGTCATTCACCATAACAGAAATTCAATATAAATAATTTAACATGTTCTTATGGAAACAGTTGTCAAATTTGTCTGCCAATGCAACACACTGGGCATTTTATTATCAAAATCAAATTTTTGCTTTTCGTTTCTTCATTATACTAAGTAGAGTATACAAGAACTTGTTTTGTGAAGTGCTTGTCAGAATCATGTGGCCACTATTTCTGTGATCAGAAGACCATGCTTATGGTAATTAAAAACACATTTCTATGAAAGGCTTCGTCATTTTATGTGTTGTGTCAAATAATTCAACATTACTACCATAGAAACATGATCTGAATGTTATGTATTGACTTTTTCATACTAAGTGGCTAAACATTCAATTAGCAAACTTTTTTCTGGCTTTTCTTAGTGATATTAAAAAGGCTTATATCTTTCAAACACATTTTCTTATTGTGCAATGAAATTGGCTCATTCAGACTTGCATTTTAGAATGTATTACAAATTTTAGCAGTATGGTAATTTTTAACTGGAATTGTTTACAATTAGTAATGTGAGATTTTTTAGGTCATCTGAGACAAAGTCTCATGGTGACCTTTGGATTGCCTTTGTTCGGCATCGCGCATCATAAACTTTTTAAACATTTTTGACTTCTCAAAAATTCTTGAACCAATATAATACAAACCTTCCATGGCCAAGATGCACCAAAATTGTAAATCAAGAAGAATGACAACATTGTAACTTGGGTGACCGTTAAAACCCATGGGCCTTTAATTTAAATAGAAATGTAAGAATTGATTGTTATAATGCTTTATTTCTTCTGTGATATGAGGTGTGTTTTATTATAGAGGATGATAGATTTACATAATACTTTCCACATCCTCATGACACAAATGTATCATAATGCCAGGACATAGATGAATTTATTCTAATAGTTTGATTGTCATTGTAGACCTTAGAAAATAGATAAGTAGAAAAGTCAAACACTAGAAAAAGGAAAGATACACTAAATGAATATTAATTTGATGTAATAAAGTTGTTGATTAGTTTGTTCGTTATTGCTTTATATTAAATCTCTTATTCGATAAGAACAGGCAATTCCTCACCTGTCTATTGTTTGGTAATATCGTTATACTCTTTAAGCTCCATTACAGTCCATTACAAGTACACTCATAAGAGTAAAAGCGGTGATCTACGAATGCCAACATTTTTTTAAAAACAAACGATGTTTTAGAAAACTAAGGAAGGTCAGTTATATACTGTTTCATATAATTATAAGCTATGATTAAAATTGACAATGCAGCACTGATTCAGGTATAAAAACAACAAATTACAATATTGAATGATTTAGCACTACACAACACAAAGAAAGACTATAAACTGAAATAAACTTTTTCTGGAACAAAGAGACTCAAGTAATTCAATTAAAGAACACCTAATTATTTCCTAGGTTATGAATACTTCCACTGGTAATAGGTGCTATACTGAGCGTCAAGTTTTGTATCTATTGTTTATAGCCAGCAAAAGGGGGATGAATTTAACTTTTTCATTATTATTCAAAAGTTTTTACATTTGTATTAGTTTAAGAAAAAAGTATGCTAAGCTACATTGTTTATTGTGAACAAGGCACAAGCAAGTCCACTTGACTGATTCATAAAGAATATTACAGTCTAAGGAAATATGACATACTTTCATTGTAATGTATAATAAATTATCATTAAATGAAAATAGAGTACTTTCCATACTTAGGTTTCATACTAAATAATTCAAAAGAATATAGTCTTATATATATTGAATTCTCAATTTCAAAAAATTCTAACTTATTAAGCAGAGATAACACCATCAGTTTTTACAAAAATGAATTAGTAATAATTCTAATTATTTGACATCAGTTTGCTATAGAATATAATGATTGTAATTTTGAAAATAATATTTTTGATAATAATATTTTTGATATATCAAATGATGAGGCAAAAATTTTACTATACTTACAATAAGTAATCATTAATTTATAGTGAAAACTGGCAGGTGGGATAGTGTAGAATATCAAAATAAAATGGTCCTCATTGCGATACAAATGATACAGATGTTCCCGATAGCTGAAAGCTAATGCCAGTCTACAACTGAACATCAGAAAAACATCAAAATATTATTACACAAGGTCAAATGCAATTAAGTTTTTAAAAATATGATTTCGAGTCATATTAGAACCTAGAAATAACTGAATTTATCAAAATAATTTTTAGCAATATCTGTCCTCCATATGATTTGAAATGAAAAGTGTAACAGTATATGCAACATTATATATGATAGAACATGATAGATGAAATGGTATTTATAGGTTTCTCTGTATTTTATATGACTATAGAGATTATAGTATTCATTAAAAAAAAGGTTTGCACATATTTGAGACACTTATGTAAAGCGATTGAAATATTATGATATAAACTAGCATTGGAAAATAATTATTTAAAAATCTTATAAATTAATACCATGATATTTACAAAATCAGATGTTTTTTGTTTTGACATTTGCACTTTACAAAAAGTGTCATTAACTTTTAGAATAGAAACTGAAAGATGTAAGTTCAGTTGCTGAGTATCAACAGGTAAGTTTTAAAGATAGACTTACCTGTTGGAACTGACACTACGCTAAGGGAAAAAACTATAACCACTATCAAAACAAATTGCCATGTAGGGAAATTAAAAATGGTGGCATTCAGAGGTAAACCGAATGAAAATATCTGCCTCGTGTAATCTTGGCCTCTAACCGTTGTTGAAAAACAATAACAGAAACAGATATTATAAATCTTTGTTATGTTTATTTACGATAGGTTTACATTAATATACAATAGTATCTGCATATATACACATTTTCACAAGAACCTGCAGTGTGATAAAGGGTTGTGACAGGATTGTGGCCCAACAGTGTTTGTTCTGTACACATTTAACTTTAGTGACAATCACATACCTACAGGAGCAAGTCATTGAGGATTCATCATACAGAACAATACTTTATATAACTAGGATTAAAAATATCTCAACCACATCATAAGGTTTCTGTGAAACTTCAGTCTCAATCTAGCTAATCTGTAACATGTCCAAAATGTAAATTTTTCCAAAAGCAACATAACATCCATCTGAAAATGTATTTTTTAAACAGAATAAATATTTGGGTGATCCTCCCAAGATAATTATATACAAATTAATATATATTTGAAAAAAACAAAAAAAAAACCCTTTTTACTGTACATAATTGTAGCATGATACACTAGCAGAGGTATAATTAATGCACTGAGCGTATGGTGTTAGTCAAGTGTTACACACTTAAACACTAGAGCCTTAATAGAATAATCACTATTTAATTACAGAAGTTCACAACACATGCATCTGTCAAGTTTACTGTGTATAACGACACAATGCAAATCACGTCTGCAACTGAATGCAATATCAATCTTGGCATCATAATCTTTTTTCTCCAGGTTGACTCAAAAATATTGTAGATAAGAAAATGTCACTACCTATTATGAATTAACTACAGCCAAAACAATGTGCTTTTCATAAAAGAAACTCCTAACCCAAGGGCTGGAATCAATTATTACCATCATAGTATTTCTTACCATTTTTATGCAAATTATCATTCCTGGTGTGCCGATGAAGCCCCTAACAAATAAGAAAACGTTTGGTGGGATTGATGTTCTATTGGAATAGCCCTTACAATAAAGTTTCAAAGTACATATCTCCAATCACGAAAAAGTCTTGTTACCATTATCTATATAACTATTTGTAAAAGGAGCATGTCAGCATTACTTGTATGTAGTATAAAAAGTCTCTGTCACTCAGCTTACGGAGCAGGCTTCTTTGGCTCAGTTGGTAGAGCCGGTTGATTATTACGCCAGAGATCCGGGTGTGATTCCTGGTTGGAGTACTCAACATTTATGTGTATCTTCCCTGTTCTTTCATAAACATGTTTCACTGTAGAGAAACAAGGATCATGGACATATGTTTATCTTAGCAATCAAGTGTTATTCGGGTAACTGGTTCTGTTTATAGTGATAGAACACTTAATATACTGGTAAACATTTAACAATCTTCAATTCCTGTTGCTTGTTAGCAGTAAACAGTAACACTAGCCTGTGTTAACCTACACTAATATTCTTCTGATCTGGCGTAATGTTCTATTATACATTAAAGCATGCAGAAAAGTCGGACATCTTCAATCTCTCCAAAAGTTGGTACTATCCTTCTACGGACATTTAACCTGAATTGACCTTGCAGATGATGTGCCATAGCAGTCAATTAAGGTCTTAGGAAAAGTAAGGCAACTGTAGGGTGATGGCAACATGTGACAACTAATAAAAAAATTTAACCCCTTCACCATTTTAAAACCAAACCTGTGTAGATATATGTAAAACATGGTGGGAAAGAAATTCTTCCAATAAAATATCAGACTTAACAATTTTGTACTATAGTACAGGAGAGCCATGATCTAACATTGAAAAATACCACTATCAATTTACTTAGAAATCCCTTCAAATTTCCAATAAAATAATGTACTGATCAACAGACAGCCCTTTAGTACAGTCAAATTATAACCTAATATTAAAAAATACCATGATCATTTAACAATGTAGAGGTAGTCTTTAATGATGAAATTCAAACTATCATCATTTATCATTATGCTTTTAATATCTGGAGAATCTTCAGCCAGTGAATAACTGACAAAATTAATTGAATACATCAAAGTGTCAATGTATCTGGGTGTATTTTCTTAATGTCTCCAGAGCCAGGAAATATTAAAAAATATAACAAGTATCAACAACACATTTATTTATAGTTGTCTCCATAATTTACCAACGAGAAAATCCAGCATATCTTCAACTTGAAATCAATAATTGGAAAATATCACATCTTTCATTTTCATCAAAAGTATATTCACCTTGGTAGATATTGTCAAAGACTACAGAGATTTCTCTGATCACTTGCCTCTAGTGACATCCACACTCAAGTAAAAAATACTTTATGTAACGGGACCACAGGTAATGTGCAGGAAAACTTAACGAAGATCAAATTTTTGTTTTTAGAAAATGACCTTGACCTTGACCTTAGACTTCCAATCCTAAAATTCAATCCCAAGCTAGTAATAGTAAGAGTATGTGGAAACAAGAGCTGGAACAGACATATTTGTAATATCTGATAGTAAAGAAATATCTTCCAAGAGTCATGGAACTGTAATTGCCATAAATTAATGAAGATATCATAATCCCTCCTGTATTTTACCCTCTGTAAAAGCAGATTGAACAAATGGCTCTGGTGGCAGGGTAATGATTTCAAGGTGACAATGTACAAGTAATAGAGAATCTAAACATAACAGAGGAAAACCCAAATCTTACTGCCATTTTGATACAAGTGTACAATTTTTTTTTTAAATCATGTTTTAAAAAAGAAAAGATGATTTTCAATTAAACATGACGTAGTACATCACTTTCTGAACTAATTTCATTTATTGAGTTCAACAATTTCATGTGTTTAAACCTGAAAACAACATATGCAAATCACTAGTTAACAGTGCACACTTTCATCATTGAACTTGGTAATGCCTCAGCCTAACAAATTAAATGACCATAGCACGCTTATAAAACAAGGTCTATTCTCATATCAGTTATTCATTTTAATGACATTAAAACCCATAAAAAGTAATATAAGAAAAAAAAATAGGACCAAATTTTATTTTTCATTGGAAAAGCCTCTGCCAGTATGAATTTTGTGACCTGATTTTACAGAATACAAATATTTGTATTTCACATGAACTGTTTTAACTGAATAAACAAAAGTTGTCCTGATATCTGCAGGAGAAATAGTGCTGGCGATTTCTGGTTAGGATTATAGTAAATAGAAATACTGTTATGCTTCATGTCTCCTATTTCCACCAAGATGTAAAAAGGATCACAAAAACTTATGTTATACTAATGAGCAAACTGACAATAAAAGGTTCCAACAACAAAATGGTCATTTCTATTGCAAACATAGGGGAAAATGTACAGTAAAGGGGGAGATAACCTTGCACCCTCCAACTGTAATATGCACTGAATAACACAATTCCCTTGTAACAGGAACAACCATCATAATCTATTTACTAGTTAAAATAGAGAAAAGATATTAAAGCTACAAATCAGGCATAATACTTGATTGAATACTTTTGAGACAAAATATTGATTACTTGATTACATAACTCCTAGCCTATTGATCAACAATAACATTTGAAGGCTTACAAAATAAACAAATTGGGTGAAATTCCACACAGATCAAATACATGTAATCAACATTCAAACAATTCTATTCTTTTTTCATAGAAGATATAAAAAATCTTTTTACTATTATGTGCCTTTGTAAAATTGTATCCATACCATTCTTACAATTTTGTTACAATTAGTTAAAAAAAAAAAGGCAAAGCATTGTGGTCAATCCATTGTCCATCATAAACAATAAATCTCCTGATCATACCTTAACACAGAAACGTAACACTGGAAAGTGGGGCACCAATTCCAACTTTAACAAGTTTTCTTTATTCTGCCTTCTGAAAAGGTACATGCATACAAAATTGACAAGCCTACTTTAGTATATGAAATATGTTGTGGGTAAAATTTCCAAAAGTGATCAAAGGACCAGTGGAAGGCATTAGATTGCAAGTGTCATCCTACAGTTTTTGAGAACAAAACTTGGAAATAACATGTGATGTTACTTTAAGGACCACAGGCAAAACCCAACCATTTATGGTGGAAAGCATGACCAGATTTTAGAACCTAACATTTTATCATTCCACTTGGCAATTGGTGATACATTGCTTACCTAGCTTAAACAGAGAACATTTGTAACATGTAGCTTGTCTGTATCCAATATCATATAAGTAGTATAGCTGTATTAAATATGTAAGTATACTTTTGACATTATAATGGCACCAACATAACTTGATTTCTGTAACAATGTCTGGCATAAATAAATATGGGCCATTTTGTTCATTATCTTTCAGATATAAATGTTGAACCCGAAGTTGACTGATTGAAGAACAGAGTACATAGCTTCAAAGGACAGACTTTCCACATGACCTCTCTTGCATAAATTCAAGCTAACTGCATGGTAGGATGACACCTGGTTTACTGTAGTACTGTAGTGGTACAATGAATCCAGGACCTGTGACAATGTCTAACTGACTGTAGTACATTCATAGTACAATGAATCCAGGGCCTGTGACACTGTCTGACTGACTGTAGTACATTCATAGTACAATGAATCCAGGGCCTGTGACACTGTCTGACTGACTGTAGTACATTCATAGTACAATGAATTCTGGGCCTGTGACAATGTCTGACTGACTGTAGTACATTCATAGTACAATGAATCCAGGGCCTGTGACACTGTCTGACTGACTGTAGTACATTCATAGTACAATGAATTCTGGGCCTGTGACAATGTCTGACTGACTAGTACATTCATAGTACAATGAATCCAGGACCTGTGACACTGTCTGACTGACTGTAGTACAGTCATAGTACAATGAATTCAGGGCCTGTGACAATGTCTGACTGACTGTAGTACATTCATAGTACAATGAATTCAGGACCTTATGACTGTCTAATTGACTGTAATACATTCATAGTACAATGAATTCAGGGCCTGTGACAATGTCTAACTGACTGTAGTACATTCATAGTAAAATGAATTCAGGATCTTGTGTGTGTAACTGTAATACATTAATAGTGAATAAATAAAGGACCTTGTAAGAAAAATAGTAGTAAATTCATAGTACTATGAATACAGGACTTTGTGAGCATGACTGCTGTACATCCACAGTACACAAATGCAGTACAGCTGTATATTTTTCCAGACAAATCAGTTCAAACAAGTAGCTGATCTATTTCAAACACTCTACACAATTCTACTGGGTAATAATAATATCACATATAATAACAGATGTATCTAGGCACTCTGAGCTGTTTTAGACCATACACTCCTCATTCTGTCCAAACACTCCAATCTCTCATCAAAATCCATTAGTCACAGATGATTATATATAAGATTTCCCTAATCTTTTTTTTTTTTTTTGGGGGGGGGGGGAATCATACAATAGAAGTTCACTACTTTCCATAACATTTGATTTCAGATGAGATAAAAACAAAGTCCTACACAAAATGGATGTGCAATAGAATCAAAATAAAGATACAAAATAAACAACCAACATATGGATCCCACTATCAGGACATCATGTTGCATGCTTGTTAGAAAAGCAGCATTACAGAGATATAACAACAAATCTCCCTACATACACTCACAAACAAAAAACACCGGCAGTAGTGATAGACCAGAACATATCAACTAAACACAGACATACACTCCCCTTCCTCCATCCTTTGCCTACTGTACTCTTCTCTTGCCCAACTCCTCACCTACTGTGCTACTCTCTTGCCCAACTCCTCACCTACTGTGCTACTCTCTTGCCCAACTCCTCACCTACTGTGCTACTCTCTTGCCCAACTCCTCACCTACTGCGCTACTCTCTTGCCCAACACTTCACCTACTATGCTACTCCCTTGCCCAACTCTTCACCTACTATATTACTCTCTGCCACACTCCATGCCCCTCCCACCTAGGCTTAACTTGGTATACATAAACATTATAAATTTTTCTTTAGATATCGACTTGAAACTCTAGCAGTCAGTAATATACTGATATTTTGAATTCTAATATTTAAAATGTTCAACAGTGATGCTGAAGAAGAGTCATTGACAGTACACTAACCAGAACATCAAACAAGGTATGATGCCATATCACATTCTCATGTCTACATTCTTGACAGTTTCAAAAAAACAAGTATTCTTTCATTTCATGACAGAATTATATTTCTCACTTTATATAGGTATTTCAGGGAGATTTCACCTTAAGTATTTACATTCATTCTCTTCCACACTGATTCGATATTAACTACAGCGCAAACAATGGATTCTCATCCTCATCCTTCTGTTTTAGTTGGCGATTGCGGTTTGCCGAGCGGGGCTGTTGGCCAGTTTGTGCAGAAATACTAGGGAGAGTATCAGCCGCTGCAGCTCGCTCTGCCAAAAACTCATCAAATTCTGAAACAACATTCCATTAATCAAAATCACAATTACAATCATTACTTCTACAAGCAAACAACTGATCACAATTATATCAACGATGATGTAGTAACCAGATTTAATTTTGCAACAGTTTTATCAACCTGGTTTGCTGATCTGACCAAGTTGAGGGAAACAAAGAAACAGACTTGTAAATTAAGTAATTTTTTTAATCTTTATGAGATTCTGGTGGTATTTTGAACCTGCTTTAATCTACCTTCAAAAATATTACATTGATTATAAATATGATAAGATAACGGCTCTAATCTACCTTCAAATGTAATTACATTGATTATGAATATGATAAGGTATCTGCTTTAATCTACCTTCAAAAGTAATTACATTGATTATGAATAAGATATCATTGCCTCAGTGGTTATTGTTACCTGAACTAGTGATGGATTCTTGAGGCTTGCTCCTTGTGTTTTCCAACTGTAAGTAAATATAAACATGTCTGATTTGATTCTGTGAATACATCTACATTATTGCATGCTCATGCTAACATCATTACCTAAATCAATCAATGAAATGACACGCCACAAAAAGTTAAAGGAAAATTATCAAAATGGACTGCAAAAACTTTATTGAAACATGCTTAAAAATCACGGAATTCAAAATGCAGAGGGGCTTAATAATAGGATAATTCCATGCAGCCTTATTTATGTTTGTGTGTATAAGATTTCTCTACAATAGCCTGTGTACTCTCACTACAACTTACATCTTTCCTCTGTTCATCTGTCAACCATTGTTCCATTTCATCATAATCATTTTCCCGATCTTGCAACTACAAAACAATCATTATGGGAACTTCAAATTCTCTTTTACATCTTACCCTGCATTTCATACACTGCATTTCACCTGTATTTTCCTTTATATCAGGTAATTGATAAATAGTCATAATTTTATACATAACTCACTGCAGAAGGCTTCACACACATCACTCTATATTTGGAACCTTAAATCTTCACTTACTTAACTCCTCTCCAATCATATCTACAAGCAATACCTTTGTAATGTGTGTGAACATATGTTAATGATGCAAGAAAATTTTATTTTAAGTTTTATAATAAGATAGAGAGATATAAATTCTCATATCTAGTCCAATGTACACATATTGACACTAGCATCCTTAATGAAGGATATGGCACTAACACCAAAAGGTCAAGGTAAATGCCAACCACCATCAAGTACCAGCATCTAGGATTACTACTAAATAGCAAACAGCAGGTAAGACAAATGTGTAATCACTATGTAAACGGTATGTTATTTATGTTAAGATTATGAGGAAAATCTATGGCTTTTCTGTAGTTTGGCCAAGAAGCTAACACATCTATAAGGTACAAGCATTGTAATTTCAAAAGGAGAACTTTAGTGACTTGTGCACACAGACTGACAAAGCGATAAGGACATGTATTGTTTGTATATCAAAGTGCGTATGTGTAGATATACAGTATACAGTGTGGTAGAGGGATGTTGTTCAAGGCGAAATACACGGTGATAGGAAAATTCAACAATAGATCGCTAAGCTGTTGTGTTACTCCAAAATTGAGACTGAAAAACGTTCTTCACGAATATTCCATGTTGATCCTGTATCTTCAATTTGAACCATTTTATAAACGTTAAAATACATATGTTTATATTTGACATCATTTAACGTCAGCTTCTGTGTTAAGATTGAAATCGGTTTAATGATACAAAATGTAGAAACAACTGAAAATTAAGTATTGTTAAACCTGAAGTCAATATCTACAGACAGTGTTAGGGAAGGTGTTTGATCTACTGACAGTGTTTGTGGGGGTGGGGCAAGGTGTTTGATCTATTGACAGTGTGTGTATGTGTGGGGGTGGGGCAAGGTGTTTGGCAGAAAAGATTAAACCAACCTGTGATGAAGGACTAACATGCTTCGGACAAAAAGTAAATACAAAGAAATTAACAAAAGCTTAGTATAAACACAAAACATGCACAGGTTATGTTTTAATTGTGGACACATGATCCATCTGCATGATCTGCAAAAATATAGTGTAGTAGAAACAGAACTTCAAATCAAGCTCACATTATCAGGGTTTTAATCTAATCTCTTTTTTGGGGGGAAATTTCACAATGATACTGAACACTTTTAAAAGACAAGTAGGCTATTTTTTTTTTTTTTTTTTTTTAGTATTTAACAAGTATATTTCATATATGTTTACCAAACAGTCAAAATGGTGGATATGTCCAGAAATTAATTAATTAAACTAATTAGTCATGGTATATCAAAAATTAACCCATAATATCAGAGTTTCTTATTGATAAACAATTTATAAAATACTACATTTGTCAGGAGTACCTATCTGTAAGAATGATTATCAATGATAACAGTAAACAAACTTAATTTTACAATATCTAATTTTAGAGCAATTTCACTTTTCAGCATATAAGCATCATGATGGATTCATGCCTCCATAATAATTGATTTATGTAAACAAAATACAGAAACTACAATTAGCACAATGATATTTGAGCACAATACTTTCAGTGCAAAAATTGCTATAATAACTGCTAAAATATGTACATCTACAGAATATTTGATATTACAGTAAATAATTCTTTCACAATCAAGATTATGGGATACAGAAATGCCACAACTCGTTATGAAAGGTAATACATGTATTCTCTAATGTTAATTGTCATAATATACAAAATATTTAAATTCTACTGAAAACTACTTCAACAGAGATTAACGAATTAGTCAGCCACCATTCAGTTAGAAAATAAACATTCTTGAGGGATCATGGTATCCTCCATTAAAAGACATCAAAATGATGCTCAATGTAATCTCTTCTCAGGAAAGTATAGGTATGTAACTGATGAACAACTCAACATTTTAAGAAGGTAGACTAAAATGTTAGTATGTTACAATATGTAAAGTTCCACACCTGATATATGTATATAAGTAATCTATGAGAAATATATGTGCATTTGTGATATACAGATAATATTAGTGGTCTAATGAATTGTCATCTACACTACACCAGTAAGAAAAAATACCTTCAATACTTCCTCAGCATCATCTAGCTGTAATGTGTAACACAGCACACCTTCACTTACACATGCTGTTACAATAACTTCAAAAGTACAGCTGTTATCATGGTCTAAATATGAACATTTTTTCCTTAACTTGAAATAAACAACCAGGAATAGCTAGCCCCTGGTTTATATACTAAACAAATCAAAGACTGTTCAGGATTCTATAACTAGTTGTTATTATGTTTTACTATAATCCTAATCCAACAGCTCTACTTCTTTTTAGTTCACCACCAATTTTGTTTATTAAAAATAATCCATCCTTACTGATTTGTTTTACTGATGAACACATGTAACATCAATAACCCTATGAATTGTCCACTTAAAGGAAGAAACACATAAAATCTTCTGTTCTTCATAACTGCTTGATAGTAAATTTAATAGGAGTTTTTACCAGAATGTTCACAAATCATAATGAGCTGGAATAATGAGTAAAGATGTACATACCCCTGGAGTTACTTTGGCATTGACAGCTTGGCTTAGTCCACCTCCATACTGGTGATCCTCAAGTTGGTTTGAATATCCACTATCAAGTAAATTCAATTAGAAATTTGTAATAAAATCATATACATATCACAAACATTTCAAAAGCTTGTATTTTTAAGAATGTGAACATAACTTAAGATGATAGGGAACAGCTTTAATTTGAATATTTATCAGACATTTTCAGTGAAATAGGCCATTATATAATTATGACATATTCTTGATGTGAAATTTTCATATAGACCACTATCATATACTAACCTCACTGTTTTTTTATTCTGGTCAAATGATTGACGTGATTGTGCGAACATATCAAAGTCATCAGAAGGAGGATGAGTACTGTTGGTGGTGGCTGTAGAATTGAGCTGACCAAGGGTGTTACTTACACTGCCAGCTCCTAGTCCTGAATCAATACAAGATCAAATGTCTCTCACATCCACATTTACATAGAAATCAAATTTGCTTTAAGTATTTGCAAATAATTTTCAGACATTGTCCCTCAAACTTGCACGATTTTTATCCACTTATAAATGAAATACTGTTATTGTTCAAATGATAAGTATAACCTTTGAGTGATGTAGAAAGAAATAGCTCAATCTTAGTAAAGATGATAAACCCTTGTGAGTGGTGAAAATTTAAAGAGTCATTTTCAATTTTTGTTTAAAACATTTTCTCTGTTACCGCTGAACCAAATTCCTTGTTCTATATGGTAGGTATGACATAACAAAAAAAATTAGCCCCATACAGGTGTATGAATCTATCAAAGCTTAGGCTTGTTGGCACCATATCAATTTGTGATTGTTGTAGTATTTAGTCACTATTTACCCATGTCTGAAAACTGAGAGCTGAGACCCGTAGAAGTATTCTCTGGTCCAAGGTCTATTAAGTTGCCAATACGAGGTCCTCCAGAATTCTGTACCAATTAGAAATTATGTTTACCATAAACATTAAGTGAGAGTTCTTTTTGATGCAGAAATTGATATAAATATACTTCAATAAGGAGTAATGTCTGGTGTAAATGAGTGCTATTTGTAACTGGGATTGTTAAATAGGTCCCAAGAACTACCCTTGCACTCTCAAATTGGTGGCTATTTTGTCAAATCAAGACCAGATGTGACAGCTGTGTCTGTGATGTCATGAACACCTTCATTGAAATCAGGTAATATTCAAAGTTTGACAATCAGAAGACTGTATTTAGTTTACATGAAAATATATAAAAAAACAAGTCATTTTCACTTTGCCTTGCAGTGACACAAACTCATGTTAGTGTTAACTAAATTCTACTTTACAGTTTTTGAGAATTCTGCTGCTGAATAAATCAGAAGAAATATTAATCAAGAAAATCAGAAGGATATAGAAATTGAGAAACCCCCACCATGATTTAGTGCTTTTTACTGAAGATTTTGTATAAAAATAACCTAAGCACTTTCCTTGTTGTGAGATTCTCTCTTGCTATACATACCTGTTCGGGGCCTCCAGTAACAATCTGATCATACGATGGTGGTAAATGGGAGTCCTGAGGGGACGGTTCAGGTGACACTTGACTACCTGGTTGGTTGGCTTGCTGACCAGTTTGCCCTGTCCGATACTTTTCAAATCTTTCATACCGCAGAAACACATTATTGATGTCATCATTCACCCTTAGAAGTTCATCTGAAACAACAAATGAATATAACAAGGTCAACTGACAGAAAAAATACACCTGAAAATTAATCACACGATGATTATGTTAAAATGATAGGGATATCCTTGTTTGTTAGGTACAAGTTGATACAAGTGTAGTAAGAGTCACTGTCAAAAATAATGAAGAAAGTCACCATGACTTAATTGTCATGAAAGTAACAGAAAACAAATTTGTGGCACAATTAGAATTTGAGCAGTGAAATTGATATTGGCAATGAATGCCACCCACCATCTAGAACAGAAGGCAATGCATTTATGTCTAAACATTCACTTCAACAATGAAGATAAAATGATATGTGGATAGGTTTTGCATTTGATCTTGGTTAACTCTTGACTTCAATTAAACCAATTACTTTTGGCTAAGGTAACCTAGGAGATGTAAAAGTGGTATATGGCAAAGTGTCTGGGATAATGCTGAGGTATATGTTTTATATACACTGCTAATGCATACTTGCAACAATAAAGAAATGAAGGCTGGGACAAAAATCCAGATAGAGGGATGAGACAGACATAGATAACAGTTTGTTACTCTGGACTATTTAGTAAGGGGTGTAAAATTAATGGAACCTTTCACAAGAATTCATATGAGAAAAGTATTAATTAACATCTTTGACAGTTCAAACATGGAAAATTCTCATGGAAAAAGTATAAATTTACATGCTGTATACATACTTGTAATTTCTTCATTGGCTATTTTATCCAACAGGTCCACCAGTCTTTGTTGCATTTGTCTGTTGGTACGGTTCAATTCCTGAAGAACAGAGCATTCACTTTCTAAGCTAATCATTTGATATTACTGTAGTTATTCATTGTCTATTGAATTTATAGGGATCACTAAAACCTTTCACATTTAAACATCAAATAAATGTTTTTCTTCCTTGATTATCCTTTCATTCATTTGAATTTTATTAGAATTTGATATATGCAAATTTATTGTTACAACAACTTCATCCAACAATGAGTGAAGCCTTGGTAACTACATCATATACCATTGTAAGTCACCAAATGGATATATATGCTGTACATATCAATGATAAAGAAAGTCTACACTTAATATCAGTAAAAGAAACTGGAACACTGTCTGGTCAGCAAGGCTCTATAAGTATACTGGCTTCAAATATATCCTCTGTAGCACAGTAATCCCTAGTGCTATTTTAAGAAGAAAGATCTTGACTTAAGAAACTTATTCCACCCATTGCACATGTACATAATTCTATCTCTTTAAAGGAAAATATGGACTGTGGTTTAAATACAGTTAAACACTGTAATTACTACCATGAACTCTAGTGACAAATATTGGGTTCTCAATATGAATAAAAGGTATTACTGTAATTGACTTACCTGTAACAGTTCAAGGTCAGAGGGGTCGACATTGGTGGGCGACAGCTCACTCAGCATCTCCCCCATCACACGAATGTTTCCCTGTACCACGCTCAGCTCGCTTTTTAACTTGCTCATCTGGTCTATGGTAGGATTGATAGGCCCGCTTGTCTGTGTGCCTTGTACAGGCTGTGGGGGCATCTGGGGCTGCATTGTAGTTTGGATAGGGACTGGGGACATTCCAGGAGCTATCCCTTGTGGCATCCCTTGTGGCATCCCTGTAGCCACTCGTGGCTGAAAATAGAAATGTAAACATTAAACCTTAAGTCGAGGAGTATTTTCTAACACGAGCATTAGTGAAACTGATGAATGTTCCCACCAACAACTTTATTAGACAAAAAATTTCAACAAATGCCAATAACCCTCTAATTAAGACGTTATTCTGTAAATAAGGGAATTGGGTACACGTACATGGTCTTATTATGACTAACACATACAAAAAGTTTCATTATCCTACCTTAATAAATGAGAGCCAGGTTATGCTCTGGACACACAATTTTAACAGAGGGCAATCATTCTGTACTTAATTTACCTTAATTTGGTACAATGCATATTATGTTAGTATGACCAATGTATCCATCAAGTTTCTTTACCCTAGTTCAAATGTAAGCAAAGTTATAAGAATATATAAAAAAAACTAACAAAGGGTAATAACTCTGTGATTTAGGGGTTGAGGGCCCTGATTTTGGTACAATGCACTTTGTCTTTGAGTGACAAATGTAAACATCAAGTTTTATCATCCAAATTAAATGCAAGCAAAGTTATGCTCTGGATCCCAAATTCTATAAAATGTTAACAATTCTGGAATTAAGGGGTTGCAGGCCCTGACTTTAGTCACTGCACACTGTCCTAGTATGACCAATGGTTACACAAAGTTTTATGATTCTTGTTTAACTATGGGCTAAGCTATGCTCCAGACATAAAAGGATGGACAGAAGATGTGGCAGCTATATACATTTGATCTTAGCACAAAAAACCATTCAGGAACTGGGAAGCAGGCATGATTAAATTTATAATGCAATCTTATAATAAAATCAACATATAATAGACACAATGAAAACAATAATGTGATAAAACACCACCCTGAAGGATGCAGACAAAATAGCTGATGCTGACTTGAAAAAACATACATTTATACTTTACATTCATATATGTATTCCTAGAGTATAATTTGTTCAGTATGATTCTGCTGATGGAAATATATAGATCTGGACCTGCCACCTATCCACCACGCTACTTGCAAGGTTATATATATATACATTCAAAGACCTCCACCTCATCCCATTTAAGCTGTGTTAAACTTTAATTAAGATGTTTAAATCTTCCTGTAAATTACTTTAGTCCAATGGAATTAAAAGGCCTGGTGACTGTTATAATCATTTTGAAATAAGTCATGCATTGGTTTCATTTTGTAGATAAGACTTAACTAAAAATTATCATAAGTGTGATGGATGGAAGTCTTAAATCATACAATGGTACTTCAGTAAGTAGGCCTCAGTTACAATTACAGGTTACATGTATTAATTGTGAAACAGAGTCATGTCGTCTTTAATTGCAAATCATCACATTCTAAGACATGCTAAACGTAAGCAGAGCTATTTCATCAGGATGACACTCAACAGTTTCAGATCAACCTTGGTGTCATCAATTACATGTTTTCTTCTATTTTATTGGACCTGATGAGTTTCACCTATCAGGATTTTACATTTCGTGCGAAATTGTTGCATGACCAATTACAACCTCTCCTTTGCACAACTTTATTAACATTTCATCAACAAGGCAATGTGACTGTTTTGTCAACACAGCTATGCCAACATATTATCCACAACTATTTTAACCTTTTTAACCACACCACTGTGTGATCATTTTATCCACATCTTTATCCACACAACTATGTGAACATTGTATTCACACAACTATGTGAACATTGTATTCACACAACTATGTGTACATTGTATCCACACAACTATGTGAACATTTTATCCACACAACTATGTGAACATTGTATCCACACAACTATGTGAACATTGTATCCACACAAATATGTACACATTGTATCCACACAACTATGTGAACATTGTATTCACACAACTATGTGAACATTGTATTCACACAACTATGTACACATTGTATCCACACAACTATGTGAACATTGTATCCACACAACTATGTGAACATTGTATCCACACAACTATGTGAACATTGTATCCACAACTATGTGAACATTGTATCCACACAACTATGTGAACATTGTATCCACACAACTATGTGAACATTGTATCCACACAACTATGTGAACATTGTATTCACACAACTATGTGAACATTGTATCCACACAACTATGTGAACATTGTATTCACACAACTATGTACACATTGTATCCACACAACTATGTGAACATTGTATCCACACAACTATGTGAACATTGTATTCACACAACTATGTGAACATTGTATTCACACAACTATGTGAACATTGTATCCACACAACTATGTGAACATTGTATTCACACAACTATGTGAACATTGTATTCACACAACTATGTACACATTGTATCCACACAACTTATGTACACATTGTATCCACACAACTATGTGAACATTGTATCCACACAACTATGTGAACATTGTATTCACACAACTATGTGAACATTGTATTCACACAACTATGTGAACATTGTATTCACACAACTATGTGAACATTGTATTCACACAACTATGTGAACATTGTATTCACACAACTATGTGAACATTGTATTCACACAACTATGTGAACATTGTATTCACACAACTATGTGAACATTGTATTCACACAACTATGTGAACATTGTATTCACACAACTATGTGAACATTGTATTCACACAACTATGTGAACGTGAACATTGTATTCACACAACTATGTGAACATTGTATTCACACAACTATGTGAACATTGTATTCACACAACTATGTGAACATTGTATTCACACAACTATGTGAACATTGTATTCACACAACTATGTGAACATCGTATCCACACAACTATGTGAACATTGTATCCACACAACTATGTGAACATTGTATTCACACAACTATGTGAACATTTATCCGCACAACTATGTGAATATATTATCCACACAATTGTATGAATATGTTATCCACACACAGATGTATATGTAATCCACACAACTATGTGAACAGATTTTACATACCATTTTAACAACATGGAATGCAGCACAACACAAGCATGCATGATCTACACCACATCTAACCCGCATAACATCATTGCCAAGTCCAAAGCTTTATCTATAATCTTTATAGGGTATTATAATCCTTAATCCACAGAAACTATGGTATATCATCGAGGAGGAAAGGCCAAGATAAAGCAAACATGTCTGTAACAGACATATATATAGGGTTGATCACAAAAAATCATGCATATAAAACAAAGCCAACCTCTAGATCATCAGCTACCATATATTTGGCCTGCAGTGTAATGGATGAGTGTCAGGGAAATGAACATGTACATATACATCAATACAAACCCAGGGTAATGTAAACCACTCATATCTACCAAATACAAGTTTATCAAACAGCTGCTGCATTCAGCAAGATAATACTTTCGGAGAAAAAGAACTTAATCACAATGTCAAAGAAACTTTACATGTATTTAGCAACAAAGCTTATATGTAAAGGAAGAATTTTACAACCTTGTACTTTCACGTTTCTGTCACAAAATTAAAAAAAAAGATTATCCCAGGTAACAGAATTCTTTATGCTGTATACTTCACTAACAAATTACTAGTAACATAATGTGTAACAGTTAATTTTGAAAAAGGTTAGACTCTTAGGAAAACGTTTTTCTTGAAATGATAAATGTGGCAATATGGGTGATTTACTCCACATGTAATAGACATATACATAGTACATGTAGTATCACATTCCTGGAGCTTAATACTGCAATAATTCAAGGTAACCAAATTACCCTGAGGCTCCATTGACTTTCTTGTATTGGTCTGGAGTTGAAAATATCACAACTACAACCCTTCAAAAATAAGCAACCTGTATCTGGGTCAGAATTAAAACAATACTAGTGGAAAGAAATCAACATTTTTACATGCATGCTGAACATATATAGAAGGACTGTTCTTTATCTACAAGCTGATGAAAATGTATTGATTTTAAAGTTCAGTAAAAACACAACATAACATACTTTCTCTGGACCTACTAATAATCTGATGAGAATCAGGTCAGAGATCATGTGACTGAGCAAGATCTTACAATACTCAAGCTATTTTGCCAAAATCATGACAAATGTTATTACAAAAACAAATGAGACAAAAATTAACACTTGCTTTCAGTTTTAATTCACTTTCAAAAATGAATGTCCTCTGGTAATTTTTTTTCAATCACTATGAATTACTGCAGTCACCATTGTTAGTGAAGTAGAAAGGGAGAGAAAATGTCTTGTTTAAACTGTTTTCTGAACTTAAGTGTATGTGCAAGAAGTGACAAGGCTTGTGATCAGAAAAATGGCTCTTACAAACATAATCTACAAGAGATTCCAGAGGAATCTTGGTACCCAACATCATATGATTTTTTTCTAAGTGTTTGTTGGATATTTGCCATGTTTTTCTCATCTGTCCTCCTATCTTTTTAACACAAGAAAGGGCAACAGGGCAAAGGGTGAAATCTACATCCACAGAAAAAGATCCTCTATTATGCCATGAAATAGAAATAACAAATAAAATGCCAAAATTCAACTGGACTACCAGTTGGCCAAATCATCCTTTTTATTTTTTCCATTACCATCAAAATCAAAGACAGCCACCAGTTGAACAATTTGTTTTTCCAATCCGTCTCAAAATGCACAATGAGGAACAAAAGAAAATATAGTTTGAGAAAGATCTACTTCTCAAGAAATATCGTTGAATTTTCAATAACCAATATGGCCAGCTGTCAGCCATTTTGTTTTTTCAGTCATAAAATTAAACAAGCACAACTAGAAAAAAACAAGGCGGTGACCCTTATGTTCCCCCGAAATTTTTAGTGGAGCATGAAAAAATATGAAATCTGGTAACAACCCATCAAACAATTCTAAAAACATTAAAAAATAGATGACAAATTTCAACTTTCAAAATCTAAGATGGCTTCCAAAACTGAGCATGCACAACAAATGACCATATGTACACTAAATACAAAATTTGGAAAAACTAAGACATAACAATCTCAAATTTCATCTTTCAAAGTTAAATCTTGCCACCTTTGGCCATTTTGCTTTTCCAATAATTCCCATTATTGAACATGAACATGCACAACTAGGGGCGAAAGTAAACATAAAAAAGAAATCTGAGAATGATTAATTGATAAGTTCTTGAGAAAGAGTGACCAAACTTAAAATCTAAGATCACTGCCTATAGTGGTCATATTCTTTTTTGAATAAATTGCAGAACTGATCAAGCACAACTAAGGAGAATTTACCTATGAAATTTCAGAAAATTCAGCCTGTACCTTCTTATGAAATACTTGTAAAGAAAACAATCTTTAACTTTTAAAATCCAAGATCGCTATCCATCAGCCTTTTTCTTTATACCATCAGTAATAAAATTAAACATGCACAACTAGGGACCAAGGGGAACATTCATATGAAATTGCAAAATGATCGATCCTGTAGTTCTAAAGAAATAGCAATAAACAAAAGTTGTTTCAGGACAAATAGATGAATGTAAAACAAAACGTATGAAAGACCACTGACGAAGGGTGATTTGAACAGCCCATCATCGAAAAGCAGAGTCAGATTGGGAAAAAGTACATTCAGTAAGTGTATTGGTATTATCAGATATGTCCTGTTTGAAAATCTTGTGGATAAAGAACAGACCTTTTGATGTTTATGTTTCATGCATTTGAAATGACAATTTTTTCTCCCATAATTATCGCTTTAATGCCTACTCAAGGGCTTTTATTCAGACCGAGCTCTTATATTCATCAACTCCTGACCAATATCAAAAAGTTGGTGGAACATCAGAATAATTCAACAATATCACAAGGAAACATTCTTTAAACAAATCTATAGTTAGTGAAATGCATTAAATATGAAAAGATATGAGTTCACTTCAATTTTGTATAAAAATAAATGTGAAACAGATTGATTAAAAAAGGAAATGAAAAACTGATTGATTAAACATCATTTTGATGTTATTCAAAATTTTTGTGATCATAGAAAATAAATCAAAATATTGTAGAGATTCTTTTAAACAAATCCTAATATGTTACTCACAGCTCTGGTGCTACTGGCAGGTCGCATTCTGTTCAGTCCAGGATCTATATCTGGATGTGTCTATTAAAATATTAAACTTCAATTAGTATGGAACAGACTAATATTATATATCTTTTTAAAAACTTTTTCTTACCAATTTCCTTCTTTTAAAATTAACAGAATATTTTGACAAATTCTAATATATGTATACAGTGCACACTTGTAGCTGAATCATGATGTTATTTAAATGTTCAGTTTTTTTTGCCTTTGTTGACAATGCTATTGAGATCTATGCCCCTGTAAGACATACCCGTGCAGGTGTGTGAATGGGAGCCATACTGTCCAAGTCAGTCATGGGGAACTCTATACCCTTGGTCTTCAGGTCTTGATAAACCTTCTCCACCTCTTTTAGCTCTGGGATACCACGGAAAGCATCTGCCCAAGTCTGTGGGTTCATCACAAATCATATAAGGAAAGGTGCCATGTACAGAAAGGTCACATCTACATAGATTATCACAATTCTGTTGGGACAGATGTGTACATGTATGAACCAAACATTATAATGTAACTTTTAATATCCAAACTAAGCACAAGTTGACAACTGTATTAAAGTAAGGTCTCAGTAACAAAGTCCCTGAATATATATGTTGTGCTAATCTCACCTGTATGAGACATAGGACCTTCTCCTGCAGTGCCTGTGGAGGGTCATACTTGGGACCAATGATTTTGACCATGTCTGCAAGGAAATCTTTGTTGGCCACATGTTGATGAAACCTCTTACCACAATTCTTAACGCATGTCTCCAGACACTGTGGAGGAAAAACAGGGAACCTATAGATAGTTACTGATTTTTTTAATTACATAAAATGAAAGGACTTTAATTGTTCTTGCAATAAATAGAGTACAATGTTTTATGTCATGCAGATGTACAATTCTTGTTGAGTAACTTCAGGTTATAAACTTCAAGAAACACAGAAATACACATACCTCTGTACTTCAAATTACCAGTCATAACACAAAATATCAGAAATGTATATCACTGTTGTGGTTTACTAAAGTCATTGATAAGATTAATGCTCATTTGTCTAGAGAGATCCAACGTTTGGAGCAGAAATTTGGATCATTAACCTATATCCAATACAAAATGGAGGAAAGCGTGTGACCATTTTATTATGTAATCAATACTTTCTCAGGAGAATGGTTTGACATCTAAAATAAAATTTGATATTTTTACCCGAAGTCTTTAAGTATTTTAATGTCTTACCGTCAAAGTGTACATGATGGCTACGTTGTTTTTTCCAACATTTTGTGAAAGCCTCTTCTTAATGGCCTTGATTGCATCCTTAGGACTACAATCATAACGATCATATTAGCCAAGGTCAATGTTAGTACCAAACCATCCACAGGAAGTCACCATGTGGTAGTGCATTACTGCAGTATTTAAACATTTATATCATTCACTTCATTCAACAACAAAACACACTATTCGGTGATAAATGATCAAATCAAAAAGGTTTAGCACCCTCTAAAACCTTATTCACATGCTAACATGTGCATTTAGGAAACAGAAAGTAGAAATACTTGCATTCAGTTTAAAAAGAATATTGTAGGGTTCAACAACATATCTTAGCGTTGCAAAACAACTTCTTTCATGGATATTATGGGTCAAACTTGTACAATGTGTATGTGAAAAATATAGGAATCACAACTAATGAAGACAAACCTTACTAGATTTTATATAATGTGTATTGCAGCATAGGTGACTCAACATTCCACAACGTATTTTGGTATCATAGTAACACAAACATTTTGTATTAACTTTAAACCTATACGGCACCAGACGTAGCAGTGTAAATGGTGAAGTTAAAGTATTAGTATGTAGGTATGTCCATAATGTATGAAAGATTCTGAGAATGAGAGACAAGACTTTATTTCATATCATATATGTAGTGATATATAAAATACTGTAAACGTTTGCTAAATGTAAATCATATATAAACCATATCATACTTCATCTATGTTCAAAGTAAATTTTATCATAATTATTTGGGCATTGTTTTTAACCATTTGTTTGTTTGTTTTTTTTCCTTTATTTTATAGGAAATAATGCAGGTAATAATAGATAATTGATATAAACATGATTTATTGTACATTATTACTACAGCCATTATAGTGAGGTTTAATTGTTATATCCAGGAACTCATGCAGGATTACATTTAAAGAAGAATTTTGCACTAACCTGGGAATCTTTGTTAATAGCAGATAAATATCTACTTGATAACTTGCATAACAGGTCTGATATATTGGATTATCGTGATCATAGTATCTAGAACACTTATGCAATCCTGGATCAATACAATATTCATATATCATGGACATATTCTTTTGGATAAGTATGTAGTGTTCCTTTACAGCTGTCACTTGAACAAAACCACAATAAAACCAGAAATCTGATGTGCCTGCATCATTTACTCATTTTTATTTTTTTCCCCAAAATACATTTAGGTTTTGCATCATTCAAAACCATTAAAATGTATTTATATGATTCTTCTAATTTTAACCACAGAACTAGCAATGTTTTAGCAGTCAAAGCTAATCTTTTCCATTTTGACTGAAAGACCAATATGACAACTTGAAAATAGTGTAGGTCAAGATCACTTCTTTTCACAAACTTTGTTGGGCTTCATTCAAGGAACCTACTTGTTAAGTATAATGACTTGTGGCCTCCTAGTAATTGAGAAGATGTTTATAGTAAAAATATGATGATGGACAGAGAGACACCACACAGCTATTAGAGAAGGGCTTTGCTACTAAAACGGTTTCATACTTACAGAAGTACCCGACAGTGTTAGTAATTTATCATAGAGATTTTTTTTCTTTATTGTATACACAACATTTCAAAATATTTATATTTTGTTTTCATCATAATTGTTTGCTTTAATTTACACCAATCTTGCTCATCACAGAAACCCAACAATCATATATTGGCACCCTAACTATACTGTGCAAAGGGGCATAATGGAGCAATAACCAACCAGTAGCTAACTCAATGTTGCTTAACTTCAGTACATTAACAGGGCAATCAACCACACAAGCACAAATGCGTGTTTTTGGACTAGGCAGCTGAAATTCATAAAATGTCATATCATTATTTTCACTGATGAGCTTTATCTCGAAGCTTTCTTGGGTTTAACTCGACAACCTAAGCATATACAACTGCCCTTCTTGTTGTTATATCTATGTTGCCTTAATACTAAACTTTACAGTCCTGTACAATGTCTCTTGGAATATTATGTTTTCCATGCTATCTAAGGGTACCTGACAGAACACCAAGCCCATTTGCTGCCACCAGCTCCTGAACTATAACATACACCAGGTTATAACAGAACAGTCACCCATCCAGGAGCTGACCAACGCTCAACAATGTTTAACTTGGGAACATATACTTGACACTCAATTACACAGCCACAAAGGCATGATGTTGGATTGCGCAGCTGAAATGCCCATATCAATGAAATGTCACACAATAACATTTACACATAAATCTCTCTAGTATTTGAACCAAAACCACCCCAACATCAGCACAATTTGAAGTGGCAAAAAAATTAATAGTAACAATATGCATGTACATGAATTTGACAAACACAGTAAAATAATTGTCTCAAAGTTAGTGTGTATTGAATGCAGCTAGCCAAGATTTACTATACTCTTGGCTATGTTGAGCAATAATATCAACTCACCCATCATCACTCTCATTGATCATATCACAAACTTCCATAAAAAGTCCCCAGTTTTCTGATGCCTGGGATCCATCTGTAGCTCTCTCTGAAATATGCACCAAAACAAGATTTCAATACAGTATTTATTTATCAATTTTCTGTTTTCATTAAAACATTGCTAATTTTTAAACTTAACAGAGAAGCTTAATTTTAAAACTATGCTGACTTTAAAAAAAAAATGATTTTGATGATCTGCTATACTAGGGTATTTATAACCATTTTGTAAAATACACTCTAATCATCCTAATCAAGTGGCCATCCCAAATGGTGTACAGAAAATAGATAGCACTAGTAAATTCAAGAAGACCCTTCTTCAAAAAGAAGTAAATATTCACAGATATTGATAGACCCAGCTAACCAATTTTGATTCAGTAACATTTAACTTTCAATTTCACATTTTTTTACCACATTTTCAGAGTATTTTTTTCTTACTTTTCCACTTCTTGGATTTATAAAAAAAATTCAAAAATAAAGTAATCTTATATTATGCTGATGTCTCAAAACAGCATATCTGGTAGTTAAATAGCAAGGTTTATTCTTGTTCACCATTAAGGCCTTCAATAGCTTGGAAAGTTAAAAGAATAAGAAAAGAAGTAAGTGAAAGTAGATAGTGTAAGAAAGACGTAGAGATCCAGCACTTTGTCACCTAATCTTGTCTCAAATTAACTCTGACTACTAACAATCAGCTAAAAATACATGGTATACTAGAACGAGAGAAGGAGATTTCAAATCTATGCTTTGGTCTGCCTAATCTCCTAATATTTTTAACATATCCTAACCTAACCTCTGTGCCCGCTCTTCATCATCATAACACTGTAAGATGTTTATTATGCAAGTTAAATATTCTCACAATGGACTCCATTTTTTGTCCCATCAGAAAGACTGGTTGTTAGTGGTTAGTAGAGTAGTTGAACTTGTGCTATTATTTGATATTTTTGGTGTTCATACATAGGTCATTACTCCGAAGCCTTCTGCTGCTCTGTAATCTTTTTTATTAACAATGTCATTTCTTTCAATAAAAACAACATACAGATACTGGCTTTGTGAATCTTCTCTACATTCAGCAAGAAATGGTGGTAATTGGTAAGAAGAGGTGGCGATGGGGAGGGATCATCTTTCCAATAGTTCTCATAAGGCCAGTGACCTGGGTTTGATCCCTGGTTGAGGCACTTAACAGAAATGTGCGTTTTCCTTGTTCCTTCACATTGGCTCCCAACAAAATCTCAAGGATTGTGGTATTTGTAGTACCAGGTTAAGTTTTAAGAAATCTCAAGAAAAGCAGAGAGTAGTGTAAAAATGTGGGTCGGTGAGGCTTATATATAGTGTTGAAATACAGTCTCTGTCACCCTGGTGATGGAGCATACTTCTGTAGTTCAGTTGGTAGAGCTGATCGATTATCTTGCTGGAGATCCAGGTTCAATTCCTGGTCAGGGCACTGAACAGGAATCTGTATTTTTCCTGATTTTTCACACATAAATGCATTATCAATTAACAACTGTAGTAGCGAAATACTACAAATTGCAGTTTAGCCTTCATATGCTGAAAAGGACAGCGACAAGATCTCTAATACCTGTAGACGCTTCAACCGAAGAGAAATTGTATACAAAATATCAACAAGAATGATTCCACGAAAATATGGTATATGGCATTGTGGACTTTTCACAGTTTATACTCCACACGATGTATGCCAATTCAAGACAAAATGTAAATTGACTATCAAAACATGGTATCGATCTATTTCGCTGTTGGGGAAACGTGATGACAAGTTCGCTGACATACAATCAGCCGTCCACCCCGTTGTTTACTTCCCATGCCTTCGTTAACAGAGCACTGCTCCTCCCAGGGAGGGGCCTATTCATGAAATACAAATAGACGACAGCTCATTATTTCAATGGTGAATAGTTTAATCACAATGTACATATCAATGTTTCCAAATTATGATTGTATAATCAACCTTACCTATCTTCTGGCCTATTTGTGTGACCAGAGGATTTCCTCCGAAGATAGCGGCCATTTTGCCAAGATGAAATGACGTCACTGTCCCGAGGTTTTCTATTTATAGAAATAAACAAATATCAGTCGTAAAATAACATGAATGAAATAATTTTGAGATATGAATTTGAATTTCATATAATTTTGTAGCAAAAAGTGTGTCGAAAGGGTTTAAGATGTATTTTTATAATGTTATTCTTATCATTCACCGGAAATAAAAAGACGGAAGTTGACATCTCTGTGGTAACAGCGTCCATCTTGGCACACTTCGATCAGAAAGATCAGAGACATTCGATGTAAACAACTTGTATTAAGTAGGTTTGTGTGACACTGTTGGATTTCAACGACATTTTCTGCGTAAAGTCAGCATTCTTAAAAACTATCCCTTTATGTAAACGTGTTGTTACTTTATCTGAAACTAGCAATAGTTTGCAAGTGCTACTAAGGACTGAAACGGAATCATTTCATATACCTCATATATTAATGCATCATATGTACATCACAGTAAAAATACAAAGAATGCAAGTGAAGTACCATACCTATTGTGCTGAAAGAACAATTGTCTTTAGATTAAATTAAGTTAACATCGTTGCTGCTTGTCGTGCTCCATTAACAATTATATAGAATGAACTGGTCTCCATATCGGTTGCTTCTTAATCTCTTCTTCGTTAAGTGGAAATGTGTTTACCTTGAAAGTGATTGGTCTCTAAATCAAATTTCTATGGGGCATTACGCTTTCGAACCTGAGTTGTTTCGGCCACTACGAAATCATATGACAATCGAGTTGTACCTTTGATATCTTTTCTTCTGCAGAAATCTGTAGGCTGTGTTCCACCGATCACAATGAGTCGATTGTATGACACGGTGGAGCCGGCAGTTGTCGACGAAGACATGCTGAAAAGAGCAGTGGAGGAGCAAGGACCTAAAGACGAAGCAGGAAAAATTGCAAAGGCAGAAGGAATTGATTTTGGAGATGTGTTATCCTTAAGACTTGATTTTTTAAGTAAGAGTCTGAATAAATTATATGTTCATTTTATTTCAAAGTACAATATATATTGCAATGACCATCCAGGTGTCTAAGGGGGTCATTATAGATTTGTTGGTAATGCATTAAACTTTGCAACCTGAAGAGAAAATCAAATGTGTAAATTTTGATAATTATTCAAATGTGTGTTTTGTAGGAAGCTGCGATCCTGGGGCAAGATACATATTGTTCCTCTAGATTTCTTTAGATGGTACTAGGTGGGCCTTATAGAAAAATTATGTGATAATTTTTTCGAGATGAAAATACATAAATGAAAGTAAAGTCATATACACAGTAAAGCAAAATGCTACACGATTCTTCATTTTGACTCCCTATTTAGAAAATAGCCATATACGTATGTACAGACCAACCCAAAACATACTCATGTATAGTGAACATTTCTTTTTTTTCTTTAACAAGATCAAAAATTTAATAAGCGATACCATAATCTTGTATCTCCAGTTAAATTTATATCAGTGTGTCTACATGTTTTCTTTTCCTTTTTTTTTAAATTAACTAATGATTAAATGTCACAACACTTTTAAATAACTTGTCTTTGTTGACTTTCATAGAATATTGGCTATCTGGTACTCAGCCAGTCTTGATAAAAAAAGACTCAATATTCACTGAAGGAATACGTTAGTTTTAAAATGTACATGTGATTTTCATTGTAATGTTTAGAGTCTTTGTGTCATTATGTTAAAATTTAGTGATAAATAGTGCAGACATTGTCTACATTTAACTTTTTGTTGAGATAATGTATAAAAGCAACAAATGTTTTATCATCCATAGTAATGACTTGTTTAACTTTAATATGGTTCTAATGGCAGGAATGTTCATTTCATTTATGATTATTTTAAAAGTCTTTTTTATTGCATTTCAGATATCTTAAAAATCGACAATCTCTGGGAATTTACAGCATTAACAAAATTACAGCTGGATAACAATATCATAGAGAAAATAGAAGGTTTGGATTGTCTGGTCAACTTGGTATGGTTAGGTAAGTAATTATACATGATAGATAGGTCTACATCATATTTTAATATGACACTATACTATCACCAAAACATGATAGATAGGTCAACATCATACGATAATATGACGCTATACTACCACTATGATATTTCAATAAAGTTTTTATCGCTTTCCTCTTTCTTCCATCAAGTTTATTCTAGATCAGATTGAAATAAAACAGGCTTTTAATTGTTGACAGGAGTTGATTTCACTTTTGCTGATATGAATATATCTGAACACATTTAAAATTTTGATGGAATAATTATTCAATATGTCACATAATTATTCAATATGTTGCAACCCCCTCTTCATGCCCTACATGATTAATTTGTAATAATTTTACTGACACTTGACCTAAGAATGAGCTGGTCAGGATATGCATGATTATAGTTTTAATGGACCAAAATACACATGATATAGTTACTTAATCATATTGTGTTATTTAAATAGACTTGTCCTTCAACAATATTGAGGTGATTGAGGGTCTCAATGCACTCACTAAACTGGAGGATTTAACACTGTACAACAACAGAATTGCTACACTGGAAAACATGGACACCCTACTAAATCTCCATGTCTTTTCCATCGGAAACAACATGCTGACTGAACTCAGCAATGTAAGTTGTTTGGCTTCTTTGTTTAGTACAAACAACAGCAAAGTTTTCTTTCAGAAAAATAAAATTTCTTACCGTAATAAGCAAGGCTGAACCATTGATAAAATCAAATTATTGAATCATATTTTATTCTTGATGGAATGTAATTTTGATTCTTAATTATTACCATTTATACGATGTACATCAAATTGTCATTGCTCTTAAGATGAATGTTTCTTATTTCAGTTGTTATATCTGAGAAGGTTTAAGGAAATGAAAACCTTAAACCTGGCTGGAAATCCTTTCTGTAAGCAGAACGGCTACAAGCAGTATGTGATTGCCTTCCTGTCTGGTATTGACTTCCTTGATTACCGCTTGGTGGACAAACAGTCAGTCAGTATATCTTAGTAAACTTCAAATCTACATTTAGTTTGAGTTCTAGCGTGACTCATGATTTCAACCATACAACAACTACACCAGTATTTATGATATTTCAGTATTCCATACATACATGTACTCAGCATTACCAACATTGTTAATATTTATTTGAATCTACACTTTGAGTTACTGTTATTTAGAATTCCAACTTCAAGTCAGGAAGTGGGCTTATTGCCCTTATTGACTCTTATTGTAATGAGCAATATATATGAATGGGCTTATTACTACATATAGGATTCTTTCTGCAATATACAGTACAATATAATTCTACCATATTACTTCATTACTTTTAATAGACATTATACAAATACTGATTTTAAACTACAAAACAGAGAGAAGATGCCATGGAAAAACACATGATTCAAAGAGAAGAAATGTTACACAATGAGAAACAGGCAGAATTGAAACAGGAGGAGGAGATCAGGAACAAGGAACAGCTGAAGCTCCACAAGGTAAATAGGATAAACATTACACAGCTAACAATTTCCAATTCTTCATGACATAATCTCTATATTTTCTCAATTCTACATCATTTTCTTTTTATGAGAAAAATTACATAACCATATGTAAAAGTATTCTGCAGCATGAGAAGGATCTTCACCTAAAAGCTTCATGTTAGATTATTTATCTAGTAGATGCAAGATAATATTTTCTTTGGACAGTTATACATGAGTTTTGAATACAAATCATATATGTTTTAAATATGTCTTATATGTTTTAAATTAAGTCCTTTATGTTAAAAAGGCAGCATATGTGGAGCTAATGGATGGACCACACTTGTTTGAGATGATGTATATGGAAGATTCTGAGGGACAGAAGCTGAGCGAAATGCCAGGAATTGAAGATCTCTTACAGACATATCCTTTACTTTACATTGCACATTGTATCAGTGAATTGTGTATCAAGAGAAGCTGATATTGTTTAAGACTTTGATCATACAGGAATGTTTATTATGTTCAACTTATCAGTGATAAGTTCAAATTTTTTAAACACCTTCATTACCAAAAGTCAAAAAGGGTCAAATTGATTGCAGTTTCCAAAATCTTCTCACTACCAGGAAATATATCAAAAGTTCTTAAAGAATGGTCTTAAGAAGTTTTACACAAATTGTGAATTTCATGACCCTGGGGTCCTACATTTCTCCAGGGGAGGGGGTAACTTATAGTTTATACATGTATAGGGAAGTCACATGATTTGTTTAATTTCTGTGGCATGGATATTATACAAACGTGGTCAGTTTTATCAAATTTGATAGAATTGTATACTCTTCATAGATGGAAGGATCTTAAGGGGCTTCACCCACATTGAGAACTTCATCAACCTGGGTTCCTACATTTTCCTCTTGGGAGGAGTTCAACTTTACCAGGAAATCATGTTTTTGAGAATCATTTGTTAAATAATCATTGGAAATAATTCAAACTTGGTTAAAATCATTGCTATCAGATGGCAAATTGGTATTAATCACATGTTTACAGGGGCTGATGGGTGGTGTCAAAATTGGTCAACCATTCAGGTCCATAGACTTCTTGTTCGGTTTGCATAAGTCCATTTTTTAATTATATTCCTTGACAGTTTTCACTTTTAAGGATAAATTTGTTGCCATCTGCCATCAAATGTTTGAATATGGCTTGAAGGAACATGAAAAGCGTGACTCTGAGGTGAAGCAATTCTGGGAATGTGTAGAGGATGCTAAACAGGAGAACAAGAATTTAGGAATGCAGGCCATCAACAATTTCATGGTTGTTAAAAAGAGAGTAAGTAAATAAAAAGGACAAAAACTTAATATAAAATCAATTATGAAACTAAAGTTTAGTAAAACATTGATGGTGACTTCACTTTATGCCCAGCTTTGTTAATCTATTTTCCCTATTTTTTAGACAATGCAAGAACTGAGTCAGATCAGTGACCAGAAGGTGTTGGAGTCTGTTGTGGCAGATTACAACAAACAAGTTTCAGAGTTGTGGGACAAACTCATGGGGCTTGAGCTACAACTTGTTGACCAGTTGGAGGTACTATACTGCTCAATTTTTTCACAGCAGACATATACATTCCATTTACATTTTACAAAATAATTTTGTCTGAATCCATTATCAAATAGATTAAGACTAGTGTATGGTTATAAACATAATCAAAATGAAAGATATTGACTGTTCATGTACCATAGACTTAAATACTGTTTTCACTTGTATCCCTGTAGGATGTTATCAAAGACTTCGAGCGGAGCATGCAAGATCTAGTGGCCTCATTCCAGGAGAATATCCAGGCTTTCCTGGCACAGTGTCGGGACCTGGAGACATTCCACCACGAGAAGATGATGGAGATTGCAATTGTCACACTGGAAAAGGTCCTCAAAAATGAACTAGATGATGAGATCAATGAAGACTTAAGAATGGTGAGTTCTTACTTAATATCAAGAAGTGACAACTCTTCAAGCACTTCAGCTCATACTTGTTGCAGCAATTCTTCTATAAAGGCATCAACTAACATTTGTGTTCTAAAGGGAGATTTGATAGCATCACCTTTCTCTCATAGATTTCTGACAGAAAATAACTTGTCTCCTGAAAGAGATTCTTATTTGAGATATCTGATCACATGATTGTTTGAGATGGCTGATAGCACTACTGAAATCTTTCCATGAGAAGAATGCTATCATTCATAACAGCTGTAAAAACATAATTTTGATAGCTGAAACTTGACATTCAGTATAAAGTAGACCTCATTATGTTTTCGTATAATTAAACAAAACTGGTTATATCCAGTAAAACACAGAACATAGTATAACAACACACATGTACTTGGAAAGGCTATATATACTTTTTATTTTTTCATTTTGAAAAAAAAAATGTTCAAGTTGTCCCTTGTGGTTTTTCTTGTTAAATTGTATCATGTTCATGCACACAACATGATATTGATTGCACATATGTTGCAAGATTTCTGTTAATATTGAGTTCTCTTGACATAAAGGTGTTGTTTAATACTTTTTGCTAAATGTACCTTGATCACAAAGCATGAAATTTATCCTTGCCCTTTTTTCTGGCCTCACCCAGTCTTGACATGGTTTATAGAATTTATTCTGTGTTTGAGGCGGAAACAATATTTAATTTTCAAATGATTCTTTCTGTGTCAATTGTGAAACATAAGAAGTTATTTAATCAAAGTAATTTGATAAAGTAATACAAATGTATAGTGAGAAATGTGCATGTACACTGTTCCTAGGTTGTGATAAGGTAGGCATTCAGATGTTGGTCAGTACTCTTTTTTGATCTATAGCTAATGTTACGTGTAGTTAATTATTTAAATACTAGTGCACAGGTCAGCTTAGATAGGCCATGTGAATTGTGTGTGGTCAGTGCAGCTGCGCTCATCTGTGTGCTGGTGCCTTATGTAACTTATGTAGCACTTGTTTGTACCATTAGATCTAATATCTAGCTAAATATGGTCTAACCATCAGAGCTCTATCTGTTATTAAGTATAAAAGAAAGCCCTATCATGGGTATAGTTGTCACTCCTCATACATACCCCTGTACTGGAATTCTACAAAACTGCACATAAGCAATACCCTTCAATTGTTACCAGCTAATACATTTAATGGGATGTTTCTGTGATTACAGTTATTTGTGGACAAGGACACAATCATGAATGCTGTTTCCTCATCACATGATGTTCACCTGCTTAAGATAGACAACAAGGAAGATGACATGGTGACTAGAATCAACCAATGGCTAAAAACAACAATTGACAAAATTCATGAAGATGAAGAAATTGCCAGAAATCGTATGAGAGTGACAGAAATTAACAATCTCATTGATCACTTACGGGACGAAATTGACAATTTGGATGTGTTACAGGCTGGAAATTACTGATTCCTTGTTGGAAGTGTCTGTGATAAATTATGATTGTGACCTATTCAGACTGGCCATTTTAACGGGAGTGGTCGGTGCTTTATCAAGCTTTCATTCGAAATGGACCACTGGGATGATGATAGAGAACTGTGATATCATTCTTAGATGCAAATTTGCAGTGCGATTGCAGAAAAACTTAAATACCTGTGATACATATAGACCACAGTCGTCTGCAGATTTGTAACAATATTTGTTTAATAGAGTTAAACCTATCTAAACTGAACCTTTATCAAGGGCCTGGTACAGATAACATTTCCAAGTTAACTAGAGATGGTCGATTTCCAGGGTGTTTATTCAGGACATTAAGCTACAGTATTTGATCCCTGTGGTGGCTTATCTAGATGGGTTCTATTGTAACATAATACTGTATAAAGGCATGACTTTTATAAATTGTATATAAACTATTTCATCAGCTGTACAGTCCCATCAATCATTGTTGGAACTAGTGTATTCCATCATATAAAAACATTTACAGAAATAAATGATTGATAAGTCTACACACATAATTGTTGTATTCCTGTATTCTAACTAGACAATCCCACTGACATATTTTGCATTTCTTAAAATGGGCACCTTCTAAAAATTGAGTGAAAGTAAGACTTTCCACTTCCATTAAATAACATTTCTAAAAGTACCAGGGTAATCAGGTTTATTCCAGAATAGTATTCTTAGGGAGATTTCAGGCACATGATGACCGATAACAGATTACTGCTATAGCAGACAATTAAGAAGTAGAAAATGAACATTTTCAAACAAAATAACATAACTGCTGACTGCTAATACTTTTTTGAGTAAAAGAACGATTTTTTCCAAAGAATTGTTTTTCTTTTATTTATAAAAATGAATATTCAATACAGATATTATATCATATATTTTATATTGCCACATCTGTGCCATTTCCCTTACTGCTTAAAGATACTGATGACTCCCTATATACCTTTTTCTTAACAATTTAACAAAGAAATTTATGAAGAAAGTGTTAAAGGATCTGCCTCCCTGTAACATGGAAATTACTTACAATAGTTTGACTTTAGCAGATGAACATGAAAAGATTCATCACGGACTGGTGTTCCAAGACTTCACAGATCATTGAGCAACAAGTGTTTTTTATATGGCATATATATATTTCCTGATGTCATCATATTTAAGGTTATGTACATATAAAGCCAGACAATCAAAATCAATAGATAAATGATCACCACTACTTGTTTGTAATTCACTGCTTTATTAACCGTTAAGTCAATATAAAACTTAGTATTTTGAGAGGAAGTCTTTGATACTGGCACTGGTCATTTATTAACGTTTTAAGAGTAGTTATGTTTTGGACCAGACCCTAGATTTCTCACTAGACCAGTGAACAAAGAGAGCAGCAGCAGCTACACGTGCCTGAAGGTCGTATTTGTCCACTTCATGATGCCATTCAACATTGCCCCAAGAACTTGTCTGCAAAATAAAATTGTCAAATATAAAAGTAACAAACTTGACAAAAGCTAGATTCATGTGAAAATAACAAAGAAGATACACCATACCTTTAGATACATTTCATCAGAGGGATACTGGTTTGATGAAAGAGATACAGATCAGTCAGTGTAAATGAGAATTTTACCAGTGTATTTCTATCAATACTTACATCTACGAAATTCCAGCCATTCAGAAAATACACCTGGACAAGTTTGTGTCAATGATGTGAACACATACTTCAAGTGCTACTTATGACCATGATCAATGCAACATCAAATAGTTACGTATTTCATGTGCTACCCTAAGTCTTCATCTCAATATCTAGGCCTTGCAACTTGCAGAAAGTTCACAAAGTTTTGTAGATATGTGAAGGATGAAAAGGCAGTTTGTTCAATATCTCTAAAGTCTATACACACCCATTGGATCAGAAGACAAATTCATTATTATCTGATCCATTTGACTACAAACTGTAGGTAAACCTGCAATTTTATTAAGGAAGTTTTTGTAGCTGTATCCTGTGTCAAAGTAAATGTGTTTTCAAAGATAAACTGTTTCAGTCTGTACTCTGGTATTGCTAGAGATATATAATTAATTCAAAGGTGAATAGAATAGTATGCTATCTTATATACTCCAGCTTCAATGATTTTTAAGGGAGCATAATCCACCAGTTCCACTTTGAAAGAGGTATGGGATTTGAGTAATGGAAAACTCATTTTTCTAAACAACTATCTGAAAATGATTACCACTGACTGATGAAGTACATAAGTCAATGTCTTGACATGAAAACTTCTTTATGTATTAATGAATTGGTTCTGCAAGGAGAGAAAACAAGTAGATGGATTTGATATTCAATTGTCCTTTCTGTGTCAGCAGTAGGGGATTAATTATTCATTCTCTATAATGGTAAGACTAGTGCCAGATGTTTTACCTGATACTGGCTCTCCAGTGTTGACAAATAGACAGCTTGTTCTACTGTCACCTGTTTATGGACCACAGCTAACATTAACAGTAGTGACTTCAGGGCCTCAACTCCGAACTGGTAACCTATAGAACAATAATGAATTAATCAGTTTAACTTAACATTACAGTAATATTAATACATGGCTTGGTAAGGTCACAGGTAATTCCAATATAAAGGTTCTGTCATGATACAGGTAACAAAAATTGTCAATTTTTTTTTCATAATCATGCATTTACAATGTATTATTACCATGTAAAGCCCATTCATTATTGACAAGCAGATACTTTTCTAAGGTTTGACTGGTCTTTTCTGGGATGACAAGGCTCTGCAGACCAGTGGTTGTACTCAATTCTATTTGATATCTGCAAACAGAAAATATTAAGAAACTTGAAGGGATAGATTAAGAAATAACCTAAACATACTGATTAATGCTATCCATAGATACTAATTGCATAGGCTTCAGTTTCCTTAAATACATGTACCAGTTACAAAATTCTTGCATTAAGTACTAGTATAAGGTAAAACCATTTCATATTTACATTCATAAAGTAAAGAAGGAAACAAACACTTCAGAAAATCTGTACCATGTGATATTTCAGGTATTTTAGACTTTCTAATTCAAACATAATACCAGTATTTGGAAATGTTAAATGAGAAACACAGAGGCACTAAAACATGGACTTAACAGCTGATTTGGTAAGTAAAATATAATCTGTTCATCAAAGACAAGACAACAAATCTTAAATATCAGAATAAGCTAGTATTTACTGACCTGTCACTTGCCCATTTGATAACGGGATCCCATTGCTTTTGCTGGAGCTGTGCTAAATCTTGTGGCTCTGTTAATCTGTAACTATTGATGAAATACATTCAGGTGAAACTAATTCCAGTAAAAACTTGTGTAATTCATAATCTTTCAGTTCTCAACCTTCTGACATGTTTTCTACAAAATGTATCAAAATAATAACCGGTACATAGGTGACCATTTAACAATTAAAATAATATATCAAAAAAAAGTAAGCATTTACACAGGATCAGGTAAATATTCAAAATCTGAAGATCATTACATCAAAGAGTATTGCAATACATTCAGTTAAAAATACTGATATTTGTTATCAACTGATGTATTCCCTGAAGAAACATACTCAAGTCTCTGTCATTTATTTCTGGGATAGATTTAAAATCAAACAGACAGCCAACAGTAAAACTTGGAAATTTTGTCCCCACTTTATTTTCACATTTCTTGCCCAAAAAGAATAAAAACATAGAGTATAAATAACAGACAAAATGAAATGGGAGTAAAATGCAATTCAGGTAACTATACAGGTATCTAATAAAAAATGTATATGCAAAAGTAGACAAATTCTGTTTCATTTTTGTTTGTTTATAAATATGCATAAATTAGTCTGGTGTTGCTCCCATTCTAACTTCTAAATCATCGTCACCAGCAGACAATTATCATCTCTGTAAGATTCATGGGGTGAAACAAACAACAGACTAACACCAATGTTAAACTTACCAAATGGTGTCAGTTTCCAAAAAATGTATCAGTCCTCTTGTCATTGTTTCCTTTGTCCTACCAGTGGGGTTATCAATTGCTGTATTGGACAAACCATTCTGTCAAGAAAACAGATACAGCTGAAACTCGAAATCACTTGAGTCGAAATTCTGTTTGAGTGAAAATCATTTCCAAGTCCCGATTTTTTCCTTCTATATCTCTGTAATTTTAGTTAGGATGACTTGAATTTCATTGAGTAAAAATTTTGTTTGAGTCAAAGTGATATTTCAGTCCCTTCAATTGTAAAGCAAGGGAAAAATTGTATGTTGTGTCGAAATTAAATTTTGTTAAAGCATCAGCACATCTGACGAAATCGGTCAATACATACACAGAGTAGAAAGGCACCTGTGTGGAACACATGCTAACTACAGTGCGTCTGTCCATTGTACACACAACAGTTGGTCTCTGCAGATTAATTACCAGTTTAATTATCAAATTAAAGGTTAGCTATTTAGACACTTTGAGAAGACATTTGGTCAAGTCAAAATATTTTCCATGGTCCTTTGAAATTAGAGATAATGTATTTCAACTGTACTTCATACAAGTAATAATTAAGAATGTCTTGATGCATAATATAAATATATAAACCTGCCGTCTAAAGCATATTTCATGTATATGACAGGAAGAAAGCTAGGCAGCTTGCAAAAGATAGCCATTCTGAATTGATCTGGAGGTAAGGAAATGAAGATAACAAGCTCTTTTACGTGAAATCTAGTTTTGTTCCAACAAAAATAATAAAACTTCAATTGTAAAACTGTCCTAAATTCGTAATAATTTCAGGTCCAAAAAACATTTTCAAATAAAATTGTTTGCTTACTTAACCAATGATTTATTAGCTTTTGGGTAGAGAGACAAACTATATAACTAGCATGTATTTTAAGTATAATACATCCAGCCCAATAAAATAGGACAAATACTTTTCCAGTAACAACTGAATCCTGCATCAGCTTTTGATGACCACTGTACAATGTCTTACCAGGTGCATGTTATGTCTTTTGATGGTGTCTTTTTGTGCATTCCATTCTGTTGCTACTGCCATTGCTAAAGTTTCATTAGGAACACGAAACAGATTTCCTGTTGGTGTTCTTAGTTTTCTGCTGTCCAAATTGATTTCAAACCATCCTATGAAAATAAATACAATGCACACCTTAAAATCTGAATTTACAAAAAGTAATCCAAACACAATGATATATGTATTGATGTATTTGGATCAAATCACAGTATTTAACGTAAGATTTTTTATTTCATTTGACTTTCCTTTTATATTTCAAATTCAATATTTCTGTGAAATATACCTACCATTTGCCTGAACAACATGAGCATTCTTATAAAATTTCTTCAGCTCTGAAATCAGGAAGTAAATGCAATAAGACAAGGCATGAACTCAGTCAATATGAAACAAAACATACACGATATTCCAGGCGCTACACTCACTGCACTGCTAGAACATTTCATCATAAAATTCAAGGTTTCATGTGCAGCATCTGGTGGATAAGACAATAAGACTAGTTTGATCCTCTGATGTACATCAAAGGAATCTCAAGGTTACTTAACCATATATTGTACTGGCTTTGAAGTTTGGTGTCACTCCTTTGTAATCTTCAAAGGTACTTATCAGTCTGATTGGTCAGTTTTTTTCTCCTGAAACCCACTTTATGCAAATCAAAGCACTTTCATTTATGCCTTCAGTTTTGCAAGGAATGTTCCTTGGGTGCAGAAAGTGATCATAATCCCTGGAGTATCAAGAATGGAAACAAAATTGATGGAGTTGAACTCTCAGCTACTAACCTAAAGGGTTTGGAGGATTACCAAACTATGTTGATAAACAAAACAAATACATATTTGTAAAACATGCCTCCTCAACATTATATATCATCATACATGTGCACAAGTCAACAAGGAGGCAGGTATTTTGAGAAGAGCACCTTTTAGTGATCTCATTACATATCCATCTATTTATAAACTGTGGTTGATGTCAAAACAAGCTTAAAGGGATGTAATTCTTACTTCAGAAAATCTGTATTCCAGGAACCTGTGTCTATGATAACTGGAAAGGGAAATTGCAATAAGGCAAGCTGCTTGTAATACAGAGCATGATTTAAACCCAGAACCTCCAAGTTTAAGCTAGACTCGGGGCCTAATAAGTTTCCTATGGTACCTTGCAATTTCCTGTTGAATTTTAAAATTGGCAAAGTCTAGACTAGCAAAGTTTTTGTTAAAATCAAATGCTATTATCACTTTACCAGGAATTATAAATATGAAAAATGCATATATATTTCCATTGGCCCGATGTGTAAAACGCATAAGAGTATAAGAAACAAGCAGATGTACAAGTAGTTATCTAAAGACCCTTTTCAGAATATATTCTCAGTGACAGGTTGGCAACATCTTTGGATTTGTGAGGTTGCACTGGAACTCAAACATGTCCTCTCATTACAGCCCAGACACATTTGTATGCAAGTCAGTCTCAACGTCTTTATTAAAAACAGACAAAATGCAAAGGTACAGGTATTTATATGATAACTACATTTTCAGAATCTGTGGTCCAAAAACTGATACGGTAGTCTATGTGCATGTATATTCTTGGGGCATTATAACTAAATATCATATTGGTTGAACATTAATGAAACTTTTTATTCATAATTTGCAAACGTTTTCGAACATGTGTTGGCTAGTTACTATTTAATATTGCCATCGACAGCAATGAACATATGCGTGACTTTAATTTGGCTGTTTATTGAATTGTAAACAGATTCGGCATTAAAAAGAGTGTTCTGACTTACATGCACAGTAACGTGCCTGATTTAAGAGTGTAAAAATCCTCTGTAATGAGAGGTCATGTTGGAGTTCCAGTGCATCTTCGTAAATCCAAGGATATCCCCAATAAGCATGTTTTGCAGAAAATCGTGGTGAACGATTATCATCAAAACAATCATATGCAACTCATACCACGTGCCGGAGAAGCGTTTTGTCGAATCTGGCTGAATGTCAATCCTTCCGTCTTCCTTTCTCTGATAATTCGTGAGATACATGTTTTCCCTTCAGCAAATAAGCATCTGTGCAAAAATCGCATGGGCGTCGCCATCTTGAATGACAAAAAGTTACAACCCCTTGTTTGATTGGTCAAGCGAGGAATGTGCTATATTTTAGCGAATCGACGATCGGGTCACAAAATTATAAACTTCCGGCTTAAATCAAACACAGAATCGACAGGTAACCATGCCTGTGAAGTTGGATCCACCTCCTCCTGCGAATTCCAAACAACTTGGGGTTACAACAACTTTGCTGTACAATGGATCACGGTTTCAGGGTCACCAGAAAAGCAAAGGAAACTGTTATGATGTGGAAGTTGTTTTACAGGTAACAGGATTTGAATGACTGTCGCCATGTCTCTGTAAACACATGACATATAATTTACGCGTCTTGTAGAATATCATGGCAAATGTTCATTGTCGCTAAAGTAAAAAGCAACGATGTGGAAAGTTATCTGTGCTACCTAAAATTCAATGCAAAAATATGGCTAATATGTGCACTGATACAAGTAATTCCATAAACAAGTACTACAGCTGCCATAACTAAATTGGGAAAACTTCATATATTGGTGATTAGTCCTTTATTAACAATTAGTTACTGTACGTTTTCATATGAGCTGTAAAGTTCAGTGTTATAGAACAATTTTATTACACCTCTCTTTACTAATTGGATTATAAGTTCAGTGTTATAGAACAATTTTATTACACCTCTCTTTACTAATTGGATTATCTGCCAGAGTACAAACTGTATAAAGTTGTTTTCATATCGTATAGATTGTCCACACATCTGTATCTGTATTTTATACATCATAGATTCACTGTTGGGCTATAATATGACACAGAGAGGGTTCTCTAGTAGCGTTGCCTCACCAGGGCAAGTTTGAAAGACTCTACAATGTTGTTTGAGACAGTACTGTCTTCCAGATGGTTCTAGTCAATGGCTATACGCATAAAAAGAAAATTTATCAAAATTGTCTGGTGGGAGAACTACTGATTAACTGTTAAATGTTTCTTACCAATGATATCACAGTATTAGGATGTTTTACAGTTCTTGTATGTTTTGGCCTTGATTCTACACTTTTGTTTTATAACGTAATTAGCTGTTCAGGTGGTATTGCTGGTATCTGCCCTTCAATTATTTTATAGAAAGGTATCAAACGTTGGTGTAGTCTTCTCCTTTGTAGTGTAGGAATGTTTAGGTCTTGTAGTATTTTAGTCATACTTCCTTCCTCTTTGGATTTGTAGTCGTTTGTTTTGAATCTTGCACTCGTCTTTGTATATTTTCTAAACACGCTGTCTCTTTGGTTGTGTAGAGGTAGGAATCCAAGCGTTTTTTACGGATGTTGTAAATGTGCTCTTTCCATTTGAGATCCTCTGCAATTTGGATGCCTATATTTTGATTGGATGGGGCTCCAGGATGTGGTTGTCAGTGTGTAGGAGAAACATTTCCTTTTGTTTTGTTTACTTAAGATGTAATATTTTTCATTGCCTATTTTTCTAGAATATTTTAATCATTTTTGTAGTACTGTATGATCTTTGTTGTTGTTTATCTCCCTACATAATAAGTAACTGTCAGCAAAGGGTCTTACTGAGGACTTAACCACTTCCGACTGGTTATTTATTTGGTACAGAAAGAGGATGGGGCCTGGTACAGTGCCTTGTGGAATTCCAGAGTCCACATTGACTTTGTCTGAGTATACCCCTTTAAGCACTACCTACATGTTCCATTTTGTTTTGAATGATGTTAGCCATGCTGATCCTGTATTGTTTTATTTTGAAATGATGTTTGTCGTGAAGGATAGGATCAAATGCTTTTGAGAAATCGCATACTGCTTTAACAGTCTGTTTAATTTGATCAAATGATTGCAGTTTATCGGTGATGGTGATTACTAATTGTATCTCACACAAGTACCCAGATTTGAAACTATGCTTTAATGTTGTAAAGATTTTATGATTTTTCCACATGTTTATTCACTTGACTGCATGTTAGGCACGGTATTGATGTTAGGGATACCAGTCGGTAATTTTCTGCTGCATGTCTGTCTCCTTTGCTGTGCTAGATGGACAGTTTACTGTTTGAGTGCTCTATTTGGGATGTTATCTGGTCCTGATGCTTTTGTAGGGTTAATTTTCCTTGATAGTTTGACTTCTCCATCTTCTGTGATTTTGATCTGTTGAATATTTGCCTTTACTCTTTGATGTCTTCAGGTTAGTCTTTCCTTTGGTCAATACTGATGAGAACTGTTTGATAAGAATTCTTATCTTTGCTGTTGTTGATAAGGTGGATATTTTCTTTCAGTGGTGCTACACTGGTGTTGTCTTGTTTCCAGGATTTTATGTACATCTAACTTGGTATACTTTATCATCAAAACATATGCAAGCTACATATGAAGTGTTAAGAACTTTTTCTTTCCTTTACAGCATGTGGATATGGAAAGCTCCTACTTGTGCGGGTATTTGAAGATTAAAGGACTGACAGAAGAGTATCCAACTTTGACCACTTTTTTTGATGGGGAAATAATCAGCAGAAAACATCCTTTCCTTACAAGGAAATGGGATGCAGATGAGGATGTAGACAGGAAGCATTGGGTAGGTATATTACAGACTGTTTACGTACAGTAAGAATATGTCTGCTGTAAAATCTCTCAAACATAAGGTAATTACAGTATGGGCCTAATAGAAACAGTAAATAACACCAAACATACCAAGAAACGAGGGGACATATATATTAGAAGGAAAAAAAAGCAGTTGTGACATGATGAAATTTTTGCTGATGCAGTACACATAATGTAGAAAAAATTAATTGTTAAATGGTTTTGTTACCAATTTCAATTTAACTGTCTTTGCATGTTTAGCAAGAGAGAAGATGGTAAAAGGAACTGTATCAAATGTCTGTATTTTCTCATCATGATCAAATAAACAGTACAAAACCATGATCTTCCAGGTTCTTGAATTTGTTTGTATTAGTCTGAAATTCTAAAAAAAGATGCAAAAAAAAAAATACTTTTGAAAAGTTTGAGTACTTTTGTTGTTGTTTGTTTTTCAGGGGAAATTTTTATCATTCTACCAGTTTGCAAAGACTTTTAATTCTGATACATTTGATTATGAAGATTTAAAGACAACAGATTATGTATTCATGAGATGGAAGGTGAGTCTTTTTTAACCAGTTTAATACAAGGTGCTGTGTATTACATAGAATGCTCATGAATTAATATATTTTTAACAACTTCTCACCCTTCCCCCTATATTCTATCTCAATAAATATATTTATTGAAGTCTTTTCCAGTTTGACCAATCCAGGTATTCATATTCTCAGAATGGCAGGCAATGTTGGAGTAAAATTTGACATTTAGTCTTATTATTAGAAGATGCAAGTCAAGTTTATATTTTGTTGCATCCAAATTATTTTACTTCCAGTATGATGACCCTTGGATTTTACAGTTAGCTTGTACTTAGTTGGCTATCAAATAACATTGGCTATCACCCCTAATCTGACAATATCTTACATTGGGAAAAGACATTACTACACCTCTCAAACAGTCACTAAAATGCTTTAACCTTCTCTTACATATAATTGACCTATTACCACATCCAGCTAATGATAATATTGAATTCTTAAAAAAAGTATAAATTTTGCTACTAATGTACCGTGGATATAGCAATTCCTGGTCAGCTCCATTATCTAAACACACCAAGTTTCCGTGTGGCTGTGACAATAGTTTTGTAATCTGTCTTTCCATCTGTCATGCTGATATCTTGATCCTTGAACTATCATTGCACTGTTTAGCTACTCGTTGCTTTGTAGATGATGCTATAACTGTTTTGTTTTCTGCTGTTTCATGTAACACACAATTGTTTACAATAAAAGATAGTGTTGTTGGTTAAGAAATGAGGATAATTATGTATCACATTCACAGCAAATATCCCTTTAAAATATTATGGCATAAATCCCTATTTTTAGCCCACCATAATCAGATGGTGGGCCATTCAAATCGCTCTGCGTCCGTGGTCCGTCCGTCCGTCAACAATTATTGTTACAGCTATTTCTGGAAAAGTACTGGATGGATCTTTCTCAAATTTCATATGCAGTTTCCCCTTGGTCCCTAATTGTGCATTGTACTTTTTTTGACTGTTCTGAAATCAACATGGCCACATGTCAGCAAACATGGATTTTGGAAGTAAAGGTTTGTTACCGCTATTTCTTGGAAAGAACTGGATGGATCTTTCTAAAAATTTCATATGCGGGTTCCCTTTGGTCCCTAGTTGTGCATTATACCTTTTTGGACTGATCCGAATTCAAGATGGCCCACAGACGGCCATCTTGGATTTTGAAAGTAAAAGTTTGTTATCGCTATTTCTGGGAAAATACTTGATGGATTTTTCTCAAATTTCATATGCAGGTTCCCCTTGGTCCCTAATTGTGCATTTTACCTTTAAATGACCCTGGCTGTGAATAGGACAAAAAACAAATACAAACAAAAAGTGTATTTCAATACATCCAGTGTCCTTGATACATGATATATATACAAATACCCTAATGCATAACTAGTTGGCCTGTGCAGATCACCCAACAGCTATGAGTCAATAACCACCTTTAGTTTGAATATCATGCATACCTGGTATATGCAACGCTTATTTCACACAAGCATATTTTCTTTGATATTCTATCATATTGATTCAAGATCATGTCTATTATCCACCTGTAACTGACTGCTATCTAATAATACTTTGGGATCTTTTTCAAATGATATTTGCTAATAGGTGCTTAATAAAAATATCTTGTGCCATCATTGAGTACATTCAATGAAGACCAGTTCATGAACATTTACAACACCTGTAACAAAAAAAAACAACAAATCTTCAAGAACTGAAATCAGATCCTCAAACGGTGGGCGCCAAGATCACGGTGGGCGCCAAGATCCCACTGGGATCTCTTGTTCTTCTTATTTATCAATTTTCAATGCTTTCATTGACATTTTGTATTGACAGGAACATTTTCTGGTGCCAGACCACACTATTAAAGACATAAATGGAGCATCTTTTGCTGGATTTTATTATATCTGCTTTCAAAAGTCTACATCAACAATAGAAGGCTACTACTATCATAGAAGTTCTGAATGGTAAGTGTAACACAATTGTAAACCAATGTTGTTGTGCTGAAATCCTCCACTGTTCCAGTTATTTACTTTCATCGCAGATACTAATACAGGTTGAAGGGGTAAAGGCACTTTTTTAATTAGCCAAATCACCCAAAATTTACTTTTCTTACATAATTACATATTGGTTATCAATCAAGTTTTGCCATTTATTTGGCACTTATCCACTTATCTTCTCTAAATTGATTTGAAAAAAAAACAACAGTTTATTACTACCTGGTAAATATTACCTTTTACATTACCTGCTGTGCATAATATTTCCATTAATATGTTTTGAGGAATCTTGTTTTGATTCAATAAAATGACTGTTTAAATGCATACAAATATGTCTGCATTCATTAATACCGTAATAATATTAATATACTAAACATTAAAAAACATGTATTTTCTTTTGCAGGTTTCAATCACTCAATCTAATTCATGTGCCAGAACACAGTATACCAGTATATCAGTTCAGATGACATCACGAGTCCTCCAACTCACTGTGATACCTATTTATTGTGTACATTGTATCGGAGTATATGCTGTCATAACATGTACCCTAACTTATCTATTAGTTTTGCCTTGACAAACTTTAGTAGCAAAATTGATGGTTTTTGACAGAAAAAAGTACTGATATGTAATGAGGCATACTGAAGTATACTTCACTAAGCAGGACTCGATGGATAAAATAAGTGCGTAATTGGTGCTCTGAAATATAAAACAGGGTCTCCCTGTGGAAAGACCTTTAGTGTGGAGATGCAAGGAATTCTATTGAGGAAGGAATGGCTAGAATGTGTGTAGTTATTGATTGTAATAGATTGTTGCATTTTGCTTTCGTGCATGTGTATACATCATATGATCCGCACAATAGTTTTCTTATTGTGTATGTTTTCAGATTTTGTGAATATTAAGCTATGTTTTAGGACAAACAATTTACCAATGCGACAACAGATGAACAGAAAATGTGCTATGTGTTGATTTATCTGTGTGATTGTTATGAGAGTTATTGAAAGATGAAACATGCTTAGTAAGTATGTAACCTGATGTTAATTATAATCTGATGTATTCAAATCAAAGTGTTGCATACATCATGTTAATTTTTTAAAAATCATAAATGCAGCTTTTCCTGCTTTGGGTAACATGGACTTTCAGTCGATGATAAGTCAAATAATATGATATCAGACAGACAGCATTCTTGCAATTTTACAAGGCATGCTTACCCTACTGTCATGGACGTTGTCCTTGTTCCGCTAATCCTGGTTCAATTATCCTACAGTTATCTCCCTTCGCTGGTCAGAAGAAGGGAGTGGATGCCAGGTTATGGGTAGAAATGCTATATTTTGTATGTAAAATTATGTGCAGGCAGTATAGTAGTACATATTCTACATTACTCTGTGTTTGCATATTATCAATGGCTTTAATTTGAAATATGTAAATTGCAAAAATAACATGTTTCTGTTTTTATAAATGATGCAATTTTCCTCATTTTCTCGTGTCTTTGTTTTTGTTTGTTGTTTAAAGCTTTTTTTTTAATTTCTTCTTCAAAGGGGATACTTTAATCTTCTAATTAGTTTCCTGTGTGTCTTATTTGCATTATAAATTTGAACAAGAGATCCTAGATGGATCTTGATGCCCACTATTTTTTTATCTTTATTTTGTTCTCAAAAGTTGGATAATTTCTATTCTTTTCTCTTCTTGCCTTTGTTTTTGCATTTAATAATAAGGAATTTGAGCTTTGATTAGAAATGGTTACGTACGTATGAACCTTAAAGATCCATTCATTATTTCAGAAGAAATACTGATACAAAATTTCATGGTCAAAATCCTACATGGCTGCCTGCCAATCATTTTGTTTTTATTATCATTTCCAACATCAAAAGGGCACAACTAAGGACCAGGGGAAATAATCCAGTGCTTCTTAAGAAATTGTAATAACTAAAACTCTTTACAGATGAATGTAGTTCGAGAGTGAAGACAACACAAACAGCTCCTTCTCAATTCACAATTTATTCATGCGTCAAGTTGTTGACATGTTTCTGATCCAAGTGACCCATGACCGGATTATTACATCATCAATGTGGGTAAAAACAACATAGATTGGTGACGTCATGAAAGCAACATAGAAAAGTGATGTCATGAATAATGAATAGACTCCATCAATGTGGGTGGTCGGGTGGCGCAGTGTTAACGCACTCGCCTTTCACCTAGCCGACCGGGGTTCGATTCCCGGAACGGACGTGAAAAGGTAAGGGGTCACCTGTTCGACCGCGTGGGTTTTCCCCGGGTACTCCGGTTTCCTCCCATAATAAGGCCCCTCGCGCGCTTACATCCGGGCCAACAAGAGTGATTAGTATAAGTTTAAATAACTTGTTTCGCAATTGTTGTAAAACAAATAAAGTTTATATTTTAATGTGGGTAAAAACAACATAGATTGGTGACGTCATGAAAGAAACATAGAAAAGTGATGTCATGAACAATGAATAGACATCATTAATGTGGGCAAAAACAACATAGATTGGTGACGTCATGAAAGCAACATAGAAAAGTGATGTCATGAATAATGAATAGACTCCATCAATGTGGGTTAAAACAACATAGATTGGTGATGTCATGAAACCAACATAGAATAGTGATGTCATGAACAATGAATAGACTCCATCAATGTGGGTTAAAACAACATAGATTGGTGACGTCATGAAAGCAACATATTATGGATGTAAAAGTGAAACTGTAGCCTTTATAAGGACATATATAAACAATTAGCTGTTGAATAAAGATCTCTTGTTGATCTCATAATAAATAATTCAGTCATGTAGCAAATAAAGACTGATCATAGTATGTAGAAAATATAACTACAATGGTAAGCAAAATGATAGGTTATGTAGGAGTCTAGCCAAACTCTGTGTGTAAATACCTTCTCAGCTATGTATAGGTAGGGCAATAATGTTCAGCTCTTAAATAAAAATCACACAATGAAGATGCAATATCTAAAGAATAAAGCACTCAACAAGCTAGCGGTTATATAAAGTATAACAGAATGTACGTAGTTAGTGGCGTATATTGAGTCCGGATAGCTCTGTGGTTTCAGTAAGTCCCTAGAAAGTACCACATATTGATGTTTGTTTAATACAACATTAGAAAGACTCACAATAGCTGTCCTGTCTACTGGAGATTTGAAGATTTGGCAGTAAATGTGGGATAGACTTCGGTTTTCTCTGTGTAAGTTGGACTTGTTTCCTGGGAGAAGATTTGGCATATTCACCGAGGTGGCAGTTGCAGCTTACAGCTAATGGATGCGCTTCTTTTCTGAGATGAGTGTGAAATGTGTGGTTCTAACAACCAAATCGGGATAATTGATGGATATATTGTTACAATAAACAAATGTGAATTTAACTTTAGGAAGTGTGGATAGGCTTACTACATAGTTTAGATTCTTCATGCAGACAGAACTTTTATGTTTAAGACTCGGATTTTAATTATCTAACCAAAATTATTATCAACAGCACTTTTGTTTTGATAAGAAAATTTAAACTGTTGAAATGATAGCAGCAAACAATCAACTTGCTTTGGTCTGCACTTCCACCTATGACACCTTTATGTCTTCTTGTAACAGTATAAGACATAATGTCCATTTTGAATAGGCAAAATGGGGAAATAGTTACATATTTTAAAATTCTGATGGACTGAAGAACTAAAAGTTGGAGCAATACCAAATTGAAGTTTGAGTCTATTTCATTACTGGATACATACATATGAACTATAATTTGTTGGTTACATTTTATATTTCCCGTATAAACTCATTGTAATCACTGGTGTGGAGCCCCTTTATAAAACAATAAAAGGAACAAAAAGATTCCATTTTGGTTCCCCTTGTTCATGAAAGGACGTGTTACCTTCCATTACTTAGGGAAATAATTTAAAGAAGTTATATACTGGTCGCCGTTTCTTCACATTTTCAGCTAGCATTTTTGTACACATTTTTGTTCAAATATGACTGTCCTGTACAGACATTTGAAAACGGTTGCTCAACGGACTTACAATATGACAATTGATTGGCAATCAGTTCATGAAACAATTTTTGATTTGCAGATAAATCGAATAAGGGGCGTGGTTTAACGTACGCTTGTGCGACATTCATTTGACATCTGTGCTGACGATGTTGCATATCAATTATGGTTAATAGATGACAGAGTGTAATAACATGTGATCGTTAAGAACCGACTCGTTTATCATATACACGTTACCCAATCCGTAGATTTGTTTCTGGACTGACGGAGACCACAAAATTGTTTTATCAAATGTATTTTGCGCGGGAAATGTCTTCGCCTGATCGGCAGGCCAATATACCGGGAAAAATTACTATACCAGTGAAAATTACCAATAGCAACATCACTATGACGATACGTTGAGCAAAAACAATGCAACGATTTGGAGGGGAATATCTCTACCACCAACACCTTTTCAAGCTGGTGTGAGAAGACGGAGACCTTATGCGAATTGGCAATGGAATGTTTCAGAACAGTCATTTGTATGAGACAAGATGGATGCAGGCACTTCCAACAAGATAGACATCCTACATCGGACAAGTATTAGCACCGGTCCTCGCAATGAAAGATCGGAAACTTTCGCAGGACCAAATGTTGGACAAAATCCATCACGGCCATTTTTCAACAGACAATCATATTCATGGCATTCCGGATTCGATCACTTCTTTCATCGGGGTTACTTTCAGAAATCATCTGATTTCTCGGCAGGATCTCTTGAAGACATGGTGGCATTCACGTCTCCGGATAAATTGGTGAAAACCTTTACGTCATTGTCCCCGCTAGGTAACCTTAATTTTCCCGGAGACATGTACAACGAAAGCAGGTCTTCCACTTTTATGAAACCTACGGCAGATGATTTCAGAAATCCAAATACACCGAAGACAAGACTTTCCCTGGAGACGAACCCAGACCTCATGTACCCGCTGTTCTCTCCAAGACTGACCTCAACCCCTGTCGTGTCACCATCAGAACATTCCTTTTTATCCCCTCTGCCTTCGACGCCACGACTCGCGAATCACAGTTCGATGTCCTGTCGACGACAAAGACTTGGGAGGCGTAGACTTCTGTTCTCTTCGGAAGACGAAGAGGCTGTTTACTATCTCATCACTAAATATCTGCTACCAATGGATAATGTATTCAGTACAGCACCTACAGATTGAGGAGCAAGATCCGTTTACTGACACAAAACACATAACAAAACTTGCATCCATTTTCCATTTCCGGGCTGACGACATAAGAATATTTTCGGTGCTAGGATTTGTGAACGTACACGGAGAAAAAGTATTCAGACTATTTTTAATCGTTATAGCTTGATGACATGCTTCACAATGGATTGTGATTGGATAAATTAGATCACCATTTGTGTGATATGTAGGCTGTTTCGTTAGTAAATTTTTGAAGAGGTGAACAATTTTTAAACCTTGATTATCACATGCATTCCTTGTGTGTGATGGGCACCACATGTGGTGCGAGAACGAAATGTGGATAGTAAAGCGCTAATTCAGTCATAATTATTTTTGTCAATCATTATTATTGAACACTCGATATCACATAATTATTTTAAACTGATTCATTTAAATAATTTGGCAGGTTTTTCGTTCAAATTACTACCTTCGTAATATCTCCAAAACGACGAGAAAGGAGAGGGGAGTTGGCTGCTGTCCAATATTGTTATGTAATCAATTTGCAATATCTTTCTGTTTCAAACACTACATGTTTGATTTGAAATACATATTTCGAAAATATGTTATAAATAACCATACTTTGACTGGTCGTGAAGGCAACAACTACATCTATCAAAACTGACGGGTGTCTGACAAGTACCCTACAACCAAGACGGCTGCAAACCATTTTTGATAATCTCGAGAAGAAGATTTGACGTTATACAAAATGCTGAACTGGTTTCTTTTAATATCAAACTAAGACGACCGTCTGTTGAGGGATGACCTAACTGTAGACAGAAACGAATATTGCTCATATTTAATCTCAGAGATTGTGCTTATGTCAAATGACACCAAATAACAGGTGAAGATCAACCACAGTTGATCTCCCGAACGTAATGTATATTGTGAAAATGTTATGACAAATTAGCAAACTGACCCGTGTAGACAATTAACCCTGTCCAATCATCTGGAAATAAACTCTGCAAGTTGGCGGCATTTGTCACGTGATGCCTTTCACACCGTGACATCGAACCAGAACGAGCGGTCCATATTTGTTTCAAATCTAACTAAAAAGTTTAAACTGATTTATCTGAACAGCTTTCGCTAACCTATACGCTGCCGAATCGTGATCGGCATCTTTAGAAACCGAGTCTCATTTCAATTCCAACTGCGGAATCATTACCCTACCTAAAATTCAAATATGTATTCCATATACATTTATATATAAAGATATCATATATAAGTGACTGACCATAGGCTGATACGCTCCTTTCGA